TACGTGCGCCCAATCATCCACAACGCAGTCGAATACCGTCAAGCCAAGAACTTACTCGGCAATGAAGCGGTCCTCGGGAAAGGTGCCGGTGCCGAAGCGAGTATGAAAGCCAGGAAAATCCTCCGTGACGCCGACGCCGAGAAGAGAGCTCTACTCGATAAATATGGCGACGCCGATGAAGCAGCCAAGGAAAACGACAACGACGAGCGTTACGTCTTCCTCTACGAACTCGCCAAGCACAGCGGTAATGAAAAAGAACTCCGCGACCAGGTCATCAACACCCTCATCGCGGGCCGCGACACCACCGCCTCCCTCATGTCCTCCACCCTCTTCGTCCTCTCCCGCCGCCCCGACATCTGGGCCAAACTGCACGCCGAAGTCGCTACCCTCAACGGCAAGCCGCCTACCTTCGATCAGATCAAAGACCTCAAATACCTCCGAAACCTCCTCCATGAGGCTCTACGTCTCTACCCCGTCGTGCCGATCAACGCCAAGTTCGCCAACAAGGACACCTGGCTGCCTCGAGGCGGCGGTGCGGACGGCCAAAGTCCCATCTTTGTGCAGAAGGGCCAGATGGTCATCTGGGTCCTCTATTCCATGCATCGCCGCAAGGACCTGTGGGGCCAGGACGCCGAGGAGTTCCGACCCGAGCGGTGGGAGGGATTGCTGCCGGGCTTCAATTTCTTGCCGTTCAACGGCGGGCCGAGGATCTGTCCTGGTAAGTCTATCTTTCTTCACTCGAGACGTTCGCTCCCATCTATCTCGCCCTCTCTCCTTTCATCTCCTTCTCAGCCTCTCCCTTCTTCTCTGCCCGATTGCGCTATCCTTGCCAAAACCCACAGACTAACATTCCATTACCCAGGACAACAATTCGCCCTCACGGAGGCCTCATACACCATCGTGCGCCTCTGCCAGCAATTCAGCAAAATCGAGGTCGTTCCCGGGCAGGAAGATCGCCCTTGGACCGAGAGCCTGAACCTGACCTGTGCCGTCGCGGGCGGTGTCAATGTGAGGTGCTGGAAGTGAGTCAGTCTGTAGGTAAGGAAATAAGTAAGTAAGTAAGTAAGTGAATGAATGGGGGGAAAAGTTGAGCCATGTAGGAGCTGGCGCGCATATGCTGGTACAGACTTCGGTGTGGGCCAGGATTTAGATTGAACTTCAACCATGAATCAGCTGCGCGGGTCGGATTGGGGGATGTTTTAGATTTCATGTGGCGTTTTGTTTCTTTTCAGTATCATGTCCGTAGATGAGGAAGGGAATCGAAAATGTGCAGTGTCTGTTTGCAGAGTATTCTGGTTTCAGGTTCGTAGCTTCGTCTTCGCTGTGTACAACATAAAACGGTTGGCTTTGATCACGTTTACGGAAGTGACTGAGAGATCGTGGGGTTGCACTGATTTTGCGTCGTGGGTAAAGTATGCTAGAGTTGATCTATACTATAGGGAAAGGGTTGGGTTTTCACAGTGCGGGAAGAATCGTCAGTCTTTGCTCTCACGGGTCATGTAGTTTACACTGCAATTGCTCGACAGATTTGATGCGAAGGATTTGGCAAAATGGCTGTGGGTATTAGTGATGGCGTAGAGGGGTTTATGTGTAAAGGTGACTGCTTGCTTTATGGAGTCGTACAATCGAGGTGGATTCGATATTTTGTACTCTCGGCCCTTTTGAAAACTCCAACACGATTGTATTCATATGATCTGTTCTAGCTCACTCTTTACACGATCTATTCCAGCTAAAAAGCAGACGGAAAGGTCCCCATCCCAGTTCTCACATCATCTAGATTCGACTCGTACATGCATTTCATTCTGAAAGGATTGGAAGTCAAAGAGGTAACGAACGACAGGACCATCGGAAGATCCGAAGCCACAGACCCCGCGGCTTTCTTGGAGAATCTCATCATTCCTCCACATCGTGACGGCAACGCTTCAACATGAACATTTCAATCGTCATCCCGGGTCCGAAGCTGCAAGCCATGACGTTCTCTCGGCCCTCGCCCATCTTCCGCAACTGGTCGAGCACGACCAACACGGTCGGGCTGGACGAATTGCCGTGGTTCTTGTAAACGTCAAAGGACGCGCGCAGCTGGTCGTCGTGGAGTTGCATTTTTTGCTGGGCACCGTTCAAGATGGCGATCCCGCCGGGATGCAACGCCCAATCGAAGTCTTTCGCTTCCACCGGTTTGCCGCTGGTCGCGAGCTGGCTGTCGGTGGGGAGGAAAGGCAGCAACTGCTCGAACATGGGGGTGATGGCTTTGAGGGCCAGGTGCGGGACCTCCTTTGTCAGGGTGGCTCGGAATCCGAAGGGATCGGCCATGAACTCCAATTCTTTGGCTGTGCCGGGCATGGTCCGGGTCTCCCAGTTGACCAACGAGTAGACTGCCTTGTCTTTGGCTCCGGGTGTGAGCTCGTTGCTGAGGACAAAAGATGCGGCGCCGTCGGAGAAGAGGACGGGCGAAATTTTGGTCTCATCGGGATGTTCCACAACTTCTTCGAGATCGCATCGCACATTGATGCTGCAGATCTCGCACGCGAACACCAAGATTCTCGCCGGGCGGCCGCGCACCGAGGCCGATTGAGCCATAGCCGACGCAGCACGCATCGCCGAGAGTCCACCGGCACACCCAACGCCGTGCAGTAGCGTCCTGTCGGTTTCCGGCTTCAGACCGAGTTTCTGGGCCACCAAGAGGTCGAAGCCGGGGTTGCCGGCGTTGGTGCATGTCACTGCCACAATGTGGGTGATGTCGCTGGGTTTGCTGCCGGATTCACGCATGGCTTTCTTGCATGCTTGAACAGTCAGATCGACACCTGCCTTGCGAAAGAATCTGTCTAGCTCGGAGATCGACGGTGCCACTGAGCGGCTCCAGAATGGATCTTCGTATGCTTTGATGGTTGATCGACTCTGGATCATAGTGGTTTGGTTGATGGTCAAGAGCTTCTTGATCCTAGATTTGGGGTCATGTCAGTGCTTATTTGTGCGTTTTAGTTTTCCAGTTCTACTTACCCTGGAGTTTCAAGGTCATACCACCTCTTTACGAAACCTTCCAGCTTGTCCGGGGGAAATTGGAAAGGCGGGTATTGAGACCCTAAGCCAGTGATATATAGACCTGGAGTCTCCTTGGACGGCGTGGTGGAAACGGGTGTCGTAGATACATCTTCGTGGACAGTAACACTGTAGTCTTGTTTGGTATCCATGTTTGGTCCTACCAAGGGTAGCTGATAGGAATCACGAGGTTCGAATGTGAGCTGAGGAGCGATACCGCCATTGGCAGTGGAAACTTCAGCTGCCGCCATTGTGATTGGTGATAAAAGGTGCAGTGAAGTAGTAGACAGAAGATAACTCTGAATATAAAATGCTTGTTTACAGAATTAGGTAGTTGATACCAGCACAAGTTCTGGGACAGACTTGAAAAAGAAGAATGAGTGAAGAGGATCTAGGTGGCTAAGTGAACGGCCTTGTTGCGGCTTCGAGCTTTTATCGAATAGGTTCATAGCCTTGGCTGAGCATTAAGGAACCGATGAAACGCTTGGGCAGGTGGCGATCATGGATCAGCGTTTGGAGAAACGGTAGAGTATGAGAATGGGAGGATACGAGAAGAACTGGGGGTCTAGATCGCACCATGAGTCACAGACCTGACTTCAATTCTGCACGGATGCAGCGTCGATCCCGGACCTGACTGCAGATAGAATTCACTGTTGGATAAGAAATCCCCGTAAGGTGCCGAGCATGGATAAGCGGATGCAGGAACGATAAAGTATGAGAATGGGGCGATAGGAATAGAAGTAGGGTCTTGATGACAGCAGGAACCCGGACCTAACTTCACTTTTTAACCTTCTAGACGGATGCCACGTCGACCATAGACCGAATGTCGATGAATGGCATTCCTGTGAACACGTTGTCCAATCCGCAACTACATTCCGGTCGCAGCCCGTCCGGGCGCAACGTTGTAGTGGCACAGCGGCTATCTTTTCGTTGAACTGCGGCGGGTTGAACTGACAGGGCATGCCCGCAAGCCTGTAAAGCTGTAAGTCTGTACGCCTGTACGCCTGTAAACTTGTAGACCCGGTAAGCCTGTTAGCCCGTAAGCCTGTAGGGCTATAGACCCGTGAGACCGTAAGCATGTAAGCACGTTTCTTTGGCTGTCTTCTACTTGTAGGGTCTCTTTCCCATTTGTGGCGTTAACAGAGTAAGATTCATGGTAGACCGTAGATGCAAGGGACGACTTATGTATTTAAAATGAATAAATTACCGAGTACAAGCTAGAAAAGAAAAGCTAAAATTTCCAGCTAATGGAAGTTTCCAGCTGAAACTTCAGGCTAAACTTTCCATCAGGCTCTGGCCAACTAGCACTCTTCCCGGCAGTGGGCGGGATTCGGAAGGCGCACCCCCAACAATTTCCATTTGCCTGATATCGTTGGTAGAGAAGCCTATCCATCCCTTTCGCTCACGCCGCAACGTTGCCTGATTGATTGTCTTGAAGCCATCCACACCGAGACAGGCTGTCTTACTCCTCATACAATTGTCAAATTTATCGCAACAGTACCACGTATATCTCACAGTCGGGTCTAGATAACGACTCAGCCACCCTCATACCTTCTTACGTGAGAATCACCTACAGCGGATGTAATCACAGCATGCACTATTCTATATTGCGATATCTGCCAGTCATACCACCCATTCACCCACCCAACCTTCCAACCGTCCAATCCTCCAACCTGTACACCACTAACCTCTCCGCAATTGCTGTAGTCGGGTTTGCCCTTTCACTGCGGCTTACCACAATTATGCTTATCGTGCTCGCTTCATGCTTCAAGGCAGGAGCGCATCAGATGCTCTTGTACCGTTCCGAGCCATTGAATCTCCGTCGTAGGCCTCCCTTAACTTTACGTTGTATCTCCTTCTTCTTCGCCTGTCCTTTACCCTATCACAGCATATTCTCTTGATATTCAACAATCATTGACTTGCCCCGCCTTGCTCCCACTCGTTCCCGTCCCCTTTTTCCTAGTATGTCTCCAGGAATCATTCAAGAGCCTAACGGGCATGCCAATGGCTTCTCCAACGCTTCCTCCAATGGTGTTGATGCCCACATGAATGGCACCACGAATGGCACCACGAACGGACATTCCGAACCTGCATCCTCTTTCGAGCCAAACGGGCTTTCGAATGGTGCTTCCAATCATGTTGTCGAGCCGGTGGCAATTGTTGGCATGGCCATGCGACTTCCCGGTGGTGTTCACGATGCCGAGGGTTTCTGGGATCTCCTCGTCAATAAAAGGAATGGCCAATGCCGTGTGCCAGCCGATCGCTACAATATCGATGCCTGGTACAAACCGGGTAAAGCGGGCCATGTCGGCACACAGTATGGATACTTCCTGGAGGATCTAGATCTGGCTCACATTGATGCCTCCTTCTGGTCAATGACGAAGCACGAAGCGGAGGCTATGGATCCACAGCAAAGATTGATCTTGGAGGTCGTGTACGAATGTCTGGAGAACGCTGGGGAAAGGAACTGGCGGGGGAAGAACATCGGCTGTTACGTAGGTGTCTTTGGAGAGGACTGGATTGACATGGACTCGAAAGACGTGCAAAACCACCACATGTATCGCCTAATCGGTTACGGTGACTATATTACCGCGAACCGAGTGTCATATGAGTTCGACTTCAAGGGTCCGAGGTACGCCAAGAACTCGACGGCTTAACGAAAGTGAGCTGATAGCATGTTCTAGTATGACCATTCGGACCGCTTGTTCCTCCTCTTTGACCGGTCTTCATGAAGCGTGTCAAGCTTTGTACAACGGGGACTGCAAATCAGCCATAGTCGGTGGTACCAACATCATTATAACACCACGCATGACGATAGCAATGACTGAGCAGGGTGTCATATCCCCAACTGGGTCATGTAAGTCGTTCGATGCTAATGCCGATGGCTATGCTCGGGGTGAGGCAGTTTCTGCCCTGTACATCAAGAAGTTGAGCGACGCTGTACGCGATGGAGATACCATTCGCGCTGTGATCAGGTCGACTTGCGTCAACAACGATGGGAAGACGGTGGGTATAACAAGCCCAAGTACGGAAGCCCACGAGACCCTAATCCGCAGAGGCCATCAACTTGCTGGTATCACTGACCTCTCAAAAACGGCTATGATCGAGTGTCATGGGACTGGTACCAAGGTACGTGAGAGACTTTCCATACTCGAATGAACCTAAATACTTCTCGTCCAGAGATGCTGATGGCGCAATACACAGATTGGAGATCCTATTGAGACAAGCGCTGTCGCCAACGTTTTCGGCGAGCATGGTATCTACATTGGCTCGGTAATGTTGTCAAACCTGTGAGAAACGCTGCAGAGGCTGACTGATTAGGTCAAACCGAACCTCGGCCATTCTGAAGGTGCATCAGGGATGTCTAGTGTCATCAAGATGGTTTTGGCCCTAGAGCACAAAACGATTCCTCCTAACATCAACTTCAAGAAGCCTAATCCAAACAGTAAGTAAAATACGGATCTGTTTTCGTTTACGAAAGCTGACTCTTGTTTGAAGTCCCTTGGGAGCAAGGAAAACTGAAGGTTCCCATCCACGCTACGCCATGGCCCGCAGACCGAGCTGAGAGAGTGGGGGTGAACTCATTTGGCATTGGTGGAGCTAATGCACACGTAAGTCATTTCCAAAGGTAGCCTGGAACAGTCCTGAAGTCTTGTGTAGGTGTTGCTTGAGTCTGCAGCTGCTCATGGACTTGATCGACCGGCTCCGCCAGTTGATGTGAGCGAAGAAAGACCCAACCTTCTCGTATTCTCCGCGACACACCCCGAGTCTCTACGCCGTTTGGTGGACAACCACGCATCATATCTAGGCTCTCATACCGACTCCTTGAATGACATGAGCTACACCCTCAGCACTAAACGCCAACCGCTCTCACATCGTGCGTTCTGTATCGCATCGGAAGACAGTCCTTTGGAGCCGTCACGAATAAACAAACCTACAGAGACCCCAAATCTGGTTTTCGCTTTCACTGGACAGGGCGCCCAATGGGCGCAAATGGGTAGAGAGCTCTTTTCGAAAGAGCGCTCGTTTAGTGACTCTATCAGAGGGCTAGACAAAGTACTTTCGTCCTTGCCCGAGCCCCCACAATGGACCTTGGAAGGTAAGAGCTTCGCACACGCCCGCGCTTAGCCTACTCTTGACTAATCAATGTAGATGAAATTCTAAAACCAAAGTCACGGAGCCGCCTCTCCGAGGCTGAACTTTCTCAGCCTTGCTGTACTGCAATTCAAGTCGCTTTGGTAGATCTCATGACGAAATGGGACATCAAGCCGGCAGGTGTGGTCGGTCATTCTTCCGGAGAAATCGGCGCTGCATATGCAAGCGGCGTTCTCACAGCAGAAGAAGCCATTCTTGTTGCTTACTATCGTGGACTGGCAACGTTGGGTCTTGGGAAGATTCACCGGGGTGGGATGGCTGCTATCGGTCTTGGTCGCGATCAGGTCACACAATATCTTCGCACGGGCGTTATCATCGGCTGCGAAAACAGCCAGAGCAGTACCACACTGACAGGTGATATTGACACTCTCGAGCAAATCATGGCAACTATTCAAGAAGACCGGCCCGAAGTGCTCGTTCGGGCCCTGCACGTCGAATGCGCTTATCACTCTCGTAAGTACCCAGATGCTTTGTACTATGTCAAATCTTCTCCTCATCGTTTCCCAAACAGCGGCTGATGTTCTTAATGCACAGATCACATGAAAACGGTCGAGGCCAAATATCGAACACTTTTGGGCAAAGCCATCCACGCAAAAGAACCAACTGTACCATTCTATTCGTCCGTTACAGGAGGCCTGTTGAAGAACGGCGAAATCCTCTCAACTTCCTACTGGGTACAGAATCTGACTTCTCCTGTTCTTTTCCTCTCGGCTGTCAGCGCCATAATCGGATCACTTTCACAACCGCTGGCCTTTTTGGAAATCGGACCTCACTCGGCTCTTGCAGGGCCGATCAGGCAGATAATCAGGAAAGAGGCGAAGGATGCGCACTACGTCTCGACTTTGGTTCGGAACGAAGATGCGCTGACGTCTTTGCTGAAGACCGCTGGAGAACTGTGGATCAGCAATGTTGATGTCAACTTTGATTCCGTCAACCCCCCTGGCGAGTTTCTTACCGATCTCCCGACTTATCCATGGAATTACGATGGCCAATATTGGTACGAGAGCCGTTTGTCGAAGGAGTGGCGGCTGCGGAAGTTTCCTCACCATGACCTCCTAGGTGCTCGCCTTGTTGAAACCTCTGAGGTCGATCCGACTTGGAGGAACATGTTACGTCTTGATAACGTTCCTTGGATTCAAGACCACGAAATTGCTCAGGACATCTTACTTCCAGCTGCTGGTTACATTGCTATGATCGGTGAGGCTATTAGGCAACTCACTGACTTGGAAGATTATACTGTCAGAGCCGTCGACTTCATATCGGCGCTTATCATGAACGAAGGCAAACCCGTTGAAGTTCAAACACATCTCCGTAAGGCTCGCCTTACTACTACGCTCGATTCCGAATGGTACGAATTTTCGATTGCCTCGTTAAACGGTACAACATGGATCAAGCATTGCGTTGGTCAAGTCAGAGGAGGAGCTGAATTCAAGTTGCCGGTACCCACTATAGAGCCCTGTCAGCGCAAGGTTCCGACGAGCACTTGGTATCGTGTCATGGCCAGATTTGGCCTCAATTATGGTCCAAGATTCCGCGGCCTGTCAGAGATCAGTGCACACGTGTCAGAACGAAAAGCTGTGGCCACACTGAACGACAGCCTCGGAGAGAAGGAAACTCCATATCAACTCCACCCAGCCACTCTCGACAGCTCTTTCCAACTGTTCAGTTGTGCAGCCTTCAACGGAGTCGGCCGCCTGTTCACCAAGTTATCAATACCCACACACATCGAAGAGTTTTACATCAAGCCTGCAAAGGAGAGTATCGCTATTCAAGCGGAGGCAGAGTCTTCCCCCACGGGGACTCTAGCAGGAAACCTAGTAGGTGTATCCGCGGGTGAGCTCGTGATGAACTTGAAAGGTCTCAAGATGACTCCGCTTGGCGACAATAATGAGGGTCAGAATGATGATCCCCATGCCGCTGTTGAGTTGGAGTGGAAGAGCGATGTGAACCTACTAGACGCAACCCAACTCATGCGACCTGCCAAAGACATCACGAAATGCCACCTTCTAGTCGAAAAGCTTGCCTTGGCTTGTATGATCGAGTCGATTGTTCAACTACAGGGTGTGCAGACTACTCATCCACATCTTGACAAGTTTCGCGCTTGGCTCGATACAAGACGAGAGATGGCTATTGGGGGTCAATATCCAAACATCGATGACTGCGCAATGATAGCAGGATTGGATAGTACGCAGCGAACAAATATGATTGAAAATCTCCTTGCTCAATCGCTAGATACAGAGGCCGCAGCTGTCGCGACCGCAATCCACCGAATCTCGAAGCACTCCAGGGACATCTTTCTTGGCACCACGGATCCGCTGGATATACTGATGGAAGACGATATACTGACGAAAGTATACGACTTCATGCAATTGTGGGATTACACAGATTTCTTCGAACTTCTAGGTCATTACAAACCGGATATGAAGATCCTCGAGATCGGAGCCGGTACGGGCGGCACAACCAGTACCATCATACCACACCTCAAATCCGCTTATGGGGAGAGGATGTTCGGCTCGTATAAGTACACCGATATTTCCGCCGGTTTCTTTGTGGCAGCAAAAGAGCGTTTCAAAGATGTCCAAGGACTTGACTACGCCATCTTGGACGTTTCACAGGACCCAATCCAGCAGGGGTTCGAACCCGAGTCCTTCGATCTAATCGTGGCGACCAACGTCCTCCACGCCACCCCAAAGCTCAGTGAAACTCTGTCGAATGTGCGGAAGCTCCTTCATCCCCACGGTCGCCTCTTCCTCCAGGAATTGGACCCCTCGACGAGGTGGATCAACTATGTGATGGGCGTTCTCCCTGGATGGTGGCTTGGTGAGGACGATGACCGACCACTAGAGCCATATGTCAATCCTGAGAGGTGGGACAAGGAGCTCAAGAGCGCTGGCTTTGGAGGAGTCGATGCAGTTGCGTATGATGGACATCTTCTTAACAACATCATTGCCATGCCAGCCCGGGAGGAAAAGTCAAAACGGATCACCATCTTGTCCAGAGGCGAGTCGTCGCAGCATTCTCGAGGAATAATACAGCAACTTCGCGAGAGATCTTTTGAGCTAGATTTCTGTACGTTGGATCAAGTCCCCAAGCCCGGACAAGATATTGTTTCTCTCCTCGACACTGAAGCACCTTTCCTCTACTCTGCGACAGAAGAAAGTTTCAGCACCTTTAAGAGCTTCGTCTCTCATATTCAAGGCGCCGGAGTACTTTGGGTGACCGAAGCAGCCCAGAACGGTTGCCGTGACCCCAACTACTCCTTGATCCTCGGCATGGCTCGAACAATTCGCACGGAGTTTTTGATGGATTTCGCAACTCTCGAGCTAGAAAGTTTCGATGACGCAGCTGCATGCAAAGCTACCGCTGATGTCCTACAAGAGTTCCAGCACCGCGTTCGCGACCAAGACAATGATCCTGTCCTCGAATATGCCTTCTCGGATGGAAGAGTCCAAGTTGGTAGATACCATTGGGTATCAGTATCGAAAGAACTCCTGTCCGCGAAGCACCACTCTTATCCTAGGAAATTGGAGATTGGTAGGCCGGGCATCTTGCACACACTTGCTTGGAGACAACAAGAGCCCTTCGATCTGAAAGGCGACTTTGTCGAAATAGAAACCCGGGCGGTCGGACTAAACTTCAAGGTCAGTGCATCTTTGCTCTGTGTAAGTTTGTGTGTGTACACGAAGTAGCTGACTTTTATCAAAGGACGTCTTGATGTCAATGGGAATTGTAGATCTGGTGGGTCGTGGACTCGGATGTGAGAGTTGTGGAGTTGTAAGTGCTTTCCGAGCAACATCTTTCCATGTTCAGATACTTCTTGAATCATATCATACGGCTCGAAGGTCTCATATCTTGCGACTGGAATGCTGACACCACATTTTCAGGTCAAGAGGGTTGGGCCTGAGGTCAAGCATCTCAAAGTAGGCGATCGAGTCCTCTGCTGTACCGATGGATCCTTTTCGACTACTTGGTCCATGAGCGAACTCTTTTGCGCAAAGATGTCAGACAGCCTCAGCTTCGTCGAAGCAGCTACGATTCCTCTCGTTTACGGTACAGTCATCGCCGGCTTGATGGACTGCGCGAAGCTGTCCAAAGGACAGGTATGTCACATGCTGATTATAGGGATATCGTTCATGCTAAAACCTTATCCAGACTGTCCTCATTCACTCTGCTTGCGGTGGCGTTGGTATAGCTGCTGTTCAAATAGCAAAGATGATAGGAGCTGAAGTAAGCGACCGACTTCACTATTCTCTCGAATAGGTACTAACGCCGCTTCTTGCAGATCTTTTGTACTGTGGGCAACCAAGAAAAGGTTGATTTCCTTATGCAAAACTTTAATATACCCCGGAACCGCATCTTCAATTCGCGAGACACAAGCTTCTTGCGAGATGTGCTTAGGGAAACCGGCGGCAAAGGAGTAAATGTGGTCCTTAACTCACTTTCCGGCGAACTACTACACTCATCGTGGAAGTGTGTTGCTGACTTCGGAACGATGGTCGAAATTGGCAAACGAGACTTCATTGGAAACGGAAATTTGGCAATGAACCTATTCGAGAACAACCGATCGTTTATCGGTCTTGATCTGTCCCAGATTTGCTTTTACCGGCCCAATGCTATACATGAGTAAGCTACGCTCTTTCTATCGCTCTACTGTGTGTTGCTAACAGTTGATAGCCTTCTTCGTCGGGCAATGGAGTTTTATGAGCAGGGCTACATCAAGCCTATCACGCCCATGAAAGAATTCGAGGCTGCTCACATCGAGGATGCCATGCGTTACATGCAAAAAGGTCAACATATCGGGAAAATTGTGGTCACCTTCCCCAAAGACCCCATGGAGCTGGAGGCAACCGCAGATCCAAAAGAGCTAGTCCTTCGTCCCGATGTGTCGTACCTGTCCATTGGGGGTCTCGGCGGTCTGGGTCGGTCTATCGCATCCTGGATGGTCGAGAGAGGCGCTAGACATCTAATCTTCTTTTCACGGTCTGCCGGCTCTGTGACCAGTGAGGACCCTTACATCAAGGAATTAGCGGCCCTTGGATGTTCGGTCCAGACATTCTCTGGTAGTGTTTCCAATCTGTCAGACGTCAAAAGGGTCATTTCATCGGCTGCAAAACCTATCGCAGGAGTACTCCAAGCTTCCATGGTCCTCAGTGTGAGTAATTCTTTTCGTAGCTTTTCAATTTGCTTTTGACCTGACGTTTCTTCCCAGGACGCTGCATTGGGTGAGATGACCTTCGAACAATGGCAAACCGCTCTTCTGCCAAAAGTACAGGGCACATGGAATCTGCACGAAGCACTACTCGCGCAGAAGCAATCACTCGATTTCTTCTTCCTCTTCAGCTCTGTCTCCGGAGTAGGTGGGCAATGGGGCCAAGCAAACTACGCAGCTGGCAACACCTTCCTCGATGCCTTTGTACAATACCGTCACTCACTTGGCCTTCCCGCGTCAGTCCTTGACATCGGTGCCATGGAGGACGTGGGATACCTGAGTCAAAACAGCGGCATCCTCGAAGCACTTCGCGCCACCTCCCTACACACGCTCCATGAGCAAGATCTCCTCGATTCCCTCCAACTCATGATCGATCGCTCGCTTCCTGCCCCTCAATCTTCTCCAATGAAGACGGCCCGTTACGTCAACCCAAGCCAGGTCGCCATCGGCGTCCGCTCCACTCTCCCTCTCTCCGCACCAAACAATCGCACCATCTGGAAGAAAGACCCGCGTATGGCCGTATACCGCAACCTCGAATCCCTCAGCGCCACCAGCGCGGCTTCCTCCGGCAACGATGAAGGCCTCAAGCAATTCCTCCGCGACGCGAGCAAAAACCCCGCACTCCTGGACCTCGCTCCTTCAATCGAATACCTAGCCAAGGAGGCGGGCACCACGCTATTCGGCTTCATGATGCGCAGCGACGAGGAACCATCCATGGACGTGCCGCTCGCGAGCTTAGGCGTCGACTCGCTCGTCAGTATCGAGTTGCGCAACTGGTTCCGGCAGAAGGTCGGGGCCGAGTTCACGGTCCTCGAGGTGGTGAATTCGAACAGCATCACCCATCTGGGCGAACAGGCGGCGGCGAAGTTGAAGGAGAAATTCCAGGCTAGACAGTAGGCTGCTGATGACGGATGATTTATTTACACCTTCAAAGCGCGTCCGCGCGCCTTATTTTTACCTACTGTGGCTATCTACTCGTTGGCGCTAGCGAGGTCTCTTGATACGCTTTCAGCACGGAGCCATCCCGGCCCCCCGTGCTGTGCATCACGAGACTGGCTCGTTTCATTTCCTCGATCCACTTTTTCTGTCTGTTCGGACTTCATCGCTGCTTCTGCGTGGATCTGTTGTAAGGGAGTCGGTATTAGATAGGCGTCTGGAATATATAGACACGATATCTAGACTGAGAGTCCGAACCATTCATCCATTCATTCATTCATGCATTGATTCATTGATCCATTGATCCATCCATCCATTCATTCATCCATTCATTCATTCATGCATTCATTTTCCCGCTCCTTTCTATCTTTCTATCTCTACCCACTCCGGTGGAATTCTCTACTATGAATCACTATCCATCAAACACCGTCATCGCGATCAACATGATCATCCTACCCGCTACATCTTCACCAATATATACGTACGTCTCCACCGTATCGATCATCATCTCCCCGGTACGGAGGTGGCTCACGTGGAGGCAGATAAACGGGGTTTAGAATCGGTAGTTGGCCCGACTCCGCGCGAAGAGGGCGCTGGTGGGAGGAGGCTTTTGGGCGGGCACTCGCTTGCTCGCTTGTTCACTTGTTCACTTACTCAAGCCCTTCCTTTCCTTTCCTTTCCTTTCCTTTCCTTTTCGTTACGGAGAGTAAAGTCTTTACGTATATCCATATTGGAAGTCTCGCATCGCGGGTCCGGTCCTGTTGTTGGGGTGTGTATGTGTCAAGGGTGGTCGGGGGGTGCGGGGTCGGGATTGCGGTTGGCTGGATGGGGTCGGTGGTGGAGGTTTGGGTTGGGGGATGGTGGGGTGAGGTGTGGGGGATGCTTGTTGTTGTTGTTGCTGGTGGGGGAGAATGGTGGGGGAGAAGAGAAGAGAGGAGAGGCTGGAAAGGAAACCCGATGGCTGGATATGAGCATTTGGCTTTTCTATCTACGTGGGATATATGGGTGGGTAGGTGGGTGGGTGGGGTGGAAGGGGATACTTGTGTTGCGTCTTTGTTGTGTGTTCTTGGGTGGGGGCGGGGTTGGGCATGACGCGAATTGAAGTTTGAATGAATTGATAGTGTGGGAGGTATATGTGGAGGGATATCCATGTCTATAATAGTATCTCTTACGCCTTTATACTCTCTGGATGCATTATTTAAAAAAAATAGATATGTCCAACACACCACGGGGATTTAGGGCAATGAGATGCTAGTGACATGGAATCGAAGCTAGTTGAATATCCTTGCTCCTCATGATCGATTGGCTATTTCTTCAATTCCGCCGTCTCAACCGGGGTTATGTCGTCGGCGGCGACGTCTGTTTCACCCGTCCTGACCGCACTGGAAGTATCGTTCGAGACATCCTGATTGAACGCACCTGTATCCTTCTCAACACCGACCACAGCACCAGGTAGCGCGTCGGCGGCGGCTAGTTCAGGATCTCCGCCCGTCTCCTTGATCTTTTGCTTCTTCTGCTCGTCGAAGCCTTGCTCCGTGCTTAGCTTTTGGTTCAGATCATAATGCTTGATGAAGATCGTAGTGAAGAGGGCAAGGCCCGCCAATCCACACATGAGCGCCCAGATGGGGCGAATGCTATGCGACAAGGCAAGTCTGAGGATCGCTTTCCGCGGATCTGAGTTCGGCATGGCGTTGATCTGGCGGATCAGCGACACCACGTCGACACTGTACGACGTGGCAGAGCCTGATAGGGAAGGGTAGCTCGCCAAATTTGCGGCCATGCGGTTCTGGAAGACGACCCCACCGATGGCGACACCGATGGTTTGGCCGAAACAGCGGAAGAAGGTGAACATGGCTGCAGCGATGGCGATGTCTTTTGGCGGGGCGGAGGCTTGGATGGCGAGGGCCATGGCGGGGAAGAGTAGGCCGATTCCGATGCCGGAGACGAGCATGAGGAAGACCCAGGCTGGGATGGTCGTCGAGGGGGAGAGGATGTAGAGCAGGCCGGAGCCCATGGTGGCCAAGACCCAGCCGACCCAGAGCGCCCAGCGGTAGTGACCCGTTTTGGCAGCGACAACGCCGACGATCATGGCGCAAGGGACGACCGTCAGAGATTGCGGGAGCGCAGAGACGCCGGCAAGGACTGGGGTGAAATCTTGCGCGCCTTCGAAGAAGAGAGGCATGTAATAGAGGATAGACCATAGGATGATTCCGTGGATGAAGGTGAGGAAGTAGGCGATGTTGGTGTCTTTGTTTTTGAAAATTCCGAGAGGGAGGAGCGTGTGGGTCGCAAGCTTGGCTTCCCAAATGACAAAGACTGAGAGGCCGAACAAGCCGATTATAATGGGAACGAGGGTGTGCCAACTTGACCAGGCGTACATGACGCCGCCCCAAGTGATCGCTATGAGAAAGGATGTTGAAGAGCCGAGGAAGATGACAGAGCCGACGTAGTCGATTTCGCGAAGCTTTTGTTTCAGAGTACGTTTCCGACTCTCGAGTTTGAGAAAGGCAATGATGCCGGCAAAGCCGATAGCCACGATGGGCAAATTGAGATAAAAGATCCAGCGCCAGGCACCTGCTTGGGCGAGGGCACCTCCAATCAGAGGACCGGACACGCTACCGATGGCCCAGACGATACTGATGAGAGCAAAGTAGTTGCCTCGCTCGCGGAGGGGCACCATGTCCGTGATGAGGATTTCCGTGAGAGCGATGATACCTCCCCCGCCGGTACCTTGGATGGAACGGCCAACAAGCATCATGGTGAAGTTCTTCGACACCGCGCAGACAATGGAGCCGACAGTGAAGAAGGTAAGGGCTACGAGAAGGAGGGGGCGACGACCCCATAGGTGGGAGAAAGCGACGAAGTTAGGCTGCCAGACGGTGGAGGTCAGCAGAAATGAGGTTCCGGCCCAGAAGGCTTCAATTGCATTGCCTTTGAGGGCGACGGTGATGACCTTTGGAAATGGTTAACAGGTAGGACGGTTACGATGGTTGATTGATCACATGATCAGACGATAAGGCTTACCGGTAAGGCTACCGAAACGATGGTGGCATCTAAAGCGCAGGCCAGATTGACAATGGCGATTGAAGTGAAGGCAGATAGAAGCCGCCATCCTGGCTTGAATTTCTCTATCTCTTCTGAATTCGAGTTCAGTTTTCCCAATGGCTCAGTCATTTCTTCTATATTTTCTGGGCCCACCGTCTCTTGCTTGGTTATCTCTGAGCCCGCCGATGTCTCCATTTCCGTGGATATTCCACAGGCTGTGCTGAAGCAGGTCTGACAACGGAGGGAGAGTCGAGCCAACGGGCGGGCAAAGGGATTTCTTTTTCTTCAACCGTCAAAATGAAAGAAGAAGAAAAAGTATGAAGAGCAAAATGAGTAGAACGACAGTCAACGAGCGTCTAGAATATTGAAAGGAACCTGCCTACAGTGTGTGCCAGCTTGTTGCAGGCTGACTCGGACGAACTATCGAACCGACTCCGCAGAGTTTGCCCGAAGAGCGGAATCTAGCCTTTCACAGCTAGCTCCATGCGGGTCGGAGGGACAATTGGATATAATAAGGTTCGGGACCTAAAAGGCGTAGGTACGCTTGGCACTCTTTTCTGACAGGTGTACTACCTCACTAGTGTCTTGGCGAAAACATCCAGTGGCCTAGAGAATCTCACCTCATCTTACTTACCTTGCCCATCCACCCTCTTCAAAAATCTGTTGGACTTGACCGCCATTTGTCAGTCAAACAAACATACACAGTCCCTGATAATGGAATCAGCGGACTCGGGATCATGCTCACGACACCACTTGTCAGAACTCTTCTAGGTACTCCTCCATTTGTAGTCCTCGCAAGTCGGGCTCAGTCGGGCTCAGTCGGGCGCGCTACTCTATTTTCCAAGCTCGGGATCCCTGCCCCTTTCGTACCAATTGTCTGACTCATTTGCGCTTACTACTCTTCCATCTCGGGCCAGCTCTGCGACCCCCTCCTTGTTTCAAGAAGGATTCCTCCTGAAATTTATCGCTTTCTACGTGCGTGCTTAGCGTCCCTTGTAGCCTCGAGGCTTGTGTTGACACGTCTGCTGATTGGCATGCCAAGGGAATCTGCATACGAGCGGCTGCAGGGTTGGCCCTTGGGGTCGGCTTAGAAGAGGAGTCATACGGTGCGATTTTGCACCGCTGACGGCACTACTCACCGCCGACGCCGTTCTGCGAGGGAGGAATTGCACCGAATATGGCAAGTGATACGTGTACACCCCTTTTTGACACATCGACACCGCCCACCGTGTCCGGGAATAGCTTCCGGGTACGATGGGTGTCAGACCCGACTCGCTCCAATCTGTATTCTTAGGGGCACTTCCCGGGTCGACACGAGTATCTACTGTCCACAATTACCTTCGTCCCCCCCGCGAAAGGGCTAGTCTGTTTAACATCCAGCGCACCCGAGGATTGTAGGAGCGAGTGTGTACAGGAATGGGGGGAGAATCCTGTTCACGAGCGACGCACACTGTAGGTAGCAAGACCATCGTATTTGGCGCACTCGAGACGACGCCCAGCCCGATCGACCCGGAAAAAGCACCCGGATGTGAGTGGGGATGTCGATATATCAAATGGGGGTGTACAAGAAAACAAAAGCACCGCAACACCATTGTACCAGCGCCATTAGGAATCGAACCTAATACGAACTAAATACCCCCAACAACAGTACATGCATCACGTCCGCAAAACAAAGCGGTCATTCTACGTTATGAGTGTCCTTGAGTCGGTGCATATCTGCGCTACCATCTAGGACATGGTTCGAGTACTCTCCATACCCTACCGGCACAAAAATTTACCATACGTCAGGGGCGCGAAGTCAGTCGTGTTGAGGGTGGGATGTGAAGCAGGTCGACCGTCTGGTAAGGACGAGACATACACTCAAAGCTTCAGCTTGTGATCTGTAGTCTTGGCTGCGGAGAGCGGCTGTTAGACTGGACATTTTTGTGATCGAGTTCATGGGTGTTGGGGGTACAGAGGGTGGGGGAGGATATGATGTGCGATTTTTGCGGCGGTTGATCTCGCGCTCTCCGAGCCAGGTCCTGGCGACATGGTAGTAGGATGTCTTAGCGGAAGATTAAAATTTGTTCTTTTTCTAAAACTTTGGATCTGCTTGAGGGAAAAAAAGTGCGGCATGCACGGTCTTGCTGTAGACCGGTCAAAGCGAACTGCAAGCAAAAATCCTCCTTGTGATCTAAACACCCGCTTCAGGTGTCTCAAATCTTTGACCACCACCGGAAACACGGAGAAGTCGGCGTCACAGGTACGGTTGGACCTGTTTCTCGCTCCACGCCCAGAATTCCGCCGCACGTCCCGTCCCGCCTTCGCTTTTAGACTTTCCGGCGGCCTCGATATCCTTCCGTATACTACTGAAGCGGCCCCAGGGGATGACTAAAAATCGCCATGTCAGCATGGCACAGGGCAAAATGGACCTTAGACGTACTCCATGCGCCCGAATTTTTAAGCGTAACCTTGGGGGACAATCCGGCAAAAAGTTCGGTGTAGGCGCCATACATGGGAGGGTGGAGGAAGAGGTTGAAGATGGAAGCTCCGACGCCGGACATGTGGCGCTGGAGCTCCGTTTTCAGATAGCCTGGGTTCAGAGCCTGCACGGGTCACCGGTAAGCCTTGACGAGCCCGCAGACAAACGACGTCTTGCACATACCACGCTGAGGACACCGTCGGCTTGGTGCCGCTTGGCGAGTTCCTTGCTGTACAGCACGTTGCCGGCTTTGCTGACACCATACTTGTACCAAGCTGATTTATCCTCTTTGTAATCGAGATTCGTCATGTCAACCCCTCCTCCCTTAGGCGACATCATTTCTGCAGCCGACGACCCCAGCCAAACCACTCTGACGCTTCCTCGCGGCGCCGTTTTGGCAGTCTCAACCAGGAGAGGTGTCAGAAGTTTTGTGAAAAGGAAAGGGCTGAGACAGTTGGTTCCAAGCTGGGCCTCGTAATTCTGTTTCGTTTTCGAGCCTTGCGGGGGGATCATCACGCCGGCATTGTTCCACAACACATCGAGCCGAGTTTCTTGGGCGAGGAATGTCTCGGCGGATTTTTTTACCACCATCAAGTCATTGAGGTCGAGATGTAGGAAAACCAGCTCGCCTTTGCTTTTGGGGAAGCTGGCTTCGATGGACGCTATGGCCTTGGAGGCTTTCTGTTCCGAGCGAGCTGCGATCCATACTTTCGCATTGTGCGCGTAGAGGATCTTTGCGAGCTCCAAGCCGATGCCTGCGGCGCCGCCAGTTACGAGAAAGACCTGTAGAGCTGTCAGTGTGACGGATTTGCGGCTGGCGGGACGACGGCCACGGTGATGATGGATATGAAGGAGATGAGTCTCGCACCTTGCCTGCCTGGTCTGCAAGGTCTTTCTCCGTGAACTTGGGAGCAGGCGGGAAAAGTTGGCTGATCTGGCTCATTGTCAATGTTCTGGATTGTGCAATCGTTCTGTCTAAACTTCGAACTAGATCAACGCAGTGTGATTCTAAAGTTCGTCAAGCAAAAGAAGATGGTGAAGGTTGCTACGTCATGCCGAGGCTTCGCACCTGCGCTTTCTTTATGTTTGCGCAGTCGGGCTCAGTCGGGCTCTTAAAGAAGTAAACGGTGCAAAGTTCGGCCGAAGGAGGAGGAGTACGGCGCAAAGTTCCGCCGAAGTAGAATGAAGACTCCCTAATTCATCACCAGATCAATCTCTTTCTTGAAAGGTGTTTGTATCACAATGAATGTGGCTGTAGAAGAGCGCCCCAATACTGATTCTTATTGGAGAAGATGACCAGCAAACATGTATTACCTACGGGAGGCCTGTTCCTGCAATATCATTTTCTTACGATTTGCTGACGACGGAACCCCCAAGATAAGCCGTTAAGCTGACGCGAAGATTCTGATCCGAGCACAGCCTTGGGTCTATCCTTTAGTCCACGTACTCCCAGGAGTTCCATTCCAAACTGACCAACCTTAAAGACCTGCTAACCTCCTCATACCAAGATTCGATATCGTCCGACCATCCGCAAGTACCCCCGCGCCGCTCAGCGGCTTCCCGTCGTTCATGGCCAAGTCAACCAGCACGTTCCCGAGCTCTCTGGTCGGACTAATGAAACCAGGATTGACAGTTCTCAAAATTGTGAACACGATGGGGTACCCAACAGCTTTACCCGCTGGCTTCAGCTTCGGAATCCATCCGTGAATCTCCTCATGGAACTTTGGATCCACCCCAGCGGGACGGAGGGAATAGACTTTCAAGCTCGCATATGCCGGCTCGGTGCTAAGTGCTTGTAATTGAGCTTCGATGCGGCCTTTGACTCTACCAAAGAAGGGCGTAAAACGTCCGGGTGTCGTAGTGGCGCCTTCGCCTGTTAGAAAGGATGCGCGTCAGTAAGCAGGGACAACAAGTCTGAATGGATGGAGGATTTCGGGAGCTTGGACGATGCACGAGATAGGTCATCATTATTACCCGAGACGTAGACGAAATTGAAAGACTCTGACAGCGAGGCGAACGCTTTAGCGGCAGCGAGTGGGTATGATACCACAATCTCTTCGTAAAACCTACGGTGTAGAGGTCGTCATCAGCATGCGCCCAATGTCGATCCGTCAGGATCGTAGGAGAGTCATGCACCTACTCCTTGCTCACATCATTGACGCTAACGCCCAAGGCCCAGACACAGCCCGTGGCACCTTTGAGCTGATTCAGGACCTCAGTTGGGTACTGGTTGAAGTCGGTATGTAGTATGGTTTTGACTTTGGGATGACCTTCAGCCATCGGGACAGGTCGACGGCTGAGGATCGACACCGTGGTGACCAGGTTGTTGGTAAGCATCTGGTGGAGGCAGGCAGAGCCTACCAGGCCTGTGGCGCCGGTGAGGATGAGATGCATCCTATGCTTATTATATCTCAGTGAATGGTGGAAGCATTTTATAGCTTATATTAGGTTGTGTTGTAGAGTAGGCCTAGGGTAGGAACAATCTGCCCCCGGTATGGGTAAGCACTACCCGCAGGATGTGGCAGGCGGGGCAAAAAAAGTCCCGAACGCCAAGACTCTAGGTCGAGATCTCGTATAATGCCCCGGCTGAAGGGTTGCCTGGATGATGCAGATGCGCTTGAAAGTGCTTCAGAATTGGATATTGGCTCCAGCTCCAGTCTAATCTGGGGCTCACTACTCCTACAAGAGGTAACTCGTGCGCTCTTTGGAGATCTCTTCAAGGATCGCTACCTTACGAGGCAGCCTACAGAGAGCAGGGCTGGGGCTCGACACTTCACAGCCGAGATGACAACCTATCAGCGCAACAATAGAGTAAGTGCACGAGCCGTCTGGTTCCCCGTAGATAATCCCTGTTGTTGGTCCTCCCATACACGATGCTGGCCCCGGAACTAGGGTGGTGCTAAGGTAATTGTCACTCCGCTATCTTACGGGAGCTTCCGGGCAGAAAGTCAGCCCTAAACGAGGCCATGTCCGGTGCCACGTTACAGCGATACCGTACCTCCCGTGACGGCAGCGCCGTTGAAACTCTGTTTAATTGAGACGATAAATAAGGCGTCCTGGGCTTACGCTAAGTTTCCTCTGGGGGGTCGTGGGGGTGCTAAATGCTGACTAAGCTTGGGACGGAGCTAGTGCTAGTGTCCTGCCCAGCCTATAATCTTGACTCTCCCAACACACCTCCCAGCCAATGATGTCTAAACACAATAGTAAATATTCGTGTAGCTATCTCAATGAGATGCACCCAGGGTTTCTTGGAGAATCCAACGGAAGCCGTGACAGCTCAGGATTCTGTTGTCAGTATGGGATTGCATCAGAAGCCACTGGAAACTTCCGTTAAATAAGGAATTCCGGTATGTCTCACTCACGCTATGACTACGAGTAGGTATTGCTGTACTTTACATCAGAGTGTATCGAAGTTCTCGTATCCGTAACGATCAAACAAGTTGGCAAAACACAAAAGTAATCTTGGCATGCAGTCACCCGGGTAGCAAAAAAGCCCGTACACCCTAAGATTAACGGTCAAATTGACTGGCTGTTAGATAGAGAATCATTCAATAATGTAGGTAATTCTGCTGGGGGCAATGCAGTAGTCTCCATTTGGTTAGGGTGTGCGGGCTTTTTTACCCGGGTGTGGCAGTGTCCGAATTCAATCGCCCTACGCACTTAGCTTGTTCTAGGAAGGAACGAGCCACCTTAGTGCGCACGGTTAAGGTAATCTATCCGAGGAGCAACAATCCACAATAATGCACTCTGCTTTTTTCCCCCTCCGCATCTACAGCATTGCTTGGTTCTGAATACTCCTCCACCAACCAAACCAATGGTATGGTATTCACAGCGCCTTGTCAACCCCGCTGATCCCAAGTCCATTGAGCAAAATGGAATCTCTAATGAGGTTTGCCTTCGTCCTTCATCTTGTCATCGAGACAACAGCAGCTATCAACTTTTTCTTCCGACCTTCAGCAACGCTCTCAACACCCCAACCACACAGCCACGGGGTCATCCGGCAGTACGCCCTTCTGCTCCTGACCACAAACATCATCGTCGCGGTAGTCCTGAACCGCGCAGTGCACGATGCTTTGTCCGAGCAGATTGCTGCCGCAATTGCTCTGTATCATACGGGCCCTTTGGTCCGAGCGGTGTCCAGGATCCAACGAGGGAACTCGGGCGACGTACTCGGAGGAGCTTGGCTTCATGCTGTTTCTCACCTGCTGTGCGCAGCTTGCCTGATCGCATCATCATTCCTTCTTTAGTAGCCGAGCTTATTCCCAAGGCTTCGGTCCGTTTGTGCGTCAAGCGTTCATTGAGGGTAATCATGGTTGTGTTGATGGGATGGGTCGGACGATCAAAGAGCGCATCGAGAGTGCATCCTCAAAACAATCGGGCCGTTAATTGGCAAGGAAGGAGCTAAGAGTGCGTGGCACGGCTACCCCTCGGTAGCCGGAGAATTAACATTGAAAGCGCTGGAGTCGAAATATTGAAAAAATACAAAACACGAAACTTCCGAAAAACTCGAATGGCAAAGTTCGTCGTCGTAAGAAACTTGAACTTACACGCTCGACATTCAATACGGTCTATAGAAAGCAATGGGTATGGAAAACCCGAGATCCTTTTTTTCTTTCAAATGAGTTTTCACAAGACATATCTTACGTTCCAATTAGGGTACGTCTCGTTATCTAAGGTATATCAGGGGGAGGAGTGGAATGGGTGTGATTATCTTATGATCTTCAATCGCTTAGTATGCCTGAAATGCGATAGCCTCTCGAATTGCTAGTGCTTACCCCTTATAGTCCGAACAGCGGGTGGTTGTCTCCACTCTAGAATCCAGAACACAGAGTCCCCAATCTCCAATTTCGTTGCAGCTTCATGCAGGGACCTGGTCTGTACCCTACGTTGGCCACTTAGCTCGCGTGGCACAATACTGCGTCGTGAGTCGTGGATGACAACTACGGGCAAGGCCGTGGATTGGGACTACGCCTTTCGGGACACCCCGCTTGCACTGCTTTTAGCTTACGGACTACTGTATGCCGCAGCCAGACCGCGCGGCATCACCACCACTCCTACAACTCAATGCGAATTAGCTGTCACATTAAGGAAGCTTTCAAAGCCAACTTTTCACACGATGTAACTTCAAATAATGTATAGCTTCTGATGGTTAGATTTCGTCTTTAATAAAATATGAATGACGAGACGCTATTGACGCTAACTCAAGGTTTAGTATTTGTTAGCATGAAGCCACGGATTTCAAAGCAACGATACCACAACGACAACAAGAATCCCATCGTATGATTGATGGGTCCAAAGCTGTATGCACCGCAGCGGCGAGGCTTTGGCTTATTGTTCTGTTGCCTACCGAAACTTCGGGAACGAGAATCCACGAGAATCCTTGCGGATAATTGCACGCATCTGACCGGACTTTGTGTGTTCGTGCGTGAATTGGCCTTCGATGTGTGGGTGTGAATAATGTTTACAACCAAAGAAAGACATCTCAAGTCGTTGGCGTTTCAGACGGTGTAGGTATTCGACCGATGCAGATGTCAGACCGCCCCCATCAGCCAAGATACAGTGAGATTTGCCAATCCTATCAGCCTGATACATTGGTCCCTCTCAGCTCCATCAGCCTGATACAAGGATTCTTCTCAGCTCCTTCGGGGTCTGATGCCAAACTAGCAGAGCCGTCCCTAATCACGCAACCGCGACTTGTGGGCTCGTAGATACGGGAACCAAGTCAGTAACCTCTATTGTGGATATCACTCCAAAAATCGGCCTTTCATTGTGGTTGAAATGAATCCGCAATCTAATAGAGCGCCTAGAAAGTGGACGCCTGCAGAGAATAAGATCCTGCAAGCGAAAGTTGAAGAGTGCAGTAAGGGTTGACGGAGTAAGAGAACGAGCATTCAGACTAACGATTTGAGGCAGAGAAATCCGGGAAACCCATATATTGGCCGCAAGTTGCCGCAGCATTTCAAGACAGAAGCAAGGACGACTGCCGCAAACGTTGGGCTAAAATGGACGAGAAATGGAGAAAGGGGGCATGGGATAGCAGTGAAGATGACATTCTCTGTCAAGCGGTCAAAGAATACGGCTGTCGGTGCGCAGACATTGTCGCTGTATCCTGGGATCAAACGCTAAGTGGGCTCTGGGAATAGTTGGACTGATATCTCAAAAACCATTGGGACCCGCAGCCCTGATCGTACGTTCTCACTCATATAAAGGAACACCTCTCATCAACGGCAAGCTGACGCGGGTCCAGAATGTGCCAAGCGCTGGCGAAACTCTCTCAATCCAAACAACTCGCGCGGTGAATGGACCGAGGAAGATGTGAGACTACGAGCTTCTATGTGAGACGATAGACGACTGATTGTGGAGTTTAGGATACTACTCTCATGGAAGCTGTTCAAAGCTACGGCCATGACTGGAAATTAATCCATGAGAAGTTCCTCCCTGACAGATCAAGACTGGACCTGAGCAATCGGTGAGGCGTCTCATGGTCCTTGATAAATGAGGTCGTGAACAAGCTAATCTTGAGAGCAATGTAGGTATGTATCGCTTGCTCGACAGCAAAAGAAAAAGCAACCGCGACCATCTACTACTTCGTCAACAACGATGCATTCACAAGACAACCACGCCCAAGCGGAACCCGAGCAGATGCATGATCTGATACCGACCAGCCCGGAAAACGGCAAGAAGCAGCACGACCCCTTTATACAGACTATCTCAACGACATCCATGGACGACCAAGCTATCACTTCATGGATCTCGCAAGGTGCACGGGCCGACCCCATGGAGGTCCTGGACCCTCAACTATTTCCAGGCGCACTTGGGCAATACGGGTCACGCATCCCGCAAGCGCACGACGATCTGTTCACGACGATGAATCCCTACAGCAACAACGAGAGCGACAAAACGAGATCGGTCCTCATGTCACCGAACAGCTCCTCTTCCCTCTTCCCTTTCCCCAACGCCACAATGAGTTTCGACTCCTGGATGAACCTCAGCCCCACCACGACCTCTCACGCCTTGTCGTCCACGAACGACCGTCAGCAGCAGCCACCTGCCGGCGGTCTCGAGGGCCAGGCCACACTGACGGACGCAAACGTGACGGAGGCGGTGACGCCATCTTCGTCCAACGGAATCCAGTCCGTGTTTGCGCCGGGGGAGCGAGGCAAGACGGTGCTGACGCTGGAGAATCTGGACCCCGATACCCGGAGCGACGTCCTGGATTTGCTCTTCAGGCGCAAGATCGTCACCACCATCGCGATAGTGTAGACTTTAGACCGATAGATGCTCCATAATCCCAACCGGCGATCCCGATCCGTAGCCTTCGTCAGGAGACAGCCATGCTTTTCCTTTCCGATTTGAATTGTCGAAATCCAAGACATACCCAATCTCCAACGATGCCACCATCGACTGGCGCGACGAAGCGCCAGCCAGCGACGTTCCATCTCTTTCTGTTCGGGCAGGCAGATCAAACGTCTCACCCCTTCGCTCCCGTATCGTCGATAATGTAAGATGGCAAGCAAGGTTGCAATTCATTGATGACTGCATTAGCACGCATCCATCTCATCTAGCACCTTGCATAACTAATCCTCCCCCCCACCCGCACACACACAGAAAATCCACCGATTGGACTCGCTTCTTCTTACACGTGGCCGAGCTAGGTAACCACCTATCCACCACCCCGCGTGGGCAAGGCTTCGTAGATTTCCGCACCGAAAACAACATCAATGCCCGGTCAATGTTTTCGATCTATTACCGTAACCTGTCCGGGGCGGGTGCCCTGTTGCGACAAGCACACGTGCCGCGTGCGTGCGCTTTTCGCTCACCAATCGCTGCCGTCGTCGTTGCGATCTTTCCCGTTGGGCAGCGAACGTGCAAGCTTCACTGGTTTTGGTGTCGTTACTGTTGCCTGGTTTTTTTTCTCTTTCTTTTTTTTTCTTTTTTTACCATCCTGCAGCTCGCTACCGCTACGTTGCGTATGTGGGTGGGGGTGATCGGTTCCGGGGCAAGCGATATACTCTCTACCTACCTGCGCAACGGTTGGTCGGTCGGTCGGTTCGATACGAGTAAGTATGGGGCCAGGACCCTTGCGTGTGAGCCAGGCACGATGCTCGCTTAAGGGCTACGTGTTGCGGTTAGCGTGGCCCCGAATGGGGGGGCCTGGTGTGAGTGATAACCGGGGTAGGGTTCGTGCGTGTTTATGGGGTGGGGTGGGGTTGGGGAAGGCGCATGGCTGGGACTTTCGGCTGTTGCGGTCGGGGGAGGTTTTGATGGTTGTCACTGGGGTTTTGTTACTGGCTAGGTGGGGTTTGGAATGGAATTATCGGATGGGCTGGCTACTTTGTCGGCGTGGCTGGCTGTGACGGATAGACTTGTTGGTGGGGGTGAGGCGCTATGGATGCACGGTCGAGTTGTGATTCGCTATTGTATGGACGGCTACAATCGCCGATACGGAGTATTCATATAGTATGTCCCGGATGCTTCATCGAGTATGAAGCCTGGCAGAGAAGTTCTGGCTGGCGGACTTATGGTGGAGGAGGGGCGATGTGTCCGGGAGGATTCGGTTGCTCACCACTCTGCTGTGTTGTACAAGATAGCGATACCGTAGCAAAAACAATTGATATCGAGCTTGCTCGACCCATCCCGTTCCTGAGACTGGAGGAAACGAATCCGTGCTTGTATCATGTCCAACGAGCAAGGCCATGCTCCGCCGATCTGGCTCGAACAAAGCACCTCATTCTAATGGCGCTCGCGGTTCTATCGCGAAGGTCGTCCGTTCTGGCAATGGCTGTGTAGAAGAGACATACGCGTAACAGACGTTGTATCATAACCGTTGGCGCAGCCACATTCCTGACCCTGTTCATATGTACCCACGGCCTAGCAACCCAGCTGGCAGATTCTACCAAGTCTACCGAATCAGGCCTCCAACGGGCGGATGGTGCAGCGTTGTCATGGCCCCGGGTGCTGTATGAGGAATCTACAAACGCAGCTGCCGTATTCTAGCCCATTCCCAGGCAGAAGCCTGGCAATGTCCCCGTATGATCAGACGATCCATCCTGAAAGATTATGCTACTAGATCAAGGCATTCGGCAGGGCTGTCTGGAGTCGTTGAGAAACAGTGTGGACACTGCGGCCCGGCGCACCGCTGAACGGGCTATGGCACCGATTTAAAATGCTGCCTTGTTGCTCCATGGCGACACCTCATGGCTTTGGTCATTTTTCTGAACGCGGGAAAATGGGTCCGTGATGCAGTTGTTTGTGAACACATCTGGTGTATGTCGGCAGAAAAAGCGCGTTGGAGCGGCGTCCAGTCATACAAATCATAGAAACCACGCAAATAACGCACCCGAGGTGTTTGATGTAAGCCTGTAGAGCGTAGGTAAGCATGGTGTTGATGGTTGCATACCTTTTGTTGAAAGGATTCTATCTCCGCATTATAGCGCCATGTTTTCAAAACCGCGGGCGCCTTATGGCGACACCTCCCGGCCGTAAGCTATCCATGTCACCTACCTACATACAGGCAGCGGGCGAAGCAGAAGGATGCGAGGTGCCCCCATGCTCCTGCATGACCCCCCGGCTTATGTGCCCATGCGGACCCCCATTGAGATATTTTCTCTATTGATGCGGAGATAGATAGCATCGACGATTGAGCGAAGGCAGAATCGACGATGGAGCGCCGGCTCTTAGCTCGACTATGCGCACAGATCGCGTCGCTAGAGAGGCACAGACGCAGACGCAGACTTTTCGGCCCCCAGCCTGCAGCAACGGATCACGGTCAGCTTTCGGATACAATATCTCCTTCGTCCACCGCGCCTCCTGCAGTGTTCGGTCTCGCTGGGTTATGTTCATGTGCGGCGCGTGGCACCAGAGCGGTCTCTGTGCCGTGGAAAGGTCAGAGGCTTGTCCGTACGGCTGCTCCGAGTGTCGCTTACTGTTTGAGTCGCTCCAGACACAGCTGTTGGTCCGCACTGATCAGTGATCATGATTCCGATTGCAAGGATTCCAATTCTTGCGGGGTTTCTCGTATGGGCACGCTTTGAGTTGTGGGATTGTGGCTGCTGGGAGTTTCAAAGGGCTAATTACTGATTCATCATTCACGCCCCAATGGGATATGATTCGGTAATCTGCCATTCATGCTGAAAATCACAAAGGAGAGGATCCGCGACCTGGCCCATCCCACTGTAGAAGCGAGGGAATTTCTCCGACCCCATTTAATGAGAATTTTACCAGCCTAGATACAACAGACGAAAGCGGAGTGGACGAAATCTCGACTCCTCGAGGATCAAACGTGACTACCACCGTCATCAATAACCGAGTCGACGACCACTACCAGACGCTTAGTGGAGCTTGCTGCTACCGTAGCCTTCATCCGGCCGTCTCGTACCAAGAACCTACCATTCATGACACCCGTCTCACAGGCACTGACACCTAGCTGCTTCTACACGTAGGCTACTATGGCAAATCACCGAATCATATCCCATAACTTGGTTTAGGGACATGAATCAGTAATTAGCCCGAATGCCAAATCAGAACGCTCCACGCATTTAGGAGAGATCACGAAAACCACTCCGAGGTGCTATCGTAGCCGAGGTGCAAAGACCTGCTGAGTGAAAGGCGGAGTCGCTATTCGAGGATAGTCTTGTAGACTGAGAAGTGTGCTGAAATCATTGCTATAGAAGATGCAACCATGAGAAGCATTCAATTGTGTCTAGACACTCGAGCTGAAGTTGAGTAGGAATACCATAACGGGGGCCAAGATCATGCTTCAAGATCTGTGATATTCGATTGTACAAATACTCGTGGTATACCCAATCTCTTGCGGCTATCTCAGTGTGAAGAAGCTTCATGCCAGCAGGTCTGTGACAGCAATGAAAATCCTAATGCTAAGCAATCCGCCTAGTCACGTTCAGGGACTACCCCAGAGCAATACCACGTTGCGTACAGCAATACAACTACCATTCTGGCTGAGCTATGGTGTGTTGCCTTGAATCCGTACCAACTCACATCAAAGACCGGACTCGACGACCGAAGTAGGTACAAATATCTGAGTATTTGTGGACTTGAGCCTAAGGCGATCCACTGGCAGTGAGAGGTGCCACGCTTGTACAAATAGTGTTATCTTAACCTTTCACGCACTCGTAGACGACCAGCGTGGTTCCTGTCCTAGGTACAATCTCAGGAACTGTTGTCTCTGTTCAGATGTCTGATCTAAGCTCATTCGCTAGAGGACGCCTTCTACCTGGGCGAGTGATCTCGTCTTTGCGTTCTCCAGTCGACAGAAGAGACTCGTCATCTTCTTGTACCCGAAGTACTGGGCAAAGCTCTAGCGAACACCAACGGGTTGAGAGTTTTTGAAGATTCGAAACCAGAAGACTTCGTGCAACAAGAGACGATAGGTAAGTCGGGGTTCTATGGCTTAGAACGACAGCTATCCGGGTCTGAGCAGGGTGAGCTGGACAACATTGCGAGTAATGGGGCCCTATCTTAGGAGAATTGAAAGTTTTGCGATGTAAGAATATTACCTATTTGAGCAGGTGCTAAGTTACTTATACTGAGTGGTAGTCAAAATGAGGTATGTGCTGAGAGAATGCAAAGCCACTAAAGAGAATACACCGACATAGTGTCGTAGAGAGATAGCAGACAGGCCTCAGGCCTTCGAAGCTGCTGTCGTAGGAACACTCTTCATGTTGAGAGGGTGCTTTCCTACTTCATCGCGTCTTTGTGTTAAAACGTTCCGGTCGTTTTCCTTCTGAGAGGGTGGATTTGCGTCGAAGAAAGCACTGGCCGACTAGTTTTCGGACTTTGGCAATCCTTGATCACATTTGAGCCTCTGCGCGTTTACAACAGATTTGGAGGGAAGTTGAGAGCCCTGAGGAAAAACCTTTTGCCTGTGCGACCAGTTGCGGTTGAAACCGTTGAAACCGATATATGTTAGAGAGCGTTGTCGCGGTTCCCGAGCAATTTCATCGAATCTGCATAAGATATTGCCTAGCTGCATTCATGAAGCTTATCGATGGGCGTCACCCCGCCGACGAAGACCCCATGGAAAAGGGACCCTATCATTCTGACATCCAGCCGATAACCAAGGAAGAGCGCCATACGCAAGTGCTGGGTCGACTTGGTAAGCAGTCCGTGCTCGAACGGCGCTTTGGATTCCTCAGCATTCTTGGATTTACTTGCACGATACTGGTTACCTGGGATGGATCCCTACTTTTGTTCACGACTGGATTGACGAACGGAGGCTCTGCTGGGCTCGTATACGGCTACCTTCTGGTGTGGATTGGGACCATTGCTGTTTTCACAACTATGGCAGAGCTAGCATTCATGGCTCCAACTGCGGGTGGCCAGTATCATTGGGTCTGCATGCTTGCCCCTCCATCGTGTCGAAAGTTTCTCAGCTATATCATGGGCTGGTTGGTGATTTGTGGATGGCAAGCCATTCTTGCTGGAGGTGGTTACCTAGGCGGTACTATGATCGTTGCGCTGATCCAATTGAATCATGATGATTACGTGCCGGAATTGTGGCACGGAACGTTGCTCTTCTGGGCAATAATCGTTGTTGCCGTATTCACCAATACGGTTACCAGCAGCATACTACTCAAGATCGAAATCTTTATCTTGGCTGTCCATGTGGTTGGCTTCTTCGCTGTCCTGATCCCAGTGGTTCACTTGGCTCCAGACAAAGTCTCAGCCCATGATGTTTTTACACAATTTTCGAATGGGGGTGCATGGCCTTCACAGAGGTTATCCTTCTTCATATGTCTCATCGGCAACGTGTATGCCATGTTTGGATGCGATAGCGCCGTTCACATGGCTGAGGAAATTAAGAATGCCGAAGTCGTGGTACCGGTGTCGATGCTCACGACTACTGTCCTCAACGGAGCGCTCGGGTTCGCGATCGTCATCGCAGTACTCTTCCTCACAACAGACATCACTGCAGCTCTGGCAAGTCCTACTGGAGTCCTAGACTATCCGTTCATGCAAATCTTCTACGATGCAACGGGCTCCAAAGCCGGAGCTTCAGTCCCGATTGCCATCATGATCATCATGGACGTGGCTGGGACGATCGCGCTCGTGGCCACGGCATCCCGCTTGGTCTGGGCTTTTGCGCGCGATCGAGGTCTTCCGGGGTGGCGATCTGTGAGCAAGGTTCGTTGACTACTCCGCCTGATTGCAGACGGTTCCTGGCTCACATTACCACGCAGGTCCAATCTAAGACCGCAATCCCATTCCTCGCAGTCATCATAACGTCTCTTATCGCCTGCCGCATCGGCCTCGTTGGTGTCGGCTTTCAACGATGTCATCTCCCTTGGCGTAAGCAGTCTCTACGCTTCTTACATCATCACGGAGAGCCTTCTCCTCTGGCGTAGATGCACCGGTGCTATCAGAAAGGCGACAGACGTCGCCAACGACACAGGCGAGGCTAATCAGCTTGTCTGGGGACCATTCCGTCTTCCGGGTATCTTCGGTATTATCGTCAATGCTTGGGCAGTGGTTTTCGGAAGTATTATCTTCTTTTTCAGCTTTTGGCCGGTGGCGAAGCCGGTCACGGCTGCGCGTATGAATTTCCGTGTTTTGATGACGGGATCGGTTGTGCTGTTTGCGGTATTGTACTATGTTCTATGGGCAAGGAAGACGTACAAAGGGCTTATTGTGGAGGTGACACCTTTCTCGACAGTAGAGTGAATACTTCGGGCCCATCGTATGAGGAAGTGGATAGCCTGTTGGACAATGCAGGCGCTGCTGTGGTTTTCTTGAATCAGGAGTGATTGATTACGGGCAGATGATGGTAAAAGGCACGGCATATGATAATTCAGACAATCAGCACCGTGATGGGGCTAAAATTACATCTCTACGTTTTGCACTTCGTCCTCTGCCACAGATTCTGCCACCACGATCTACCTTCCCTCATTGCTTAACTCCGCCAACGAAGGCATCGGCAACCCTACCCCACAGATCATTCTAATGTTCTTCGGATCCTGGCGCCGGTGGCCATAGGGTAGCCTAAGTAGTGAACACTACGCGTTAGTACGGTGGCACACCAACGAACAGGCTAGCATGTGTTTAGAATAAAATTCTTGACGGGAACGGGAGCAAGAGCAAGCGACCTTAAGAATGCGGTGATGGGAGACGAGGCCTGGAGGGGAAGGATGGGAGCAGGTGCGGAAACCGCTTGTGCTGGTGTAGTGCCTATGCAAGCAGGGGGTGGTGGATAGACCATGGCGGGAACAGTAAGATGTCAAGGCGGCGCTGGCCCTGCGCTTGGAAGCGGTGGCGGGTCTGCCAGGTTAGCGGTGTCGTGCTGTAGAACATGTGTTGGTATTGTTGTCGGAACTGCCGCTTCAGGTTCAATGGCCTCCAATGACACGTCTGATTAAGCAGGACATCGCGCCTGAGGCTCCCAAGCATTCCGTGGAGCTGGTCCGCCTGCTAGCACCGTGACATGGCGCTTCTTTGCATCATCTCTGAAGTAGCCGCCTCGGTATTGGGGATTGAAGTGTGAGGATCTCGAAGAACCCTCGGGCAGGCGGAGTGACACGTCGTGATAGCAGAAACCGAAATGGCCACTCACTGTTTCTCAGCCTCCAGCCTCGGCTTGCTCTTTTTCTCCCCATTGTAGATCCGCAATTTCTCTAGCATCGCATTGCCCCAGTAGTAGCATGGACTATCCAAATTCAGTATCAAGACTCCGTCGTTCTGCAAGAGTGTATGGATAGCATACCTATCCCCTCCACCCATCTGCCCACTCTTCTTCAAGAATCCCCCCAACGACCTCGCTGTCGGTCCACTCGCATTCCTATTATATTCCACAGGATGTCCACCCTTCTCCAACTCTTGCATCTCGGCTGCCATGGTCGACTGGTTCCATTTCTTGCTCGAGCCCGGGATGGTACCTTTGTCCGCGATGAGCTTGTTGAGCTTGCGACGGACGGTGGTCGCGTTGTCGTAGCAGGGTATTTCGCCGTCGATCTCTTCGAGTTCGATGGCGCGGTAGTCGCCTTTGTCGGAGGCGGCGGTGGTGGCAGAGGGGGATGGGTTGGGGTCGACGTTCTCTTTGTCCGTCGCGCTTTTGTTCTTGTTTTTGGGGGAGGTTTTGGGGTAGGGGTTTGTTCGATTGGAGGTGGCGCTGGGGCCGCTGGTACGCCGTGCTGCTTTGGGCATTATGGTGGGTTGTTTGTTGTTGAAAAAGTGGGTATGTGTGGGCTTTTGGAATTGTGACGGGGAACGTCTGTTGATGTTTTCCCCTGCTCGAGCGAGGCTTGGCGCGTCATGCCCCTAGGTCTACGTCATTGTGACGGAACACAAAGTCACGTGCCATGCTTTCGCTATCTTGGTACATCTTTGCTTTTGCTTTCAACGTAGATATTGTTGGCTTATACATGCTCTGAGCCTGCCATTCCACATGCATGCAGTATTTCCTAATCTTTTGATTGTCCTCCCTCGCTGGACTTCCTATATTGTATATACCCGGAAGTGCCCGGTACCTGGTAATGCCCGATTTAAAATCCGATAAGTCCGGCGCAACACCAAAATGCCTACCTTTCACCAAAATTCTATGGCAACTCGGCATAATTATGAAGGACAATACTGGACTTCCATTGCTAGCAATATTGATGTATCTGAGAACTCAATTTATCGTTTTTTGGGCCTTATCGGTCTACCGGTTCGTGAAAAAACCGTCGCTACCTCTTCTTCTACCACGTCTTCTATCACTAGATTACCTCTTCTTCTATTATATCTTCTTTAACTATCTTTTTACCTCTTCCGCCTTTTCCACCTCTTCCATCTCTTCTACCTCTTTTATCTCTTTCACCTCTTCCACCTCTTCCACCCCGCTGTTGTTACTGTGGTGGAGCCTGTGGTGGAGCCTGCGGGGAAGCCTGCGGTGGGGTCCGCCACTGTTACGGAGCAGGTCTTCCTCCACCTTGCTGTTGTTGCTATGGTGGGGTAAGCGTTGGTGGTATTAGTGGGCCTGGTGTGGGAGATGTAGTAGCCTTTTTCTTGACTAGACTTCTACCTCTCTTCGTATCTTCAAAAAGAGCTGGTCCGAGGTGACACATGCTTCGAAATTCCTTCTCAAAATGCTTGATAGCTATATCCTTCAATCGCTGCTGAATAATCTCAAGGAGGTATAGCAAATATAAATGGGATTTGGGCATTAGATCATAAATGGCCTAGAGGGGCCAATATTTTATTACACGGGAATTCAAACGAGGTAATTCGTGGATAATCATGTCTATGGTTTTTAGGCGACTGGGGGGATTGAACTTATCTACCAGCGAAGCTAGTGGCTAGCCACAAAAGAGTAGACTATCCTTTATGGTATTTCATTGCATTATAGGGCCTCGATATAGTGTAACGTTTTATTCAGATAGATATGTAGTAAAATCAAAAACAATGCCCATATTTTGGTGTTGCGCCGGACTTATCGGATTTTAAATCGGGCATTACCAGGTATCGGGCACTTCCGGGTATATACGAAATAGAGTAGGTCTCATCGTGGTTCGCGAGATTGTTCGGAGGCCATCGCGTTTCAAACGACCTGCTCAATATCATTATTCACGTTTGGCAAACCACAGCCGCCGGTCCACAAAGACCTACTGCCTTGAATTATGTGCTAGAAGACTTGGAGAGTTTGTCTTCACGTCAAATGAGGGTGTGAGCCATTTAGGCGGCGGGAAGGACCGAACCTACGCTCCTCAGCTTGGTGCCAGAGCAAGCTGTCGTGTCACGGCAATTGTTCGTGACGATCTCTCTCGCAAGACCCTATGCTACATCGCCTTCCCAGAGCAGATACTCCATAAAGGTTTGATGACCAATTCGCAAATAGATTTCCTGAAGTCGGAATCTTCCCAGTCTGGGACAGGATACTTGGGCCGTGTCTGGAATGTGCACTCGATACACCGGGCTGCGGCATCGTAGTAGGAACACAGCAAGTCGCCCGCAGAGTCGCGTAGCCACGCTGATGCGGCATCGTACCGACTGCCATACGCCGTATCCAGAGTGAAGCCATGGGCTGATGCCCAGGACTCGAAAGATTTCTCATGTCCGATCTCCAGGAGTACTATGCCTAAATTCAATAGCTGCTGTCTCGCGCTTGATTTGTGGGTTGGACAAGCTGCTGCAGCCACGTTGAATTTGTGGACGAGAAATGGATGACTCGTATCGACAAGAAAAGCGGCTTCATCAGCATTTGGCGATGGTCTGAGGCGCCAAAAACAGATAGTCTGTTTCGTCCAAGGCTTAGCCATCCATGGCGTTGAGCATAGTTGCAGAAGTGACGAGGCCAAAATAAACGACAGCCTCATCCGCTGAATTGGACTCCACTTCAAGGATATGGGTCTATTGTTTGGCGTCTGAAGAAGAAATTGCTCTAGGGTAACGAGCTCTTGAGTGCGGCATTCAGAGTGAATCCCCCTTGCAGGGGCCGGAGACGTGTGACAGCCGGATAGAGTGCCATGTTGCGATAAATATAGTTTGAGGGTTTTGCTAGCTTGTCGCGCCTGGTCCAATGACGAACAGAGATCTTGTACCTCGTCCATCAAAGGCTCACGAGACTCGGATGGCTGGGGCAAGTCGAACATAACTTGGGGCTGCTTTCGCGCCTGTGGTGTAGTCAATCTATGTCTTTTGTCAGTGCATCTACCCTTGCCAAAGGTTGACTGATGAGTCGCACTCATAGATCTCATTATCAAGGACCGCGACTTGGAGTTCCTGGGACAGCATGTTACTACCTGCGAGTACAGCTGGTGATCCGAGGATCAAGTCAAAATGGATAGACACTCGTCGCTTGTGCCACGCGTCCGAGCGATTCTCCAGATATAATCTAGTCTCGTGCTCATGGTGGCATCCAGATATTAGTCTCTGAGACATCGCCGAGTAGAGAACGTCTGCGTGTCGTTGAACTCGCTGCAAGAAAACTGCGAACTTTCCGACAATTCTCTGTTCAGAGAGAATCTCGTGATGATTTAGCGATGTACCCAAGTGTCTCAGCTTTGTCAGGGTGTCTGTGGTTTCTCTGAGGTCGTTGACTCTTTGCTTGAGCTCATCATCCTTGAGAACGAATTTAATTCGACTTCTGAATTCGTACTTTCCATTGGCGCTTAATGAGTTCGCTTTGAGCAGCTCTTTGAGACTGCCAGACTTCAGGCAAGAACAGCAGTCAGTCTAGGATCCTCAAAGCTCAATAGCCGTTCTGAAGAAGGGCTGCTGACCTGTGGACCAGGCACAAGACCTTTCATCTCTTGCACAATCTTAGTCAGAGACGCCTCGCATCTACCAAGTGTGTCTTTGTACGGGCCAAAGCCTCGACCAAGAGATCGGCTGAGCTCTTCAGCTACATCACTTCTACAGAGCAGCCCTTGCAAGTTGCTGGTGTCCATAGAAACGATATCATATCGTTCAAAACCAGCTTCCAGCAATGCAAGCTCAAGGTCTCCTTCCAGAAAGAACTTTTGGTTCTCCAATGCAATAATCAATTGATCTATGCGAGAAGCTTTGTATCTGAATGACCATGACTTCTTGTGATTAGTTTTGTAGTGCCCGAGAGCGGCGACCATTATGGGCACAGCACCAAGAATCAAGCCAGCAACTTCCATGCCACTCATGATGGTTGGTCTCGAAAATGCCCCCAAAAGGACCGGGTACTAGATGATGGCCATTGCAGGCTGGATTGACCATGACACGAAAAGTCGTCGTTGTTCCGTCACGCACAGGCAGTTAAGGCTAGCCTTTGCGTTATCTGGAAGGAGATTGGTTACCCATAATCAGCTGCATGCAGCCTTGCCTCGACCCCGCATCTGACGGAGCTGAACAGAGGGAACTCTCACAACAGCTTGTGAGATATCCATAGTATATGGAGCCGGCTCACTCGCGTCTAGACATAAATATCCCGGTTTCTACCAGCCATTGCTAGCAGATCTCCGTATATGGAGGTGCCACTGTCAGCGCCCGAAGCCACTGAGACCCTAGCCGCAGTCGGCCACCATATTTACGCTATATTCACGGCCTTGGAGGCAGACGATAGACCTCTCGAACATGGAGATTCTTTCAAAACCTCTCTATTAATTGAATCACAACGGTTTAGTCTCTGGGCTAGGAATCTCGGACTATATGAATATGGCCACAGTTCTCTGGATTATAGGTTTCGTGATGCCCCTTCGGTATATGACTACACACGCCAGTTGTTGGATAAACTTGAGAAATCACTTTTGACTAGTATGTTTTCCTCTTCTTTGCTTGTCTTAAGTACACGCATCCCACTCTGCAACGCTCCTTCACTTCATCCCAGAAATATACAGCTGACGATACTAAAGTCCAAGACGGCCTCGATTATGAGAAGCTCGAACTGGACAAAGGAGCTAAACAACCTAGCAGCTTGCTACGAATCGGTCAGCGAGCTGACTACAGCGGCATTGTTCCGGAGACTGTGCCGGCCCCCTACGAGAATCAGAATAGTGACGAAAGCTCCGACGAGGAAGAATCTTTACTTAGCTACCAAAACAACTCGATCTCTGCCATTGTGTTGGAGAATGCAAGACTCATCATCGACACTCTTTATAAGCTTTCGTTCAAAATACGCAATCCCGCAACAAGGCTTGGATTCTCCAAAGCCCGAACGTACCGTCAAGTGAACGAAGACACTGGAGTGGATCTAATGAATGCGTTCATCGCGTTTGATCTCAAACATGTCGCGGAAATCTTTGCGCATCACCTACAGGTGTCGCCGGGAGAGTGCGAGAACGATTTTCTAGTTCAGCGACTTGCAAGAGCAAACACTCATCGGAGACGGCAGTTCGGGCAATGGCGGAACCACATAACGAAGCTTGAAAGGTCAAACCATGCTCCTGCGCAATTGAATCCCGCGGGACCCAATTTACAGCTGAATCCAGGCCTCTCGAAAGCGAAAGGTCTTCCTTCGTTGCCTTCAACAGCCACCAGACTTGAAGAAACAAAAATCAGTCTCGATGATTCTGCTTCCATAAAAACTACCTCAACATATGTGGTTCTATCCAAGGAGGATGAAGAAGCAGATATTCACATTCCACCATTACCAAAGAACCTTCGTGCAAAAGATGAGTTCGAGTGCCCATATTGTCGCGTTCTCTGCGCAAAACGTCTTTGCAATCAATCGGCCTGGGAGTAAGCTAAGCAGCTTGTCCGGTGCAAGAGAAGAAAGCACTAACAGGATCAATACAGACGCCATGTACTCAGAGATCTGAGGCCCTACGTGTGCACGTACAAGGACTGCACAGAAGCGGATCAACAGTACGATAACATAAAAGACTGGGTCAACCATGAGATCAAGATCCATCGAGGATTAGAGCGGCAAATGGATGATCCTTCTGAGCAGTCTTCAGACGCTCATAGCGAAAGCCAAGATCCAAGGGAATTTCTCCCACAGACCCAGCATCCTAATCCACTAACTCCTAACGATGTCTGGCGCGAAGAATGTCCCATCTGTCAAGAAACACATCCGAGTTTTAGCCATGTCGCACTTCATCTTCGGAAAATCGCTGTCTTTGCACTCCCGAAGTCCGCGGGGTCCGATGAAGACAGCACAGTAGGAGACCAGGGTTCAAAGGTTGCTAACATAGACGACCAGGACTCCATGTCAAGCCAGAGCACCTTCGAATCGTTAGATAAGGATCACTTGCACGAGGACGAGACGTACAGTTGGAAGGAGTGGGATGCCAGGACGCCTGGAGATCCTGCGCCTATCGAGAAGACCCATCAAGACGTCCAGCGTTTTGAACACGCTTTGCAGCAAGTAAACAAATTTACCAAAAAAGAACTAGATGTGAATACATTCGTTGCCAGACTTGAGCCAGATAATGCATTGCTCTACCAAGGCGACGGCAATAATATTGGGCCAGCTTCAGTGAATCGCCAACCCAACAGCTCGGCGGTGGCGCTTCCAATAGTCACAGGAGAACAACTGAGCTTCTATGTTCAGATCCACCCTCTCCAACCCAATTATCAAGCGCAGTCGGCTCGACATGGCACACATAACTTCTGGGTTCCACCCAATGTCAGGACTGGGTACACTCGAAAGCCATGCATTCTTTTCCGTTGGCTGTGCGGATTTATGACTCCTATTTCCGCCATTGATCCTGTGGGCCGTTCCCTTCATCAAACTTACAGTGCTGCCACCATTTTCACTCACAATCCGGACACGCCTCACTTGCTTGCGGTGCCTTTCGACGCTGAGAGAACGCATGCGTATCAGAATCAAGGAGGCTGGAGACCTCTGTCCTTCCAGCATATCCAAATTGGCAATACTCAACATACATATTCTGCTGTTTCAACGGTCGGTGATCATCAGCACATCGCTACCCTAGGCTCGCCTCACTGGATGCCTCAGCTTCTACCTAGGGTTTATGATAATCAGACTAAAAACCCTACGATACAGGCGGGTCTAATTGGAAGCATACCTCTACTCATTGCTCTTGCAGCCTTCTCGGCACCACCGGACGTATTAGGGGACGTTCTGCCTCTTTGTCTCAGACCGGGGACTTGGCGACCCCATCCGTACCAGTATCCGGCGGGTCGTAAGTGCTGTTGTACCTACGAACATTCCGGTCTGACAGTCTATAGATATCGCGGAACGAGGCATGATTGTCACGATTTTCTTTGATCCTATGAATCCTCGAGGGTCCAACACAGCTCTTCTCAACAGACTTGAGAACGGCGACTTTGGGCCTTTCTACAATTAGCGTCGGGGGCGAACTTTCTCCGATGACGGGCTCTTGTGAAAGAGATTTATCATCTAGATCATGAGTATTGAAGTTCGCTACTTTAGCGGTGAATATGATTTGTGCTTTGTCTCTCGTTCATTCTCCTGCGCTGCATCAAGAGTCTACATAGAAAATAGCCTACAGTCGTTACAAAAAGCCTGAGTTTGTATTGCTGGCCGTACGGGACAGTTTTATTTATTCTGGTCACAAATCTCACAGGCTGCTGGCTCTAGTGGAAGGTAGCGAGAGCGCTGCATCACCTCCAGTGGGACTTCTCGGTTCGAATCGGAACAGCTACTGTGGCTATGCATCGCACCCGTTGCAGAGAGGTAAGCGTTGGAGATGGCCTGAATAAAATTTCTGTACCTAGACTGGCATAAATTGACAACACGAATCTTAGGGCTAAGGCCTAGACCCAATGGAAAACCTGTTGGGCTATTCAAAAGCTCTAAAAGCTCTCTGCCCCAGTACTCTCGCGCAAAAGCGTCAGATCACTTAAGGCGGGGCTCGAAGCTAACCGACCGCCAACATAAACATAGAAGCCTCTCCCATCAGTACCAATACTCGCAACGCCACCGATCTTGTCTTGCGTGTTGACTAGGCATTGCGTGCTGATCCTTCTCGCGGTCGTTGCTACATCAAGCAGCCGGAAGGTATCAACTTGAGCCACATTGTTATTCTTCACGGATATCATGCATTGTCCATACTGCCATTTCTGATACTCTGGCTTTGACAAATCGACATCTGCAGCGTCTGTGAAGCCAAAATTCAACTGGCTCGTCGGGTCGAACAGGCGAAGGATGACTTGGTTGATGATCACGCCGCAGTCTGTTGCTGCGGCGGGCTGTAAATGGATAATGAAGGGGTTGAAGCAGTGTACTGGGTACCTGGGAAGCGCCGCTGGACTGAGGGTGAAGTTCGAAGTGACAGTGGGGAGATTGGACACGCGAGACGCGCCCATCGAAGGATCCCTGGTCTCTACTCTCTGAGATCCTGCACCATTTTCAGAGTCCTTTTGAGATCGCATCGTTCGCCTAGACACGCTGACAGCTGGCCGCTGAGAAATAGTGGAGTTCTTAGCAGAAATGCTTTCAGGCTCCACATGACCCCGAAGATAAACATAAAACGCTTCGCTCGCATCGCCTACAAGACTCACGCCCCCTATCGGATCCACAAAACCAGTGACACACTCACGAACGATATTGTCCGCCGTAAAAGCGACCTCGAGGAAAGTGAGCAGCTGCCTGGCACCTGGAGGACCGTAGACTGAAACTTCGCAACTGCCGTACTGCCATCGAGATCGAGCGTATCCCCTGGCTTCGGTCTGGTATGAGTTGCGAATGAAAACGCGCTTTGCAAAGACGTTGGGCTCCTGGAGGATAATGAAGTTGAGGACGTAGCCGCAATCTGATGGGACCAGCGTTGGTAGCCGGCGGGTATCGAGACATGCGACAGGCTGTGCTGTGAGAGGGTTTCGTATTGTTGTGTTGACTTCTGATGGAATGCTTTCGACGTCTCGTTTGGCTAGAGGTAGCCTTACCAGGTTAGATGGCAGCGCGAAGGCGATCGAAAGGGAAAAGAAACAAGCGAAAGTTTGAAGGATCGCAGTCATGGCTAATTGTGATAGCTTATACAAGCGGGATTGTTTTCTAGTAAAGAAATCGCCAACGAAGGTGCGAATGAATGGGTAGACTATATTGAAGTCCAGAGGCTTTGAGAGATAAAGGTCCGGTCTGCCCGTCCGTTTCGGCGCTTCCCCTCTCGCGCATCGCGGGTATGTTACAGGAGCTGATCTTGCCGCCCAGTCAAGAACAAAGGTATCATCCTCTACCTCCTTTGCCTTCTTGATCTTTGTCACGCTTTGGATTAACGATTGCTAACGTTCATCCCGTCATCGAAGGGTCCGCCGCTACTTCTCCAACCCGCGTTCTCAAGATTCAGGGATAGATTCGACCCCTTCAGCATGATGTTCCGCATATCGCGTTGTCCGCCGCGTATCCCCTCCTGCTATCGCGTCATCTAATGTAGCCGCACCTTTTCTCCCATCGGGGAAGAGCTACGGGGGCACTTGTTCGTCACCAGATCTTCAAACAAAGTTTTCGGCTTTCTTTCTCGGCCTCTGCTATTCGTTGTGGTTTACTCAATCATAGCTGTAACATTTGGCGTCAGCTCGGGAAAGTCCTCATGCATCATCCCTAAGAACAAAGCCATCGAGTCCTGTGCGTAGTAACAACATCACCGTCACTCCGATCACTGGGCATAGCTCCATCGCAACGCGACGATACGGACTCCTCCCACGAGCACCCACCTTCGTCTCTTAGCCTTCAAGTATCCTAATCATAGGATGGCCGTATGGCAGGCCAAATGGATCTCTGTCATTCGCTGGAATTCTATCGAATGTAGTCTCCCGCTGTCCCGACCCGAGCGTCAGGTGTCAAAGGCCCCGGCGCGAGGCGCTGACGATGGAGGCGACACTCCAGCAATGGGGAGGCGTCTTTTCCGCGGCGCGGGGACGAATAGCCGTTTCTACCCTACACGTAGATCAGCGCAGGGTGAGGTGAATACTAGTCTAGAGTAAAATGTTGGTCTGCTCTGCTTCAATGACTATAATGTAGCGTACTAAGACACTGAGGTATAGGATGGGGTGCTTGGAGCGTGGAAAGAAAATCGTGGAAAGATGTAAATTTTGCGTTTTTCAATCCCTTTCCCATTGTGTTCTATATCTCGCTGCACTATGCCCAGCCTTTGATATGTCTAATTTAAAATAATCAGTTGAAGAAATGCTTCCAGTACGTGTTTCATAAGGGATTGTCCAAGAGCCAAAGCATACGAAAGCTATGACTTTTTCGTGTTATAGAAAGACGCCTCACACGTCAAACTATGTCATAGCCTCCAGCAGAGTTCCAGCGGCATTATACATGACTCTGATCGCAAGCTCTGACTCGCCAGCTGCGACTGACGTTCAGTATGCACCACTCGACAGCAGAGAATGTTTCATACCTGTAGCGGACGAAACGCCAGACCTTCCAAATCTTGCACACATAGCCACAACCATCACACCAGAGCCCCAAATGTCATACCAAATGGCTCTCACCGGCGGTCCGTCTATTATCACGTCTATTACGCATTGAGCGCTTGCTGTTGGTTGGATCAGCGCATTGTAAAGGACAGCACAGAAGGAACGCTTACAATCTGCAAATCGAACGGGAAGAGCGACATCGATGTTGGGTGTGTTCTTCTTCCCAAAGACTTGCTCAGTATCCGTGACGGGCATATAGCTTAAGTCGAGCAGGCATTGTTGGTTGAAGGGAGGTTTGCCTTCGTCGTTGAAGCAGTCAACATTCGGTTCGAACCGCTGGACGAATACCGAGAGACGGTTTGCCTGTCCTGGAGAGCTGGTTACGGTGGTTCATCCTTGGTGCCTCGAGTACACTTACCCAGCTTCTCCGCAATCCCCCCCTCGGGGTTTCCACCCTCTACGCACTTGTGAATGAGGTATCGGACCGCCTGTTTCAAGTTCAGTGGCTTCAAGAGATCAGATGTGCCTTCAATTGTAGGAAAGACTTCGATGAAACAAGTCCCATCGGCTGCCACGTCGTTAGCGTGAGCTACGCTCTGAGAATTGACCTCGGGCCACCACATACCGCTTGCGTATCTAAGAGGCAGGGGAAAATCGTAGGCTTGTTGGGTCTCGCGATCCCCGTAACTACGAGCGTGAGAGCCAGCCGGCAACTGTCTATAGGCGTCCATGCAGCTGTCGAAGGTTGGTTGTCCGAAGTTTTCCTTGTCGCATTCATAAGACAAGGACGTCAAAGCTGGAAAGGACTGAGCCAGATTTTCAAGCGTGGACGGCGTTGGATTCGATGCGTTAGACAGCCAAACAACGGGCGAAGAGTTTGTCGGCGGAGTGAGAACTTGGGGAATGTCCAAGGTCAACGATGCGACTCCCCGGTTGCCAAGGGCACAGAGGAGTAAGAGAGCTGAATACATAGAGAGGACGCTAGATGACAGAAAACTACCAAGAAAACGAGAACAGACCGGGTCTGGCTATCGAAAAATGGTCGCATGAAGGGGAGTGTTCACGCGATCTTCCGACATGCGCCACGGCCAACGTTGAGTGCAGCGTATGAAGTATCTGGATCCCTTCCATGTTTGCCGCGGCTCGTCCTGTATGTACTCGTAGTGCCTACAGCCATGGCTTTGAGCTGTTCTTTCTAAATTTAGCCTTTGCGTAGCTGCTAGGCCGGACTCGAGGGCGCTTGGATTGTCACTCCAGGTGAACGCTGATGATACTGCATAACATCACGATTCAAGTCTGCTTACTGCTGCGTATCTGTCATCAGCTAACATGAAACCGAGATTGATCTACGCCTTTCACGTTACAGTTGGCTTTTTTGTTTTCTGCTCCTCAGTCATACTGGTCTTCTCTCTAGCGTCCCTGGCGGCCGAAAATGATCCTTACCTGTCCTGAAATCAGAAGCACCAAGCGGAGAGGCTTTGTCTCCCCACTTCCTCTTCCTATCTCCTGGCTTAAATTGCGACTGTTGTCCTTGCGCTCTCGCCAGGTCCGATTTGGACAAGTCCAAAAGAGCCTTAAGACAGAAGCTAAGCCAGAAAGATCAGGAAATCCAGCTCAGCGTCTTGAGCAAAGATGTGGAAAATCATCGACAAGGGCACAAGACTGCTCCCTTGCAACTGAGAAGTTTCGAGGTCGTTCCCAATTAGGTTTAGTAGCTCTTGGCGTTACGAGATATTGCATCTTGAGTACCTTAAGGTACATATACCTCGACACTAAACCCAGGCAAAAACTCCGTTACACATACGGAATAGCATTGGAATCTCAACCTCTTGCTCATCTTCGATATGACGATCGATCAGAGACTCGAAAGTGATTGTCCCATTAAAGGATTCCTGGGTCTTCCCACGGGTAAATCACCCCCGGACCTTGCAATCTCATCAACAGAGGCTAATACCCTCTGACAGAGATACGGATAGAAATATACTACCATCTTCTGATCGCACGCAAATGGCCGTATGACGATCGAATTTTTCAGAACATAGAAATTAGTACGAAGAAACGGCCCAGGCTCTGCCAAAACTTCAAGCACATGTCCGAGGTGACAGGGACAAAAACAAACTACTGCCTTGGGGACCGCTACTGCCGCGGGTATCCCGCTCTTGGACTTGCACCTGCAATTCTGCGAACCTGCAAAGAAATACACGATGAAGCAGCACCGATTCTCTACAGCAGAAATGTGTTCTACTTCCCAATTCCAGACCAATTTAGAACAGCAGGATTCACGAGAGCAGGACCCGCTGAGGAGTTGCGGCTCCGGAGCCAGTGTCTATGGCTCTTTGGGTACCGTGACGAGGCCTGGCACACACTTTTCTTTGAGATACAGGCTTCTATGTTCGCTCGTTTCCTCCACATGATCGGGAAAGAAAACGCGGCTCGCCTCACGACACTTCGATTTTTGCTTGGGGATCCGACCACTGATGGAGGTAGATACGGCCCAAAGACCGGCCAGGTTATGAAAGTGGTGATGCAGTTACTGTACATGCACGTTCCGGGTCTTCGTGATCTCAATATGCTCTTGGTGGTTAATGATCGGGCACCGTACCACACCTTATGGACGCCTCATCCTACAGTGGAACGGGTTCTGTATGACGTTCTAAAGGAAGCCGTTCAGAACCTGCCAGAGTTGAAGCATCTTGAAATTGAAGGGTTTGGAAGGGATCCTGGTGTTAAGAGGGAGTTGAAAGCCCTCGAGGTAGCCTGTGGATGCCGCAAAGACCAAGCCAAACCTCGGAATCTCACCACCCTGTAGAGGATGTTTCTTGCTTGATTGTACGGATTGTTTGTTTTCACCATCAATTAAGGGCATCTAATTCAGGCATCAACTAGCGTGACCTTTGATGCGATAGTTTGCAAGTATTCTAGTACAATTCTCCAGAAGTAAAAACCCTCGCATACAGAGGGTCTTTCTCTTGGGGTCAAAATATACATAAAAGTCTACTCCAAGTATACACGAGTACAACAGACAAGATGCTTTCCATAAAACGGAGATGTGGAAAAACAAGAGCGAAAACAAAATCACGGCTAGTCTCAGTATTCTGACTCTCTTACGTGACGGGACGGAAAAACTTTGGGGAAAATATGTCAGACCTCGCCCGTACACGATTACGTTAGGTAGTTCGTCCGGGGTCGCTTGTTGATTAAATCTAATCAGGTTTGAGTTAGCACCAGCAGACTACCGCGTGATCCAAGTTCGCGATTCTTAGACGCGACACGTCCTCACTTCAATCAATGTCAGCAATAATGACGAAGCGAAAGAGTGAGGAAGAAAAGGCGGTTGGCAAGGCCAGGAAAAGAGTCCCTTTCAACGTGCCCAAGGATGCAGCTACCTAAGCAATGTATGAGGCAGCCTCCAGGCATCGCTTGCAGCCATTGCTGGTGCTAACTTTCCAAATGACAGTAATGCGCGAAACGCGTCATGCTCGCCCCTGTTACGATTACCGCTCGAGATTCGCGACAAAGTATGGGCAGGAGTGCTAGGAGACGGGCGAATTATATTTTCATACCCCAAACTATGGGATTCTTATAAATTCATAACCCATCTTACATTTTCATACCCCTCACCAAAGGAGACCGGGTCGTCCACCTCGAGTATATCGGCAGAAATTTCGCTCGCAACGGGCAAGATGAGAAAAGGCAATCCTGGAGACATGTTGTGTGTCAACATGAGTGCCCTGAGAATGAAATGGTCGAAGACTTCACATGGGTTAATATCAATGGCGACGAGGAAACCGTCTGGCGACAACCGCATCATCGCTGTGACGTCGAGCCGGCGTATAAGATTGGCGCTAACCACCGTCGATCGGATCACGAGTCAATATACCTGACAGCGCTGAGAGTCTGTCGGCAGATCTACAACGACGCGAACAATATACTTTGGTCGACGAATACCTTTTCTTTCAACGATGCGGCCACCAGCTTGGATCGTTTCATGGACGCACGAACGACGCGCCGAAAGCAGTCGTTGAGAAGGCTGCGGTTGCAGATGGACTGGGTGTGGGGGGAAGACAAACCTTGGAACCGTGTCCTTGGGATGACGCTCATCAGATCCTTGGCTGGACTGAGGAGTCTGCGCCTGCAGATCAATCATTCAATGGATGCCGCGCTCTATCAAGAGGCGAAAGCTCGGGGGAATGAACTCGGCTTATTTCAGACTCGACATCTGGACTTTGTGTACAAAATGGCGATACTGCCATTGACGAACGTCGAAGTCTCTGTCGGCGATTGTTCTCAGCCGTGAAATATGGATGACTGTGGACGGTAGATGATAGGATCGAATATGCCGAGGGGATTCGGGGAATACTCCTTAATGCCAAGGGAGCGCAGAGATTTGCCAGGGAACAAGAGTACCTAAAAGAATTCTACCAACAAGAAAGAGAAAAGAGGATGGAGCGCCAGGCTTTTAGGGATGCCAGAGCAGGCCGACCAAAAGTTTGTAAAAGCTCGACGCGACGCTGTGTAAGATACATACATAGCTCAATTAGAGATTGCGTCGACCCTTTTCTCTTCTTCTGCGGCGAGCTTCCAATGTTTCAGTGCCGATAAGACAGGACGAGACGATCAGTCTTAGCGGCAGGAGGAGGCTTTGGCTTGATATTATCTTTGTTCCCAATGGGTACGTCGGGTTGGCGACGCTCAAAACAGAGTCGAAATAGGCGAAATAATGGGCTTAATGATGGTATCCGTAGAAATTGATAGAACCAAAGGACACGCTTGGATGGCGGAGTCACTCTTCACCTTATGATCAATCAATCTCTACTGTTTTTTCGGATGACATCTTGAGAGAAAGGAGGAAATCCTATCTGTTTCGAAGAGTACTTAATGTCACACAACAAAGCGGCTGTTCTCGATCCTGGCGATTATTATTGGCGCTCACGTGACCCGTCGCAAGACTACTTACGCCACACTTCCCGTCAGCTATACGACGCCATCTGCCCAACGCTCTTCAGTCCACTATATCTTACCAGAGCAGATTCACCAAGTCATGGCCTCACCAGCTCTCCCTTCTCTAGTACCTGGCAATGAGGCTCCATTCTGGAGCTCTCTTGGTGCGCCAATGGTGGAGAACGCCTCGTTCTTTGCCGCGTTCCTACATTGGCTGGCCATAGCGCTCAGGTGGTTCTTAAGAGCTCTGCTGGTCCTCTTGGCAGTTGGCGTCATTTTGGGCATCGGATCTTTGATCTTTGGGTCTCTGCCCCTCCACCAGCTTCGCCGCGGTGGCAAACCGAAAACTTCCACGGACGGGGATGCACCGCCGGAAGCTGAATTGGTTGAGTTGGAGTTTTTGGCTGCAGAGTACGATCCTGCCCAGGATCAAAGCTCTGACAGCGGTGAGGAATATTGAGGTGTATAAGTTCTCGGATTCGGGTTGAGGTTGAGGTTTAAGAGCCTCGTTTTGGCTGAAGCCGGGCACATTGGTGGCGAAATAGCAACATGCGTTGCAGGGCGCCTTGCAAGGAAGAGTTATCGACCACAATACAAGGATACTTGCGAATTATCCTACAATCTAACTGAGCTCCGTCATTACGGGAAGAGGCCTCAATCTTGCTCAAACGCCATATACCATCGCCCATCACGGGACATCCACGCAGCCTCTTACTTTGTGGCACTGGGTCCAGTGCCAAGTCCTCCTAGTATGCCGGCTTCATAATCGACTTTCTCCATCCGTTCGCACATTCAACTACGCTCAAGCACTGGTCGCAGAGAACAAGGCTTTTCCCTCATCGTCTCCTTCAAAGAGATGCCTTCAGCTCTGCCCGCACGAGACCTTGTCCTTCGGAAGACTACAGCACATCGCTAAGCTTCCAAAATCCGACAAGCCAGGGAAGACTATTGATGCTCTCGAATATAGCTCCCAGCAACACGTTAGAGATCATGTAAAAAGCCAGGACCCTAAGGAAGAAAGAACCTGTTATGTGCCATTTGCAAACCCGCAAGACCAGGACCATTGAGCGCAAGTGAACGGGTTTGGGAAAATCCTTAACGGTAAATTCGCTATCCGCTTGTATCTGCTGTTCTGCTGGTCTCTTTGGTGCGGATCGGGTACATCTCAGAAGTGCGATACTGTGGAGACATTGTGGAATTACCTAGCTCCTGCAAACATCTGGCTGCGTGGCAACCTGGCTGATCCTATCAACCGATACATTGCTAAGGAGAATGGCATTGTATGCGACCGGTGTGACACAAGACGAAGATCCACTTGATGAAAGGGGTGGAGGACAGTGAAGGAAAACACAGGTGTACCGTCTGTATGACGAGATTCTTGGATACAGGGGGAGTCGGCAGAAGATCCTGTCTGGGTTGCACAGTGCTGAGCTTGAGTCGTGTTAGCCGAGATGTGGAATATTGAGTCCAAGACGAGTATCGTACTTGGCTGGGAACATGGTAGTGACATTGTCATCCCAATGATGTGGAAGAGCCTTGACATATTTCTCATCGAACCTTTCCACTACTGCTGAGCTCTTGAGGTGTTACGAGAGATAGCATCTCATTTCGGCACGCCGCCATAACTATATTGAGCTGGCCATTTTGTGGAGATGCACTTGCGTAGCTCCTGGTGTTTTCTAAGATGTTCTCTCCTAGCGCTGACCCAATTCTTCCAGTCCATTGGTACCCCTGACTCAAGCACACGCAGCGCTTCCGACGCAGCTGGGTATAAAACCATGCCTAGACTTAGACCGATTCTCACCTGTCTCGAAGTCTTTGGACAAATCGGGTCTTCGACGCTCAGTCTCGCCGAAGCTATCGGTATAGGTTCCTACATTGCGATAATAGTGTCTACCGATCCACATCTAAGCGCCCTGCTGCACCGCTTCATTTGCAGTTCATGGACACTCTTCTTTTGTTTCCCTTGCCCGATGAACGAATTGTCTAGAAAAGTACTAAAATTGTTACTAGGGGAAAAGCGGTGAGCTGTTGACTCCCACAAACCAACATGTTTCATTGGCCAATAGGTCGCTCATGGTTTGTTGTCTCACGACGAAAATTTGGTACATGGGATTTGCATAGTTGGGCCCAGACATCTGAATATACAAACCCAAGCATGCATCTTCACGTCAGGCGCGTGCACATCCAACAACGATACAAAAATGTTCTGCCGACCGAGAACCCAGCTCAAACCCACATCCCACCGACCAACGGACGGTGATGAGAGACTGCTTACTGCTACTGCGATAGAGCTCCGTGACTACCCAATCGACGCCACCGCGGACGCGTCACCCTCTGCCTCCGGACCCGACACACCGGCCTTCAAGAAAAAACTTCAAACCTGCCCTCACGAGACTCTACCGTTCGACCGACCACGGCGCATTGCAACTTGTTTGCGGTTTGAAAAATTCGACAGCTAGGTGGAACACCCCGACACGCCGTCCTCAACAGCGCTTACGAAGCCAACGGGTCATCTTGCACGACGGTGCAGAGCTGGAATGTTAAGACCGAGTCGTTACTTCCTCCAAGACGCTGTTCGGGAAATGGCAAGGAAGGAAAATGTCATTTTTGGAGAGCAGAATGTTGTTCTGGATCGGATACTGGCTTGCGGTCAACGGCCAGCTGGGATTTTTGCTCGTCATCAGAAACCGTGAAGGATTGTGCTACGCTGGAATTTCTCCGAATCCGTCTCGCGCCTCCGAATGTATGGTTGTGAGGGGAGAACACGGATTCGATACGGAGATTCGATATTTGGTCTTAGAGAGCCATGTGTTCATACCGCGACGTGGACGATGTCACAGGTTGATGTCTGGGTAGAATAAAAGGTTTGGGACTCGCTAGAGAAGTACCGGTCGAGAAGTACAGAGAGAGCCCATTTTGACAAACGTACTTGGGACAAGGAATCTGCCGTGGCAGCAACGAATAGAAGGCTTCTATCCCTACTCCGAAATCTCCCAGCGACACCAGGAATAATGCCCACGTGGGCGATCCAAACCCTCCGTACAACATACACAGACGCTTCCAGACCCGGTGCTGCGGATATCGCCCCCCCAATCGTCGAACAGATGTATTCAAACCTGTCCCCACGAGAATCTCCATCTCAACCGTCCGCAACGCACACAACCCCACCCCCGCGCCTACGTCCCCCACGCCTCCACCAACCCCGCCCCACCCACCGCCTCGCCCGTCGAAAACGCCCCTCGCTCCGCCACCGTCAGAAAACTCGACACGTCACTCATGATCCGCAGCAACACCTGACCCAACCTCTGCAGCAAGAGCACCAGCAACTCCGGCACGCTCGTGGACGACCCGTACGTCTGCGCCGCGGGGTAAGTTTCCAGAAACGCGAGCAAGCCGGCGTTGGGAGTAGCGGGGAGGGCGAAGCCGTAGGTTTCCCTCTCGAGCAGAGCGCGGAGGGGGACGTCGACGGAGAGGGTTTGGGTGGGGTTGGCGAAGCGGGAGGTGCCGTTCGCGGAGGTGGTGGCGGCTGTGGTTAGGGCTGTGGGGTTGGTTTGGGAGAGGGTTTGGAGGGCGGTGGAGAGGGTGGTTGTGTAGGTGTTGATGGCTTGTCGGAGAGGATGTCAGCGGGTTCTGGGACATGGATTGGTGCTGCGGTGCTGCGTCGGTGATCGCGGTGGAGGAGGGGGCGGACCGTATATGTTCCATACTCCATAGAAGAGCTGCGGGCTGTGTGGCGGATCGCCCAATTTCGGCATCGGGCATGTCGAGTTCTTCCCGCTTGTATTGATCGTGGAACAATCGCGTCCCGTGACGCCTAGGCTCAGCCGCAGAAAGCATACAGACCACGACTCGTGCTCCCGACACCTGACAGCAGCACCGCTCGTCGCGTTGGGCGACGTGCTCGCCAGCCACTCCCGGAACCAGGCATTCATATTTAGTTCATCCCAGCAAGAGGGTGAGAGACCTGTTGTTACGATGTCACAGTGGACAACGGAGTTGGGTTGGCGAGGAGAAGCGAAGCTAGCCGAGGGCAGAATCAGGGCGACGAGGGCGACAAGCTGACAATGGGGCCGCATGATAGCTCGGTGGTTGCTTCGGTTCGGGATGCTGATGGACAGAGACTTTGCTTGAAAGGATGACTCGAATGTCGGAATGCGAAAGCGCAGCGTGACAGACTGCAATGCAGGGACGAGCCTATATACAATCGCTGCCTTGACGGGGCGGGACGCTTACTGAGATTGTCGGCAATTCAATCTCTCGAAGGGAAGACGCGAGACCAATCGTTCAGGCCGATAGGCGCATCAACCAAAATGTCATAAGCGATATGAGACGCTTCTTCATGAGTATGATCCTGTTGAGCTCGTTAGCCTCGAGGCTGTTCTAGGTCGCGTATTGTGAGGGTGACACCTGATGATTCTCGTCTAGTGATGTGCCGTAGACCTATACATCAGTATATATAAAAGAATAAGATAGGGCTGAACTAGAAAACCTTGAATTTGTATGTGCAGCCAATCATCAATTCGTCAGATCTACGCTCTTTGGTTAGACCGGCTGAGTCATCGCGGGTAAACAAATTAGCGTCCGCAACCATCAAAAATCTCTCCCCCTACTTTTAACCCTTTAATAACTTTACTATTTTCTATTAAAATTTTGAGATTTTTTTTTTAAATTATAGCCCGAAACTTGCGCTTTTCAATAATAAAAAAATTTCAAAATTTGGTCTTATAATTATTAAAGCGCAAGGAATTCAAATATCGCTCACCAAAGTTCGCTCGACAGCCCTGATCAAAAAACAGGTGCACATTATTTGATTTTAGAATAACTTTTTTGTTTTCTATTAAAATCTTAAGATTTTTTATTTAAATTATAGAACGTAATGTGGGCTTTTAGATAAAAAAAGAATTACTAAATTTAGTCTTATAGATATTTATAGGCAAGGAATTCAGATATCGCTCACCAAAGTTTACTCGACAGCCCTGATTAAAAAAAATGGTTATGTCATAGGTCTTTACTCGTGATGTATAAAAAACGATGTCGTCGCAACTTGGGCTTCGTTCGAAACAGCTACGGACCAGCGAGGTCGATCCCGGAGTAGTGTCATGAAGTGGCACCTCGTGACCTGGAGGGTCGCAGAAGATATCGTGGGCGTTGACAAGTGTGCGTTTCGGTGTCGAGATCGCGCCTGGAGATATGTGCGGATGCAGTGATCCACGCCTACACATCATGCGTGACGCTGTCTGGTTCCAATCCCGCGCTTTCTCATATACCCTCACTCATACATCATCGTCGTCCAGTATCGAGCTCCTGGGTAACTTGACGTCTGCTATTCGGCATTTCCGACGGCAGGCCTTTCAGCTCCTGCATTCCCTGCTCTCGATACGCCATTCCACTGCCATCGGTCCCAACATTAGCCGTCTTCTTCTCTTCGGGTTGCATGATTTGACTTTTACCCTTACTTCTAATGCGTCGAATTAAGGACATAGCAACTGGCAAACCAGCAAGCAAACACCCAAGCCAGCGCCAAGGCCTGTTCTTGTTGCATCGTTGCCGCCGCTTGTAGTTTTTGTGCGAGTGGTCTCTAAGTTAGTCGCGTTGTTCGATGGTGACGGCCGCGAGGACGTGGAGACCGCGATAGGCGTGGACATGGAAACAACGACAGCCGAGTTCATGGCGCTGGAGGCCGCTATACTCGCCCTCGTCCGCAACAACCCACAGCCTCAAGCGTAAACCCACCCACAAACCCCGTCCCCCCCACGACCGCACCCACATTATTCTTATCCGGACAAAACACCCACACACCGCCATCTCTACAACAACTAATCGTGTTCGGACCCGCCGAACAACACCACACGCCGAAAGCCACGATCGGTCCCGAGGGTTTGGGGACATTGCTGGAAGCAACTGGGGTCAGTTCAGGTCATGACGGTGCAGGTGCGGGTGTGACGGAGGTGCGAGAAGCAGAGGCCCGTTGTGAGGCCGCTAGCACCATGTTGACGGCGGAGGGAGGCTTGTGCGCGGTACCGTTGCGAGGGATGGAGTTGGGTTCGACGGTTTGAATGGGGGAGTAGTGTGGTTGGGCTCGGGCAAGCCGGGGGAGGAGAGGGCTGAGGAGGATCGGAGTGGATTGTCTGGGTATGTTCGACGTCGGTGGGGAAAGGTGGTCTCATTCATGGCGAGGGTTGGACGTCTGTGGGAGGAGCTTGGTCAACGTGCTCATGGTCTTATAATGTCATTGTCTGCCGCCGCAGATTCTGTTTCAGCTGTGAATCTTGATGATTGCAGTACATGCATGCTGAGGCGGCCGCTATCATCCAATCAAACTCTGGCGATGTGCTTTCAGCCTCGTCAAAAAGCAGTGAAGCGCCCACATGAAACGGTGGTCAATCTCATCTTGACTGAAAATGGCTGCTGTCATTGCTTGCTGTATCCCTGAGCGGAAGACTGCCAACGTCAGTTTCCACAATCCCTGTCCACTATATCCCATTAACCCAAGCTGCCAGCAGCCCATCGAGCGAGGGATCAACTGCGAATTGCCCGCCGTCTTCCCCCCTAAAATCGCCATGCTCCTGATCGCCAAGTACCACCAGAGGCCCATCCTTCTCATCCTCCACCGGGCAAAAAGAATTGGAGTCCAAGGCTCGTTCGCCAATGACGGACTTCGCACTGACGAAGGTGTCCGTATCTGTTGAATCTGTAAGGGCGGCAAGATCTTGTGACGATGCTATACTTTCCATAATGTGAGATTTCTCAGTGACCAGCATCGATGTTCCAGATCGCAAGAAAGGCAATTGTGGCATATGCTCGTTCTGTATATACGGTTTCAGGGGATTCAATGGAAGGATCCTACGGTAGAGGAGCCTTGAGGGTCCAGATATACAGAATGGCACCCAGCCATTTTCCTCGGCCGCTCTAGGGCTTTCAACCATTGGAGCTTCGGAGCCTAAGTCGAGGGGGTTCCACGAGTCTTCTCGGTTATTGAGGAAAAATTCCTTTACAGGATTGACCGTAGAAGCATAGACTCGATCCATAGTGGTCATGCGGATATTCTCAGGCGGACCTTCATAGCCCTTTACCTGCTTTAGGGTTACGCCCTCTTGGGGCGAGTGACTCGGATTGGAACCGAGAATTTGGGGGCTACTGTCTCCAATTCGAGCGAATTTAGCTCCAGACGAGCTTTCCACCCGGTGTTCTATTTGCGAATGTTCTCCTTCTTCTACCTTTTCTTCGACCATCTCTGCTAGTATCCAAGACTTCTCTCGCATCTTCTCTTTAAGCGCGGTATGTCCATGAACTGCTCTAAGAAGCCGTGTCTCACGCTTGTGGGTATGGATGACATCGTCTCTTATGCGACGCCTCATATCATGGCCAATGTTGTATTCCTCGGCTTCAACCTCTGTCATCAGGTGTTCTATGAGAGTGAAGTAATTCTCCAGACTTGCAGTCCCAGGATCCAGCCCGGTATCCTCCAACAGCTTAATGGTCTTGCTTTTGTTGGGCAATTCGGTGGGTATAGCTGCATCCAGATCCGGTGTTGCCGGTATAATATCATGGGTGGAATCGTGGGCGATATCAAGGTTCTCCTGGCGGTCCATTGCCGCTTTCAAGGACTCATATTTGCGTGTTTGTTCTGTAGTTGTGTGAAGAAGGTGTTCGATTAGGCGGCGCTGGTTATTGACGACCGAGGGTTCCTCCGTTCTGCACTAACAGTCAGCAAAGCGAAATGGACAACAAGGCCGTTTGATCGAGATAGGAATCGGATATGGAAGCTCACCGCTCGGTCAGATGTCTAGCATAGATAAAGACGTTCAACAGTAAGTCTAACGAAGACTTTAACTTGTCGAGATTGCTCCACAGGAGCATCATTTTCGGTCTCAGGAAGGGCCATTTCAGTCTTTCAAGCGCGACAACAGCAGCTCGGCTAGAGCTGCCATCCAATCCGATTCTTTTAATCTTCTTCAAGAGAGCCCTGTCCATTTCGTGGAAAATCTCGAGACATTCTTTAACAATGGTCTCCGCCGTGTTCATGGCATCTTGTGAGTACAGTCGTGCGTCATGATCTTTTTCGAGATTCTGTCCTATCGTTTTGAGAATGGAGCATGTGTGGGAGATGTCTTTTGAGATGAAGACAATTGAGTCATCAGCGCTGACGACGGTCTGGCCAAATTTGTAGAGCGTGACGCTGAGTCGAATGCCAACATCGGCGACCTGGATGACCGAGGCAATAAGGCCAAGCTCAGCCATGGGTTTAGGGTATAGCACGATCGTGCGTCGCTAAGCTGATGATTTTTAGAATTCTTGGCAATGGCATAGTAGAGGTTGACGAGAACAACTAGATCCCAAGGAGCAGCGGCTTATTTCAAACGTGGTTCGATCAGGGCCGATACAAAGCGCTGGTGATGGCTCGAGGAACGCACTACCAGAGAACACTGAAAGTGTGAATGCAATTGAGCGACAGACATCAAGCACGAAATATAAGTGTAGGTATATGTAGGATGAGAAAAGGCCGATGGGCAAGCAAATCCGTGGGGTTCCTCTGCCTCGAGCTCAGCCTAGCCACTTGTGCAGCAACGTCATGCAAGTAGCCAAAAAAACGTGGGAGCACGCTCCAATCAGCGGAGTAAATTCAACAGCTGCCACATCATCCTTCTCGATAAGCCATGATCGCCACGAGTCACACAAGTGTCATTGAGAGCTTACTCGATCCATGATTGCCGCTTAGGCCTGCAATTACCAACGGTATCCGCCAATCGATGCTGTTCTGGCGGCTAAACACGCTTTGACCCTCCAATACATGAGAGGGCCAGGGCGGTACAATGTGTACTATCTGCTTTCAATACCTATGTGCTCTCTTTGATGCAGATAGCAAAGGCGCTTTACTTCGAATGGTCGTGTTTCCCCAAATCGCGGCTACAGAAGTAAATGCGGACATTGTGCACGGTCAGTAAGCTGACGCTGAGGAGAACAGCTATGTTTTGCCCGTTGAAGGTAAGGTCCTGTCCGTAAAATTACGGCGGACGACGGCTGACACTACGAAACCAATTTTTTTTTCTTTAATTTTTTTTTTCTTTCCGCGACTTTGAAAAAATATTTAAAGAGATTTCTTTAAGAAATATTTAGAGAGATACTTTAGAGGATCTTTTAGAGGGTACTCGAGGGGAATTAAAGAGATTATTCGAAGGTATATTTTTGGGAATACTTTAGAGAGTACTTAGGGGGTTACTCGAGGGGTTTCTTAAAGAATTACTCGAGAAATCACTCGAAGAAATACTCGAAGTACGAAAAAGAAGTTTTCTAAAAAGAATTCGAGGGAACTTCCAAGGAAAGTCCCGTCGAATTTTTTTTTTTTTTTTTTTTTTTGCGAAGAACTTTGTAAAATATTCGATCGTAGTATTAGTTATTATTCGTCGTAAGTACCCGAAAGGATACTCGGAAGAGTACCCGGGAGGATACCCAGGAGAGTACCTCGGAGAGTATCCCGGAGAGTACCCCGGAGAGTAGCCCCTAAAGAGTGCCTTAAAAAGTACCTCTCGAAGAGTTGAAAATATTCTAAAAAGAATATTTTGAAGAGAGTTACTAGAAATCGCGAAGAAAAAATGAAAAGAGAATTTTTTTTTAGTTTTGTCGTAGTGTCAGCCGTCGTCCGCCGTAAAAATGCTCCGCCGGACTCGTGAACAAACATGAATGCTTCAAGATGTTCGGCTTCAGGCCAGTCTCAGAATGTGTAGATTCGTCACAGTTCGCCCTGGTCTAGCCATAGGATGGGGGCTGAGCGAAACGGTATTACATTCGCGGTTGATAGAGTAGCTCCTAATATCTTGCAAGGCATGAATGGCATTCCCTGTACTCCGTACCCTGACAAGGTGTAGACGCCAGACCGCCAGCAATGCATGCTGTCCCAGACGTCATACGCGCGTTTCTTGTCTCATCCATCATCCATCATCACATATAGCCAACCCGAAACGGCTCCAAACCCGTCAAATTCATATCGATCAAGTCTCAAACCCTAATAACACCCCCGCTGCTTCCACCCCACCTCAACCTTCTTAAACCCCTTCCCACCTCCTTTCCACAACCAATTCCCTCTCTCCCTGATACCGCCCCCGCTTCAAATCTTCCAACTTCCCTCCCAACGACATACCCAGCCGAAAAGCTAATAGCACTGAATAGCACCACAACCCCAGCACTCACAACCCATGTCATAAGCGTAGGCGAGATCTGCTGCTCCCTGCCGGGGCTGTTGGCTCGCCTTTTCTTGCTTCTCGAATCTCTGTGGCTCCTGTCTTTTGATGTCGAGGCTTTCCTTTTGCCTTTGTCGTTGCTGGAGAGGGAGGTGGCGGAGGTGCGGTGGCGGACAGAAGGACGGGGTGGGAGAGCTGGTGGGGAACGTTGGGCCGTAATGGCTGACTCAGGGATAAGGCGGAGAGTGGAAGGTTCGACCTGGTTGGACGAGGGCTGCGTGGAATGGGTGTCTCGTTTTGGCAGAGCTCGGGCGCAGGAAAGAAGAGTGGACAGGCTGGCGCGCAGTGCGGCATCATGATCAGCCGTATGGGAAGGCGCTAGCATGTTGTACGGCGTATGGCTTGTTCTGACTCGAGACGGGTATGAACTTGCTGCTGGTCGTCGATGGGATGAGGTTCGGTGGGCGGGAAAGTATGAGGTCCGGGTTTCCAGTGAGCGGGTGTGCCTGGTGTTGTAGGATTGTGGTGGGTGGGAGAAGGCATTCGGTTGGGGAGTGAAGACGGGCTCGTTGGTCAAGACACCCAGCGCCGTGGCGTTCTCGTCGTCGTCATCTTCGGCGTTTGAAGACGTCTCCTCGGATGCTGATGTCGTGAGGCCCGGCGGACTGTTGATGCCTTCGGATAGGTTGGGCTCAAGAGCTTCATTGGAGCTGGTCATGATACGGTCCGATTCGCTTTCACTCTCTTCGTATTCTTCCTGGCTACTTCCAGCAACACTTGCGCGGCGTACAGCAACCCCACGGGGCAGAGGTTCGTTGCGACCTAGGCGGCGTCTTCTGCGGCCATGGTTATCGTACTGTACTCGGACACCAGTCGGGCCAGCATCGTCTGCAGCGGCGGAGGAAAGAGAGGAGGAGGAAGGCTGAGAGGATACTTCGATCCAAGATTCTGTGTAATGATCGAATGAGTATACTGTAGCCATGGTTGCAAGATAAGGGATGCTTTTGATGCAATGATGCTTGGAGAGGAAGGAGAGAAATTGGGTCGAGCATGTTTGCAATCGGTTCACATACCGTCTGACCTTAGTCTCGTGATACCTGACAATGATCTAGAGAGTCGAGGGCGGGGTTCCATTCGATCAGTTGAGCGGGTCTCGAGAGCCTCTCGTGCGAGGGCAAGCTGATTGACAGTCGGTTGCATGATTGGTGCCTGCTATGGGTTGTGAGTCAACGTGCGACAGGCATCTGGTGTTCAATGTTGTCCTAGCATCTGTTGAAAGCCCGTGGTGGCCTGGTGGGGGCTGTGAACGGGGAGCGTGGTAGGTGCCGACATCAACCCATACAACAGGGCCCTTTGTTTGCTAGTTCATTGAGCGCAGCGGAATGCTGTGTTACAAGAACAGGATGCAAGCGCTGTTACTGGCATCAAGATGGAATGTCTTTGTGTCTAATGGGCAGCAAGACAACAAGAGGAATACATTGGCTGAAAGAGCTGAGGTTGATGATTGCTAATGTTCGCACATGACGCTTGTGGACCCTGACATCTGGGCCATGTGTGCCTAGTGCCGTGGCTGTCACGTAACACCTTACTCTAAGCAAGTAAATTGGCTTGGACCCTGCAGATTACGAACCACGTCTTTAGCATGCAAAAGGAAAAGGAACGGCAATTAAGAGCTCCAATGCTCCCACTTGAAGACGCCAAAAGATCCAGGTACCATCTCAAAGTACTGCCAAAAAGACATCCAATATCTTGCCCTAAAAGCTACATTGTGAAAAAGAATTGCGCTATACTTGATCGAGCCTAGATATCAGATGCTATCTTGAGCGGAACGAGTCCATAACAATTCCAGACCCTTTTCTTCCCACTGGCTTCTTACCGGAATCCTGAATTCTTGGCTGTTGGCATTTGCCATGAGCTCTTCAAGAAAAATATCATGGGGCAGCAAAAGTGCTTTCTGGCATGAAACCATGGAGCAAGGAAATTTGGCGCCTTGACAACAGTTCAATACCGGCTGTTCGGAACCATGAAGGATGAGGGCGTGGAAAGAGGATGCTGTCAAGGGGAAACATGGGATCTCATGCCGATTTGAAAGTACCAAATCTCTCCGTATCAGAAAAAAAGGGGGTTCGCTATCCTTGAGATCGATTTCCACTTGGCCGTAGCAACGAACATATCACGAAGACAATCGATAAGTATGTAGCATTTGTATTCCTCTATCTGATCTGCGCCTATCATCGCACGAATTAACCTGTCATTTCTCGCCTCTTTTCCTAATAAGCAGACTCTGGACGTATTATCCTAGCCATCTTGCGAACATGTACTGGGTATGGTACAATCCAGCAAGCGCGGCCTTCGTAGCATAGAAGAAGAAAACTTTTGTAGTCGTGATCGAACCAATGAAAAGAATGTCGTCAAACTTGATGATCGCTGCGACCATCAAGCACAGCGACAAGCGATACTCACCTTACCTCTAAGAAAAGCTCATCTTTTTACCTTGAAAGTCACCGAAACCTCCACGGTTAGTCGAGGCGCCACGTCCACCACGGCCACCTCCGCGACCTCCACGATCGTTGAAGCCCCCACGACCACGTCCTCCACCACGACCGCCACGATCATTACCGCCACGACCACCACGGAAGCCGCCACCGCGTCCACCACGACCACCAGGAGAATCGTTGTTGCGAGGTGGGCGAGGCGTAGAGTAGTCAAGACGAACGGGACGGCCCAAGACTAGAGCACCACTCATCTTGCCAAAGACCTCTTGAGCTTCCTCAACGGAGCCGAACTGAACGTATCCGAAACCCTTGGGACTGCCAGTTTCCATGTCGGTGGGCAGACGAACGCCGAGAACACTGCCATGCTTTCCGAACTCCTCTCCAACCATGTCCTCGGTAGCTTCAAATGCAAGGTTGGCAACGAAGATAGTGTCGCTGGCAGGGCTCAAGTTATCTCCGAAGGATTTCGAGCGGTCTTGACGCTGAGAGGGAGGAGCTTTAGGCTTGGAGAAGTCGACATTGATGGTACGACCGTCGATCTCGGACTCGTGCATAGCCTTCTGGGCTTTGACACCGTCGGCGCCGTTGACAAACTCGACGTACCCGTATCTGGAGCGACGTCAGTCTTGAGCTGGAACATGACATTAAAAGGTACTCGCCCTTTGGAACGGCCAGAGTCCCTATCGGTGATGACTCGAACCCCAGATAGCTCCCCGAAATTCTCGAACTCGCGAGTGAGCCATTCCTCGTCGACGTTGTACGAAAGGCGACCAACGAAGAGATTCCTCTCGGTAGCTTCATCCCCCTTAGGCTCGGTCTTGGTCTTCTTTGCGGCAGGCGCGGCCTCAGCTTCAGCCTTGCGCTTCTTGGGAGCTGGGACAACAGTCTCCTCCTCGTCTTCTTCTTCGCTCTCCTCATCAGATGATCCGTCAGAGGTACCGGAGGAAGTGTCATCGCTACCAGACTCCTCGTCCGAAGAGGCCTGTGGGAATCAGTACCTGACCCGCGATATGAGAAGTCTAGTAATCGTGGTGCGTACCTCTTTGGAAGCCACCACCTCAAGCTTGCCATTCAAAGCCTTGGCGTCGACGGGGCCTTTGTTCTCGGTCTCCTCGTCGCTCTCCTCATCATCTTCACTGCTGTCTTCGTCACTCTCGGACTCTTCTTTCGCACCAGCGGCGGTGTCCTTGGCGACAGCTGCTGGGGCGGATTTGGCCGCAGTAGATTCCTCCAACTCATCGTCGGAAGATGCAGACGAGTCAGAAGACCCGGATTCGTCGTCATCGCTCTCAACCTTGAGAACAGCCTTGGCGACGCCATTGGTCTTCACGCCATTTGTCTTCGCGGCCGCCTTGGGTGCGGGAACTTCAACCTCAGAATCATCGCTGCTAGCGGAGCTTGCGCTGCTGTCTTCCTCGTCCTCACTCTCGCTGGGGCTTGGCTCAGGTGTTGGCTCTTTCTTCGCCTTCTTGGACTTTTTGTCCTCTTTGCCCACTCTGTCTGCCTTCACTGCGACCTGCTTTGCGATGTCCTTGCTCTTGGACTTTGATGTCTGAGATGGTTTAGTGACGGCGCCTTGTTTGACTGATGAAAGCGGTTTGACCTGTGCGTCCTTGCTGGACTTGATGGCCTTATCAGGCTGTGCGGACTTTGTCTTTGCCATTGCGATACCTTTTTTCTACTCTGTTCAACAGAAGAGTCAGCCCTGATCATATCTACAGATATGTGAGTACACTCATGGGGTTCAGAAGATTACAATGTGCGTAGGAAGCGATCAAAGATACGTACTCGATAGTAGTAGATAAATGTGCGACTTTCCCTCGGTGTCAATGACCCTCAGATTCAAGTGCTGGAATTTGCTCTTGTGCGGCAACCCTCTGATATGCAGAATGTCACAAGCCCACAGTGTGCTACTTCAAACAGAAGTACCTTTATGTGTATGAATGCTCAAGGTCACAGTATGGAGTCCACGGTCAGGATAAAGCTCACGAACCCACGAGCCCACTGGTCACAGTCAAGAAGAACCCACAGAATCCACTGATTGATCCCACTGATTAGTGTGCGGGAAGCTGTAGTATCTGTATCTGTAGAATGGAAGAAGTGCGAGGCCCTCAAGAATGATATTTGGAAGGTGTTGTGTAATTTGGAAGATGGTGTGAAAAGGAGAATGAGAAGGTTGAAGGAAATTTTCGATTACACCTAGTCCTATCACGAAAATTTCGTGCGGGGCGGGGGAGCTTCGAGCTACCTTACTTTACCTTTCTAAGCTAAAGGTACAGCCAAGCACGCTAGTTTCAGCCCTATCAAAATCCGCGTCGACCTCGAACGCGAACGTTTGGCTGGTTCTCGTTCCCTCGAGTCAATTCTCAGCCTTTTCACTCGAATTTTGGGGCTTTGGGAGTGGTGTCGTTGTTATGCCAGCTCTTCCCTCCCCATACAAGGCTAGGAAGAGGACAAAGGGAGATTCTCCACCTACACTATCGAGCAATGAGCTTGCGAGACCAGACAAGAAGGCAGGCGTCCAAAGTCCGGCATTTCCATTAGTGGCATTCTTCTGGCCTGCAAAGAAGAACACATCGCAATGGATGATACTACCCTTAGTCCTGATGGTCGTTGGCTTGTTCAGATGGTGCGCGGGGCTCTGGGGCTACTCTGGTATAGATTTTTGGGCCAAATCGCTGGGCTTTGGCTGATTCCTGCTAGGTTTCCAAACCCCTCCAATGCACGGTGATTACGAAGCCCAGAGGCACTGGATGGAGGTTACTACACAACTGCCGATATCAGAATGGTACTTCTACGATCTGCAGTACTGGGGCCTAGACTACCCTCCTTTGACTGCATACCATAGCTGGCTTCTTGGAAAGATGTGAGGACTCTGAAGCGTTTGAACTACACATTGCTGATAGGGGATTCAGCGGCTCTTTGTTCAATACGTCTTGGTTCGCCCTCTATACCTCTCGTGGCACTGAAGAACAACTTCTCAAAGTCTTTATGCGAGCCACAGTCATCGTCTCTGAGTACGTCGTGTACATACCAGCAGCAATCATCTTCAATCGAAAGCTTGCTCAACAGCGAGGCATCGGCAAATGGGAGAGCTTGATAGCTTTAACGGCTATACTTATGCAGCCTGCCACGATCTTAATTGACCATGCACACTTCCAATACAATACCGTCATGCTTGGATTCGTGGTGGCCAGCATGTCAAGTCTTCTATCAGATCGCTACATGTGGGCTTGTGTCTTTTTCGTTTCCGCATTATGCTACAAGCAGATGGCGCTATACTTCGCCCCAGCAATGTTTGCCTACCTCATTGGCGTCTGTCTTCTTCCCAAGCTACACATTGGCCGCTTCATAGGAATAGCCATCGTCACTATACTTTCTTTCGCCCTGATGTTTGCACCCATACTCCTCGGCTCTCTCTACGATAATTACAAAGGGATCTCGCCACCGCTTGACATTACAGATCGAGAGGTGAACCCTATCTTCTTCCAAATCTTGCCATACATCGGCTCCAACTCCTACCTTTACTCGCTTCTGTCACAACTCACACAAAGTATCCACCGCATCTTTCCCTTCGCCCGCGGCCTCTTCGAGGACAAGGTCGCCAATGTTTGGTGCGCCATCCATACGCTTCACAAGCTCAACACGTATTCCATCCCGCTTCTACAGCGCGTCTCGCTACTAGCCACTATCGTCGCCATTTTACCCGCCTGCATGACAATCTCTACCTCACCCAGAAAGGAACTGATACCATGGGCCTTAGCTAGCAGTGCGTGGGGCTTCTTCTTGTGCTCGTTTCAGGTCCATGAGAAAAGTGTGCTGCTACCTTTGCTACCGATGACAATGATGCTTGGTGGAGATGGTGGTCTGGGTGTCGAGATGAGAGCATGGGTCGGATGGGCGAATATGCTTGCTGTATGGACGCTTTTTCCGCTGCTGAAGAGGGACGAATTGAGGATCCCCTACTTCGTGCTCTCACTGTTATGGGCATATCTGATGGGATTACCGCCCACCAGCCTAGATCTGTACCTTGGGCAACAGGCAAGGAAGGGCGGTATCCGTATGTCAACAAGCACTGTGCACCTCGGCTTCTATGCAACGATGGTTGGATGGCACCTTGCCGAGGCTTTTATCGAAACTCCCAAAGGAAAACCGGATTTGTGGGTCGTGCTGAATGTAATGATCGGAGCGGCGGGATTTGGCATCTGCTATGTCTGGTGCACGTGGCAGCTATTGCTACGAAGCGGGATTCTGCAGGAATGGTTTGACTTTCGGACCGAGTTGGGGAAGGAGGGTAAAAAGGACGGGAAGGAGCGGGCGTCAACTCCAACGCCGCATGGGAGCAAGACGAAAAGTTTGAGGAGTGGCAAGACGCCGAAAAAGTCGTGAACGTGGTTGAAGGGGGCGCACATGTTTCGAGATACCCAATTGCTGTATAGCTGTTTCGTTGAGCCCATATAGAAGCACAGTATTCACATCCCAGAGCAGAGATCTTCAACCCCCATCTAATGCAGCTCATGACGCCCTTAATGCAACGCCCTTGCCATGCCTCTAGCTCCTCATACATAACATACACCCCTCCTCTCTTCCCTATCCCCTCTCCTTCCCCAACCATCCCTCCCCATAATCCCCGCCTCACGCAATACTAAACCCAAACCCCTTCATACAACTCCGATACTTCTCCACCGTGCTCTGACACGCCTCTTGCGGGTTGTCGCTATTGCTAAACAGCATGCATTCGTCGCGCGAGGCCTTCTCGTCCTTGCAGACGCAGCACGGCTATCCGATAACGAATAAAAATTAACGTCAGCGTACAGCCGTTGGAGGGAGGAGAGTGGGAGGCGCGAATACCTTGACTTTCGCGGCGGCTGCGCCGGCTGGTTTTAGATCCGTGGACATGTTGGAGGCTGTGGGGGGGGCTGTGGGGATGCGGTTAGGACTGTCGGCTCGGGTGTTGCGGGCATGTGGTGATTGGGATTGGGATTGGGATTGGGAGGTGGGGAAGGGCGGATGGGGGCGTACTGGTTGATGAAGGGGAGAATGTTGTTGATGACATTGTGGGGTTGGGAAAGTGGGGAGATGGTTTCGATGGGTCGGGCGAGAGGGGTAGGGATGTGAGATGCGCGAAGTAGTGCAAGGTTTGGTTGAGGTATGTTCGGTCTGAAGAGTGAGGATTTCTTCTTGAGCCTTCTTCGTATGATTTTCAGAATTCGGAGATAATTCAATAGAACCGAGACGCTAAATCTCTATCAACCGAAGTGAAGCCGGACTCTATCTCCCCTCGCGGGTGACAAAAAGATTGGAACACCAAGCCAGATTACTGCGCGGAGACACACATACAAATTTCTATGTAAATCTCTGTTCAAGTATCCTGTCATTGCTCCTTTACTGTCTACGACTACTTACAATCTATTCAGTATACTATCCACTTTTTCGTTAATAAACGATCTGGAAATATTAGTCCACCCCTCATCAGTTAATGCCTTAGTCGTACTGTCGTCAGTGCGGGCTTGGCGTTCCAATCCTTTTGTCACCCGCGAGCTCCCCTCCACCAGCTCACGGTGTGGTTAGTGTATCTAGCTAATGACGCCAATCAGATCGAATGGACCAAGGAGCGTAGTTCTTTGTCCACTGTTTCCTCTGTTTGGAATCAAGCTTCTGCAGTATGGTGCGGCTGACATGGACAATCTTTGAATGATGGTGAAACTATTGGCCACTAGTCGACTTATCCTTGTTTGTCTCATATGCACGTCAACGTTTTGGCAAAGTAGACAAGCGGAACTGGCTATCGTTTTTAGTAAATCGCGCTCTGATCCTTGCATTGGCATGCATTGTCGTGGCATTACATGATTCGCTCTACACTTTTTCACATCCGAGGAGGTAAGTTTTGATGCCCTCATCCAAACCTCCACACTCTCCAGTTACCTAGAAGATTTACACCATATCAATAACTTGCTGTCCACTCATCGACCCTGTTCCCAACTCGAGTTGGAGATCGTTCACATTTGCAGCTTTGTTGCGGATAGAAATATTCGTTCTACAGGTCTACTACCTCTCGAATCGATGTCGAGCCGAGGCTCCGCTAAATATCGGTTCAACTATGGACGTGGCGGCACGTCTCGGAATTCTATTACAAACACCAAGAGAGATCGTTCGCCTTCGCCTGATGTTGATGAGTTGCCACTAGGTGACCTTGTTGTCGAGCTCCACCCTGCCGACATTTCGCCGTCGGATGGCCTCACACATATCTCAAATTACAAATGCATAGCATCTTACAACTGGCTCGACAGCAGCGAGCCTGTTATTCTTGTCCCAGGTATGTCCGTCTTTTCTTGTCATCATTGTTGATTGGGAAAAACGGACTGCTGACCTTTCATACTGCAAAGGTTCTCCTGCGATTTGGTCCCCTCCAGCTCATCGTCGAAAGCTTGAACCAGACAAAGGCGAAGTGTTCATTGACCAAAATGCTGCGCGTTACGGGTCGTTCCCGTTGGAGCCAATGTTTCGTGCTATATACGAGGTGCATCCCGAGCTCGACTTGGAGGACGTTGATGTTGTCATTTGCAGGAATACTATGGGCAAACTCTTTGAATTTGTCACGACAAACTCAAGGCGCTTTGAGATTGACGTCGAGATCATCGGGGACAAGGCCGTGTTCATCAGGAAAGAAAGGAAGGCCACGGAGTTCATCGATGAATTTCGAGGATTCGGGCACACCTTCCCAGAAGAATATACAAGGTGGGATAGTGCGGTCAAAGGATCGAGTTCTCATCACCGAATAGCCGAGTATGAGTTCGCTGGTTTGAAGTATCTTCTTCGGTTCGAGAGTGACGGCTGTCTCGCGGAGACTGTCGGCGGACTCGACAAAGCTTCTTCATGGCGACAAGGAAATATGGCCGGTCTCGCCAATACCACGACTTTGCTGAGCTCCGGTAACTTGACCACAATTGGCGAAAAGCGGCCCATGGCGGGCCATGGGCTCACTGTTCGTAAAGGAGGCAGTGAAAGTGATCAAGAAGCCATAATCGAAATCAAAACTCGGGCTGCTCACAAAGTTCTGGACATGGAAAGCGTGCTACCTCGGCTGTGGATGTCCCAGACACCAAACTTGATTGCTGCTTATCATAAAGGTGGCCGATTCGATGATGTGCAGATTCTTGATGTGCGCAAAAACCTGGGGAAGTGGGAGGAGCGGAATTCCGTGAACCTGCGAAAGCTGGATGCCCTCACACGACGGATCATCGACACCGCTCAGCATTCAACCACGAGGAAATGCCGGGTCAAGCGAACAGCTAGCGGAGTGTTGGAGATACGGGAGCTCAAGTCCAGTCACCAAAGCGCTCTACCTGACGACCTACGCCACAAGTTGAAGAAGAAAGATCTTGAGGGGGAGAACGATCTTTGAAGATGAGGATGACCGGTCCAAGGAAGTCGAACAGGGCAGCCCTGAGAGGGACTCTGGTGACTATGACGACTTTGATGACGATGACCAACGTTATGATGAGGAGGATGATTCTTACAAGGATTTCACTGCATGCAGTCTCGATGATTGTGGCTATTGTGGACATTGTAGTTATTAGCGCCTCGGCCGTCAGACCTGTCGTATCTTCGGAAAGCAAGAAAGGAAATCAGTCAGCGGCTCTGGCTGCAGCTTCTTCCTTAAAAAATGCATCATTAGCTTTAGCAATATCTACACCGTTGACCATCCCAGGGTTTTTGTTCTTGATGATTCTTTTTTTCTCGCTTTCCCCTGCCTCTTGTGCCAGTGTGGAATTCGTCGTTAGATTCTAAGATTGATCTCCATTCCAAGCAAAAGTCCCCGTTGCTGCAGGATCTGGTCGCGGCGTGGTGTTCTCGTGTCGAGGTTCCGGCTCTGAGGCGTTGGGCTCGCGGGCGGAGGTATCTGTGGGGCTAATTACTAATTCATACCCCAAAACTATGAATCCTTACCGAATCATACCCCTAAGTACTGAATCATACCCCTAGGGGTATGATTCAGTAGTTTACCATTACTTGGGGTATGATTCATAAGAATCGCGAAGGAGAGGATCCGCGACCTAGGCCATCCGACCATAGAAATAAGAGAATTTCTCCGACCGCATTCAATGGGTGATCTACCAGCTTAAATACATCAGACGAAAGCCGAGTGGGCTAAATTTGGCCCCCCAGCCTATCTACAGTTCTACACCCAGTCTGTGTGTTAACAACCCCCGCGGGGGCCCTACGAAGGCCCTACGGGGGCCTTATTTAGGTCCAAATAGGGGTGTCAGGCTGTCAAGCGTAGACACCCCCGGGACCAGGCTTTTTAGCTGAGTTACTAACACTGTGACTCTCACATACACTCTCTACTCCAATAGCCTACATAGACATAGACACCTAGCAGTATAGACAGAAAGTAGGCACCTAGCTGCATCTACAAGTAGGCTATTAGAATATCAAGTATGTGATATATAGAACGGACGGATTGATTCTCCAGACCTCTCCGGGGCCAGGTCCTAAATACAGTATAAAATTATATGGCTAATCAACACGGTGGCTGGGAAGCGTAGGGGCCAAATTCGACATGCCCCTGCATCAAATTTCGACATAGGCCACTATGGCAAGTTTGGTAAATTACCGAATCATACCCCAAGCAATTAATCCTTACCGAATCATACCCCAAATTTTGGTAAGGATTTATAGTTTTGAGGTATGATTCGGTAATCAGCCCGGTATCTGTGGCGGGAGCTGAGCTTGTTGAGCTGGACCTATCAACCTCCCACTTAGCATGGTCTCGGGCCGTCTCTGCATTTGCAGACGTCTCTGGAGTGGAAGGGGGAGGTGCGAGTGGGATTGCTGTGGTAGGTCGGATGTTGGAGAAGCTTCGTCTCGTTTGGAGACGCCACCGTTGTGGTGATTGGGTTGGTGGGAGGAAGGGGGTATGGGTTCGGTTCATCGTTCATCGTTGGGGTTGGATAGGTGTTCATGTGGGAATGTTGTTTGCCTGGGAGGTGCATTTGGAAGAAGTTTGCTGAGTCCGATCGTGACTGCTTCGAGATGTCTCGGGAGGTTTCTGCTCGTTGCGGAATGCTACTCCTGTCGCTTTTGTTGGTCTTTGTCTCAATTTTTAACACGTAATTATTGACTTTTCTTCCAGGTTTATGGAGCTGTGCATCTTGCAGATCGAGGTGCCATGAATCAGGATTTAAGATATAGACTCTTGTATGGTTCTATATTCTTGTCTCTAGGATATCTCTGGACACTTGCAGCTGTGCTGTCGCAATCCCCTGTCTCCGTTTATACTCCTTGTCCTCGTGACATGCCCCTTTTGCTGGACGAGTCGCGAGTATCGTAGGTACCTTCGTCTTTATGCTTCAATTTTGTTACCCACGTGAAAATGAAAGAAACGATACCGGTCGCAAGAAGAGAAATCAATGGCGTGGCTCAAGTCGCTACCCGTGCATCTTTCCCGTTCATGCTCCCATTTCCACACTCTCTCGCTCCAATCCTCATGCTCATCTTGCCGTGAGCCAGACTGACACCTTGCGAGGCCGTCGCTTAAATTGCGGCGCGCTCCAAGTCGGCACAGAGTTACGTATTTGCGCTCGATCTCCGCTTGGCGCGTTTGGGACTCTTTAGCGCTGCAGTACACACATGAGACGCTCGGCCGTACTGCACACGTGGCTCTTCATGCTTTTGTGGCCTGCTGCTGCTGCACGAGGCTGAATAGAGAATACTCACCCAAGAGTGTTTGTTCTTGATTAGCTACGACGGCCACGGTTTTAGGATCCAGCTCGACGAGTGTTCACAAACATCCTTTTGAAATACCCTGATATGTCTTCCTTGACTGGTCTTGTGTTTTTACACATATTCATCGCTACGGTTCACGGGCTAGCGCCTCCTGCCACAAATCGAGCCATCAGTGTGCCATCATCTTCGACATCATTAACTCTTGATCTTCTCAACTTAACAAGCTCGGCTAATAATCTACAACTTGTCAACACCACCGCCAATGAGAACATCAAATGCGATGGGAAGTATTGGGGGTATCATCTGAACAAGGCGAGCTGTGAAGAGGCTTGGGATAAAATGCCTACGGATAACCAGTTCGTCTCTTTCGGCGCGCGACGAATGGGCCACTTTGAGCGTCCCTTGCCGTATCGTTACCTCAGCGGTGAGTTCAACGTTACATGTTTTGGTCTCCTGTTGCTTGGGGGAGAGTTTGTGATTTGCGGCTAACCTTTCGAACCCAGATGATGGTCTCTGTGCTATCGATATCGATCATATGATTAAGGTGGTTTTGGATACTGCAACGAACCACGAAATCTCGGCGGCCGCGAAATCGATCCTGGATAAATGTGTTTTAAGAGACGAACCCAAAAAACAAGGTAACACTCCAATCGGTGGCTATCGCAATTACATAGGTCAGTAATTCGTATTTCTCTTTCGTTCGAAATGGGAAGCAATACTTCGACTGAAAGTTTACTTGCTCTTGCTTTTTAGGAAGAAAGAAGGGACTCGGTATCTCAGTCTCCTCCTACAGTCCGCATGTAAAATGCACGCTGGACTCAGAACTTGAGGACGAGACAATTTGCACTAAACTGTTGGGAACCATGCCGATCAATCGATCCTCCTATGTCTTTATCAGGGAGAAAACAAGTGGGCCAAGAAGCGTGATTATTCCGTGGGGTGGCAGGAAAATATCAAGCGGTACGCACGCGTCTTATCCTGCCAGTCTCAGACTTCTGCAAAAAGCTTCCTCTTCTCCGTGCTCGCTAGCGACGATTGTTCTCCTGACAGTTCCAGGAACGTGCATTGCAACCATCGATTTCGAGGAGGGGGACACGGACAAGAGCTCTTGGTACGAGATGTGGATGGCAGCTGTGGCTGTCAATGAGATGTGTGTTACGAAAGGTAAAGCCGGCGCTGCATTTGGCCTAGGTAAGTCGATCCTCTCCACTCTGTCGAAGAATGACTGTCGGCGTGCTGAGGTGCCGTAGGTCGAGATAGAACGGTGATGCTTTCGCTCAGTCCATGATAGTGCGGGTTAGTCCTTCATGTTCTGATTCATTGTACACATTTTGGCGAAGTCCATTAAGCCGAGCAGAGAAAGCTCACTTTCCTCCACTATCGCAACGATCCTTTTGGCTACTTCCTGGCCACCCCTGTAAATCATGACAATCTTACGAGTCTGGATGATTGTATCGAACCACGGGAGTCGCACCTTCCATATTGATACGACCGAGGGTTCGCCTGCTGTCATCCCTGCTCCGTCTGCCCAGTGCTTGGTGGTAGCCAGAAGACTGGAGGAGAATTGTTGAGGGTAGTCGGGTTCCGTGTAGTGCGAATAGATCGTCAATGTACGGTACCCTATTGTTTTAACCTTGTGCCGGGCTAAGGTAATTCCACCTCGTGTCTTGCCGCTGATTAACGAAAATAAGGTTCCTTGGTACGACTGTAGTCCGAACTCAATCGCCAGAGTCCACGTCTGCGATTTCCATAACATCAAGGTACCTACTACCTTTATTTATTATCGGGACTTGTTGAATGATGGTGGAAACTCAGGTGTGAACATTCTTCGCCTCCTTTACTGCCCCATTGTTGCCATCGAACTTCTGTCTTTACTCAGCATGCCTGCGGAATCAATCAAGACATGGTATCTACAACCTTTAAAGTCTATTCTATGTTGGCTTCGGCATCCATTTCCCTCTAAAATGCTTGCGGCTCGTATTCATGTACGCCAACTTTCTGTTGGTCTTCAGGGCTCCCACAAGTCGCATCATCATATGGTTCCCACTCCAGCCATGCCACATTCTTTTCATATCGCCTGTGCTCAATGCCACTCTCACCCTGCCCGCCGACATGAACTCTTCGACGCTTCCGAGTGCTGCCGCCGACCCAGCGCTGTATGCCAATCGGTACCATACACTGATGGCAGGGACGGCAGCGCTGCTCGTTCTCCCGACTCTGGCGGTGATCCTGCGGCTGCTGTCGAGATGGATTGCAGGTGCTGGACTATGGGTATGATAATGCGCGATTGAAGAAGGGAAAGGAATATGCTCTGACAAGGAGTTAGTTCGATGATTATGCCGTGATACTGGCTTGGGTATGTCGGTTTATGGCTCCTTGGTGGCACTTCATTGACCCTCGTGCAGTTATTCGCTCTGGGGCCAAGCATCGCTCTCATCGTGGGTCAGTCATGGTAGTTTTCGCCCATCTGGCTTTCGCTGACCTGAAACAACAGCAATCCACATAGGCTTCGGAGAGCATATCGAAATCCTACCAGCCTCTACCATTTTCGCAGTCTTCAAGGTCCTATATGCTTTCTCGCTGACATTCATAATGGCCATGATTACTGTCAAATTCTCCGTGTACGTATGTCTTCTTTGCTTCGCCATATGCCTTCCTTCAACCGGTGGCTGAGAAATTGACGTCTCAGGATATTGTTCCTGTACCGCATCTTTCCCATCGTCCATTTTAGGCGCATACTCGTTGGTGCAGCCATATTCGTTGTTTGTCTTGGAGTCTCCCTCTTTCCTGTATCGATCTGGACTTGTACACCAATCCACGACTTCTGGACCACCCTTGGAGGCGGAGTCAAGTCCCGGTCGGGGGGTCGTTGTGTCAATACTCAATTATTCTACCTTGTCAGCGGAGCCATCAACACAGTCACCGATTTCGCCCTCTTGGCATTGGTGAGTCTGCGCACTAGAAAGGCTTCCTCTTCTATACTGACGAGATATCGAAGCCCATACCAATGCTGTGGAGATTGCGCACTGGCAAGCTGCAGAAATCGATCTTGACAGTTATATTCACTGTCGGCCTTACGTAAGCTTCCTTCGCTGCTTTCAATTCTCGAGAAGGCTTGATTGACTTGCGTTGCAGAGTCTGCGCCGTCAGTATCAATCGACTTATAATATTATCAAGATTTCAGCATGCAAAGCTTTCCCAACTCGGTCGGCTCGATATCACCTGTAAGTCTTCACCTGAACAAACCGCCTGCGTTCTTCAATATTGACAGCGATCAGGGAATTACGTGGCCCCAGCCACCTGGACGGCGGCGGAACCAGCAGTCGCGGTAATCAGCGCCTGCCTACCTAGTCTACGACCCCTGTTTGTCAGAATCATCTGGGGCCAAGCCTACCGGCCAACCCCGACGTCTCAACCGAGCAATAAAAGGAGCTATTCGGCATCGTGGAGGAGTGGCATACCCAGCAAGGGAACGAATGGGAGCTTCGATCGATTGCAGGATACAATCAGTGGATCATCCAAGACGCCATGGAGGAACAATGTCAACGTCTACGGAGGTCAGGATACAGGGAGCGATGAGTATGAGCTGGGGAATCCGCAGGAAGCTTTGCCCGCTCGAGGGATCCGGGTGAAGACGACTGTGACTGTGACGGAACGGGTGGTGTGGCAGGATAATTTGTTCTAAGGAGTTTCGACCCGGTGATGACTTCTGTGTATGACCTCTGGGAACGTTTATATAAAGGAGACGCGGAGGTACCTGGATGAGATACACGGACGCAAGATGCATGTTTTCGGAAGGGAAAACGAAGCGCGAACCCTCGCTACGGTTGTCCTTCTTGGGCCGCAGCAGAGGCGCGCAGAACGCCCCATCGCGACGGACACGGTCTACCAATGCGTTTTTCTCTCTGCGAAAACACGAGATGGGAGGGTATCGAGGCCTGGGCGCCGGCGCGCATCATGCTTGCTGGAGTCAACTGTAGCACCGTGAGGGAACCCTGACTGAGAGGGCCATTGTTGTCTTATCCGGTCGTACCACGTCCCTTCCTTTTCGATGGACCATATTACAGCGTGCTTTGCACCACTTCCATCGCAGAAGGTTTTGCCGCCTCGGGGGGTTGGTTCGGCGAAGAACCAACGTGCAGTCTGTCTCGGACTTCTTGGAATTTTCGCGGACATCCTACGCTATTTACATCAATAGGGTTTATCTTCTTTTGAATTTCCTAGCGGCCTTCTTTTCAGGGGTCCCATCCCCAATAGTCGATCACAAATTCCTTTCCCTTTCCATTTTCCTTTCCCTCCGCACCAGATGATAGTGTCGCGCTCCGATTTCCACTCTTGCTCTTGCCATCCCCCCCCCACCCAACCGCTTTCCCACCTTTTCCCCTCCACCATCGGGCACTCTCCAATGAACACTCGCTTCCGCCCAGACATCATGACCGTCTCGGACACCGTGGGCGAAGATCGGCAACCGCAGCGTCTCGGCCGAGTCTCGCCCGAACTCTTGCAACGGCCGGATATACTTCTCCTTCCCGCCCGGAATTTTTTTGGCGTTGTCCTTGCCGATGTCCGCGATCGCGGCGTCGGGGTCGGTGCCGATGTACAGAGCTGGGAATGTGTCCGTGAGCGCTCGGGAGATGTTTTTCGCTTTCAGATCTGGCGCGAATAGGAACGTGGTTTTGGACCGCGGGATTGGAGGTGGTCGCGTTCTGATCGCGTGAAGACGGGGTCTTGGAAGTAGATTTTGGTTTCCTCGTCTTTCGTCAGACCGTTGGGGAGCGACTCCAGCATGGCTGGTTGGTGGAGAGAGGTGTTGAAGTCTCCGTTGCGTTTTCTCCCTCGCGCGCTCTTGCTCTCGAAGTTCATGAATGGGCCGAGGCCGAGACATATGCACTGCGTGATATTTGTTTTCTGCCCTTGCTCGAAGAAAGCCGTCAGGGAGTGAAAGCGGGTTGAGTTTCGGAATTTCTGGGTGGATGTTTCGATCCCCGCTTTGACTTCCTTCGGGGTGAGTGGTTTATGTCGTGGTGCTGCAGGTCGTGGGGCTTTAGGTGCCGCGGCCGGCGGTCGTGGAGTCGGAAAAGCGCGCGTTTTTGCTACCTTTGTCTTGTTCTCCATGATGATGATCTGGCGATCTTCTTTCTACATGTGGCCTGGAAGATTTGCGGGGAGATCGATGTATGATGCACACACAAAGCAAAACGATAGCACGGCCGGAGCAGGCTTTAGGAGTGAAGAACGGACGGAAATGCAGAACTTATCTCAGGGAAGGTGCTTATCTATATCTTCCGAAAGGCATGACGAGAAAACAAGTTCCGGAAGAGAAGAAGCGATCATTGTGATGGTGTTTAACGATAACGGAGATCTAGTTGCCTAGATCTCCAAGCGCCATGATTAGTCCTTTCTCAAACTTGGAGTATCGTTTTCCATGTATCGGAATTGCATGCGATGGCGTGTTTCAAGTATGAATCCATACTCTCTTGACGTCGCTCCGCTTTGGCAAAGTCTTGCCCCACACCCACCAAAGGCAGAACAACCATCAAGACAGCATTGTATAGAGATTGAGATCCGTTTCTTTTCCGGGTGCAGCCCACTCGACTCGCCGTTCGTTCCAATTATTCTATAGAGAGGTGTTTCGCACCCTCCCGGCCGGCTTTTTAGCGGCAAATCGCCCTTCATGACGCCGTCACCACGACGCAACGAAGCACTATACCGGATTGAGGTTTATGACCTGCTGGCCTTTGAGTTCCGTGTAAACAAATGCCGGGAAATATAATAGTTTCGAGCTCGCTTAAAGCGACGTTAGTGTGATGTCGGGTTTGTGTACTTGGACTGGGACACAGCGCCTGACTAGGCACTAGAGAAAATTCGTCTATGGAAGTGATTTCGTAAGTAAGTAGTTGAGGGCAACAAAGGAGGTATGTGATGTACAAAGATGTCGTCCTACAAAGATATCTCGGCTAGAAATGAAAATTGCAGATAGGATAGTTACACACGGTAGTCTTGCGCGAAAAGACCATACATCGGCACCGTCCAGCCACCAACTCTTGGTACGTAAACCTCACATCCTCCTTACTACTCTCCCATGGCCCTCCATCACATCGAGCTGTCGTGCTGGAGTACGCCCACTGGCCTTGAAGGGCTGGCGACTACCATATAGTAGGCTTCATGGCCGTTATTCATAAGAACAATCTTACAACAACCTTCACTCTACATTACAACATGTCTGTGCCCAATGTTTCCAAATCTTACCACGCCAGCCCGGCGCAAAAGTGTCGTTTCCTTCTTTTACGAGATCAAAGGCAGCTTTGTCAAGATTTCGTTCCATCTAATAAAGAAGTAGACATTATTTAGATACCCGTAGTAAAGTTGTATCCTTTGAACAGTTGTATAGGATAACTGTTTGTAAAGAAGAAGACACGTCTTGCGTGTGCGCAACGAGGATATCGGATATAGCGCTTCGTACCATCAACGTAGTTCTTCGACGATGGATGAGGTGAGGTGGTGGTCGGAACATAGGGTGGTTCCGAGACCATTTCACCTAGCTTGAGGCTCTTTGCTTCTCGAGCGCATTGTCATCAACGTACTGAAGTGTGTAATCTCAGGGCTCTTCTCATTGCCGCTCTCATAAAGTAAGTCCAGTTCAAGGTTTCCTTTCTTTCTGGACTGCGAAATACCGTTATGTGTGGTTGGCCTTAGTGAGTCTTAAGGGACGCGTTTCATCGCGTCGAGCTCGTGGTCCACTGCTAAGCGACGGAGCCTGGCTCTCGCGGATGTATGGATGGCGCCCGGATGAGCAGTGGGAAAGTCAACGCATTGGACATCAGTATTGGGCTCCTAGCGGCTCCGCCTTCTTCTTTCACTTCATTCGATCGGCTTTGAAAAAGGTCTTTTTTCAATTGCGTTTATGTTTTTATCGGAGATATGTACTCTGAGCACCACGAATGGTAAGTTAATCTATCAAGGCGTCAAGTGCAATCCTTGGTAGGCCATCAGTTTCTGCACACCTCTACCACACTGGTTTGGAGGACAGATGAGTCGCCAGGTCTCCATATCTGGATCCTCTTCTGAGCCACGTCATCGGCGCACTTTCTCCCCTCAAAACAGCGCAAGCGGGTTCGTAGCATTAGCAGGCCTCGCCTGATCCACATCCCAATGCTCCATGACGCACGTCCCATCCAGCCTAAACACATCCGCCACCGCCATCTGGCCTCCTGCAACATTCAAATGCACAAATCCAATCCCTCCTTCAAACGTCTCGTGCACAATCGTCCGGTTCACGCTCGGGATCAGATAGTTGAGGAAGGCGATGGCGGCTGCGCGCCCTTGGGGTGCGTAGGGTGAGTGGTTGATGTAGTCTGGGGAGACGTAGGTCAGGTAGGCGGTCGTGGGGTCCTCGAGGGTGTAGAGCTTGTTGATGAAGTCGAAGAAAATGGCGTGTTGTTGGCTGGGGGTGGCGGGTTTGGGGGGGCAGAATGGTGCTTGAGGTGCGGTGGGGTAGTAGTGCGGTGTTGGGGAGGCGAGGATGGTGGGGAGAGCGATAAGAGCAAGGGGGAGTAGGGTTGAGAAGTGCATGGTTTCTTGGCTGGGTTCGTGGTGTAAGGAGAGCAGGTAATCGGATCTTAGTAGATATGATGGAAGGACAAAGCGCGCTGCGAGGGTGAAGAAGACGAGATGGACTTTCGAGCAGGGACAGCGCTTTATAGACGAGAGAACTTACCTTCGGCCCTTCAACGCCGCTAAGAGCTGGTATAGTCCCTGAGTCTCTCGGTCACGCTGAGACGGTGCCCGTCAAGGTGGTAGAAAGTTGTACCCTTGCATGCTTTGCTGACTGGAACGCGACTTGCCAAGGTACCACGACAAGTAAATCGTAAACGTCATGGCCAGTTGTCCTACTTGGGAGTAGAATCTATCGCCAAGATATCGAATAGTGGAGATATTGGCTTCATCAAGCATAGCTCTGGTGAAGCAAGAATAGTAGCGAGCTGCCGTCCCCGGAGAGCATCCAAAATGGACGCCTCGTAGGGATATATAATTACTAGTGTGAGACTTGGCACGTGCTATTTGGACTGTGGAGCCTCCCGGTGCTAGGAACTCAGGAACCTGTTGAGTATCATGCTCGAAGGAAATGGCAGAGAAAGGTTGATATGTTCGCTAAAGCATTTGCATGGTGCACTCTTCGGTCACCGTGATGGCAGCAAGCCAAGCAATTTCGGTGAATTCTTAGCTTGACGCTAGTGTCAAAGCAGCTAGCGATTATCTTCTTGGCATTGGTTGGGGGACCTCTCGACTGCTTGATCCATACATCCACCATTGTAAAGATATCCTACTCGAGCTACTCGGTCAACACATGAGTTGTTGATTTGTTAATATTGCAGTAGCGTCAACAGATCCAAGACGACCTCCGCGAAGACCCAGCCTTCCGACCCTCCTCAGCTCCTCTGTCCCATTGCGCCAGTCTATCATGAAACCAACTCAATACCAACAGTCTCGAACACTGTCTTCATCTCTTTGTAAGGACAGTCACTTCCGACAATGACCTTCTCGAGCTTTGGAACCCGCTCCCACTTGAGTCCTGGTAAACCCTCCATTAGCCGGTAGGACTCTTTTCCGCTCAACTGTGGCATCGCCAACGTAACGTTCACCACCGAAGCTGGCAACAAGTCCACCAAACGGTGCACCGTTCTCCCACCTGCGGAACCTTCCAGGTCTTCCTCGACGAATGCCTCATTTTGAACGCGGATGTTTTTGAGTACCTGAAAACCTCTAAGGGAGCCCATGAATGGCTTGACTATGCCACCAACTTCCGAGTCCTCGTCTGAGTCCTCGGCTTCTCCCTTCTCTCCGAGTGTTTCTTCCACGCGTTGCATTTCTTTACTGCCGCCCCGAGTCAGATCCAGTTCGACGAGAGAATGAGCTGCAAATTCCAGCAAGCTCAGGATAATCTCTCCAGGCTGCCAGTCTCCTTTCCAATCGTTCGGGTAGGCCTCTGTACCCTGAATCTCAAATGCCCAATGATGTTCGTATGTGAAGTCTCGCAGGTTTGCAATTCCGCCAAAAACACTTCGCAGAGCTGCGATGTAAATCATGCATTGGTAGAGCTCCACGCTTGTAATTGTAGACTTCTCTTTGGGGGTTGTCCACTCATTCTCATGATACAAGTATCTGCCTGTATAGCGTCGCATTGAAGGCAGACCAGAAAGTGGCTCGAATGCTGGCATCTTTTGGAATATTTCTGCTTCACAGCCTTCCTCTTCGACGAGATTGAGCTTGCTGAGAGCGTGGGAACCACCAGGGTCGAGACGGTTGGCTTGGGCAATCTTCCGTGCAAGGGAATGTAGCTCATTGTTGGAATGGATGCCTGTGAGGCGGATAGTCTCCAGGCATGGGAACATGCACGCAAGAAGAGCCACAGCTGTGTCTTGGTGGCATGAGAGTGTCGCATTGATCCAGTTTTTACGTTCTTCTTGGTCCAAGTATGGACATGCCTGCACCATTTTGATGATGCCATCTTTGCAGTCCACAGCTATCCGTCGGGCCTCGTCCCAGGTTTCCTCGTTTCTATAGGCATAGTGATCGTCGCAGAGCTCGACGAACATGGTCTTAACGTACCAGAGAATCTCCGGGTCCTGAAGAATGTCCCGGAGTAAGAAAATGGGGTGGAGTGCTTTGTAGCCTACCGAGCCAACCAAGCCGCAAGAGACCTGGGAGTTTTTTCTTTTCAACTCATTGTGCCTGGGTAGTATCCTGCTAGCAATAGCGCGAAATTCCTCACGAGAGTCCGAAAAGTTGTCGACGTCGTCAGGCAAGAGGTATTTCATGATCTGCTCTAGCATCTCGTTTGGAAGGTCTGGCAGCAGAGGCATGGTGAAACAGTGAGGACGAGTGGCGGTGCTGCCAAGCGATCGACTTCAAGCCAGTCTTTTGGAATCAGTGACGCAGTCGAGTATGATGCGTTCGGCACCGATTATGTGTAGACTCAACAGGGGGATTGTGTGAATGAGAAGATGGGTGTCGGGTGCTGCTAATTGATCCGTTCGATGGTCACTTTCGAGACCTCGGAGGTAGTCAAGTATGGTGTTACCAGCGGTGCTATGGAACTGATGGGGGCTGTTGTGGATCGGATACGGATGGTCAAAGCTGATGTGCATGAACAAAGGGAGTCGAAATAAAAAGAGTGGAGGGAAAATCCTCTGGTCTGATCAAAACTTATGGAAGGAGTTGTTTTGGAGATGATGAGAGATGCCTTAAGTATGGCGGCTGCGCTTATGCATGCGCTTGTTTGAGTAAAGGAAAAGAGACATGTCCCAATCGGATACACTTACGGACTTAGCTTCTCTGACCCCGGACGTGGGCTTAGTAAGTGGCACAATGATTGCTCCGTCACAGTTCTCTGTGTTTTTGACATACTACATTCCCACCCAGTTAAATCCACTTTTGGATTGCTATCATGGCTAGCAAGATTTTCTTATCCGTTGGAATAAGCTCATTACCAAATCCTCAGAACTGGTGGCGTTCGAGTACCAAGACGTTGGATTCCATCATTTTCTGCACGACACCAGGATGTACACTCTACAACGCACCTTTGAGGCCCTAGCCCCCAACGATACTGATTCTGGAAACTTTAATCAGTTTTACTGCTATGACTACCAACGGCGAAGGAGGTCTCGGCGCTTTACTCAACCAAGATGACCCTTAAAATGATCCTTCTGCAGCGGTCTCCATCGCGGTGGCTCGATCGGCAGAGCATAAGGAAGAGAATACAGAGACAGGGAAGATCTACAAGGAAATACTGCAATGGGAGCGGACTAGCATACGAAACCCATCAGGAAGAAAGGAAGCGATAGCGGGAAAGTCAACCAAACCTGTTATCCCGCGGATTATCTCGGTAGAGCCCAACTCGCTGTGGTTTGCGTAAGCCTGTTATGCTATGGGCAGAGATGGATTCGGCTACGATAAGTGTCTTCCCTATTCACAATCTGCAGTCCTCTCCACACCAGAGAATTGTGAGCGCACTTCGAGGTTGTCTTCAAACCGGATGATATTCTCACGAAAGGCAATACTGGCTCGCATCTAACGACTTCTCACGCAATAGAGGCTAGAGCGGGATCTACACACATCTGTAATTTTCTATCCGTTCTTTGTCTTGCTCTTTTGGCTATTCTCATCTTCGAGGCTTTGTTGTAATTTGGGGAAGGAACAAAAAGATTCTGACTCGGCAGACTTTTTTGGTTTTGTTGGAGAGAAAATAGAGATGGTCTTTGAAGAAACAAGAACGCGTTGCACGATTCTTTGTACTCTGTTGTGCTTGAAGGATCCAAATAATTAATCCTTGTATTTTGACCAGGCTTTGAGCGCGAAACATCCTTCTCGCCTACATACAGGCCGTTCTCCCCTCGCAATCCATCAAACCAATTCCTCATCCACGTCTACCAACATTCCGCCTCTACCACAACGAATTCCGAATTTCGCACGTCAGAACTCCACCATGCACTTCACAATCCCTCTCCTCTGCCTGCTAAGCACCGGTGCATTAGCCCTTCCCAGCCAGATGCAATCGAAGAGACAATTTAGCTACAACGGCCCATTGGGCCCCGCCAGTGCATGGTAAGTCATCCTTCTCCGCCACACTCTCAGCATCTTCCATCAACCATCACTAACGCAACGGCCTCCCTCATCTAGTCCCGGCATAAACCCTCACACAATTTTAAACCTCGAAACTCCAATCTATGGAGCGCCCCCGAATTACCCGAACTACGATTGTCTGCCAATGAGCACGGCTATTGACTGGATTGGAATCAATCTGTTCCTGAGCAACTCCACCGCGCTTCAGGCTTACTCGGATCCGCAGTGCTCGAATCGGATTGCGTTCATTGAGTGGCCTCAGAGTATGGGGGAGCGGAATTATCAATTCTGTGCTCAGCAGAGTAGAAATGGGGGAGCTGGATCGTGGAAGTCTGTGATGTATGCGGTGCCTTGATGAGCAATTCGTTACAAAGTGCAGGTTGGGTCTGTATGATTAGAGTTACTGTATCGTGTGAAAAGAGTCCATATGTATGTGCAACTTGAAGTTGCGCTAGGCTTTGAAGCCAAAAGAGCAAGTATCCAACTTCTAAGATTCAATTTCACTTATCTCAGCAGAAAGACTTAGCAGTATTGGTGTATTCGCTCACACTGATGTCCTGGCAAGTGCACCGATTGGTGAATTTAATCGTGGGTTTGTCACATCCGAGGTGTCTATTTGCCGGGTGAGTATCCATGACATATGGACCTACTCAGTTTTGATCTACCCTATAACCCTTCCCTCATGCTATGATCCTGTTACAGAGAGGCCGACCAAGACCTGAATGCAGTGAATGCACTCGGTGAGGCAACATTTGAAGTTGCACCACCGGAGGATATGGCAACCAGCACTCCGTACTTCAACTAACTCGTTCCCTTCATGAGACTTGCCAAGGAGATTCGCCTCCTCATCTACAAGGAGTTGCTCACCCAGAACGGCGGCCTCGAGCCATCCTTCTGCCCAGACGAGCATCACAGGTGCTCAAACAAGGCACTCAACCTCTTTTCCCTCAAGCTACACTGAGAACATGCAGAACAATCTATCACCACGAAGCTTTACCATCTCTGTATACGGACAACGTCGTCGAGCTTCTTTGTGTTTTTGGGCAACTTGGGAAACAACACCTCTGGTACCGCACTTTGTGGCCTTCACCTCTACTCACATCCCAGAAAACTCACACTTTCACCTGTCTCAAGCATATTTTTCATTGCATACATCGGCATTGGGCTCGAACGCTCAGACATGGCGCAATTCCCAACGTACTGTCCAAAGGTCGAACGCGAAAATCTCGAGCTCCATTTCAACATCCCGTCCGTCTGCCAGCAGAACCAAGGCCTGTTCTCAGCTTTCGATAATGCCTCGGTCGTCCGCAGCATGCCACGCATGCATCTCCAAATTAGCCTCTGCGCTCAGACTTAGCGGATTAGATTGCCGCAATGATAGTCCGATCAAAGAGCTTCCCAAGTCGTGTTTAGGTTAGTGAATGCCCGCTGCAGTCTTTCGTCCTCTGACAAATTTGGTTAGTCAGCCAAGGCTGCGTTGCGTCTTGAGATCTATCTTGATGGTATCCCATCGTTGATCCTTCTGTATTACATTTCATTCTTCCAGTACATGAACCCGGTGTAGATATCTGCACGTCTGGATTATCTGCAATGTCTAGGGGGACATGCATCTTGCGCCGCTAGGCGGTACTCTCGAACAGTAATGATTGGTCGCTTCAAGAGCCTGCAGATAGACTTACGAAGTTCCAGACGACATTTCTTCTCCAATCTAATACAGACCCTCATGGTTGCCTGATTGCTTCTGTTTTCCATTTCCGGCAGCTGAGATGTACTTTAATTGAAACCCTTTGAAAGCCTCGATGCGCTTACTGCAACTCATTTAGGGACGTGATAGATTTACATCCTTTTTTGATTCATGTACATCTCCCCCCACACATCCGGGTGCAGCTGGGGTATAACTTCCGACTGTAATAAATTGACACTGGTGACCCGGCGCACTCTACCTGCGTTCACGAGGGCACATTCCGGGACTCAAAATCTTATTCACAATCAACTTAGCCATTAACCCCTAGAGGGGTTCAGCGCACCGAAAGAGTGTAAACCGAGTGTTTTAGAATGAGCCTTCCGAAGGGAGGAAAACTCTTGTTCACGAGTGACGCACTCTGCAGGTAGCAAGACACGTAGGTTTTAGAGCACTCCGAGACTGCGCCCAGCATAGCTAGCCAGGATATAGCACCCGGATAGAGGGGAGTAGATGTACACCTATCACCTCTCTTCATTGAAACGGGGCACATGGTCGGAATTTTATGTCCGTAAAGTCGGCTCTCGTTCTCGGCTACCTGCATGATGACCGAGACATCTCGACCTCTTGCCGTCATGTGATATCCAACCCTATCGCTATCGTCCCACCATCTGACCTGAATGCAGAGACCTTCAAGGCTACTAGAATCCATACATCTACCGATAGCGTGATGTCCGGGTTAGAGATCCCAGGCTTCATCGTCGGATTGAGCGGACGCATAGCAGTTGCAGAGAAGGGTCTCGTAATCTGGCGGAGCATCGGCGTTGCTAACGTCTTTGGACCCAACGTTGTCGAAGATGTCGCGAAGCTTAGCATGGAGTACTATCGCTTTGAGGCCTGGACAAACGCTGTCAGCTTCCTTCTTACTGCGCAAAAGCGATCGCAGTCGAAGCCCACTGCTCTTGGAATGCTGTCCTCTTTCCTTGAGCCAGCAGCCCCAACAACCAATATACACGACGCCCTGCTAAGGCAACACTATGTCATGTTTCGCGAAACCCATATTTACTCTGTCGTGAAGTTCTGCGAGTATCGACAGGAAGTCTTCGAAAAAAATGAGGATGAATTGCTACCATAATATGTACTCGCGTTCAATGTTGGTTCTTTCGACTTAGGTTCAGGCTCGGACTTCTTCTTATCTCTAGCATCCCAGAAGATGTAGCCCACTTCTCTTAACTGCCATTTCAAAACACGAAACTTCGGGAGACCGGCCCTTTTCCAGTTTCAACAAGAAATGGATATTGAGCCTTTGACATATCTTCCCACTCACGATGATGTTGGTTCACAGCGACTTCAAGACGATAATCATCTGTACGTGCCCGCCCGAAGGGCCGATGGTACCATCTTAGAAGGGGTTCGACAGGGGCGTTACAGCATTGCCATGGCTCATAGCTTTGACTGGGGTATCGTCTTGAAGGCCCATCGCCCTGGTCATACATATATTGCTGATGACCTGCGAGTATGTATCGTATTCCTCTATTCCTCCGTGTGTAGCGAAACTCAATTGTTCTTCCCAATCGCATTCGTTCTGCCAATCGCTTGGCTTTCTTTCAAGGCCTTTTGGTTTCTCCACCGGCGCTCGAGCTAAGAACGATATCCACTGAAGTCTGGACCACTTTACATGATTGGCCTGATCACAGAAGACGGCTGGGTCGCAAGTGCGCTCAAGGACTCTGAACAAGAATGGAACAACACTAATCATCTCCTCGCACTCCCATCACTGAAGTCTAGAAAGCAACAATTTCCGGTCCTCGTTCAAATTGACGTCGTTGCCCGTATCCACGTTTGGTGTTCCGGGAAGGAGTCGGCCAAAGAGCTCAAAGCGCCAAGAGGCACGCTGAATGCGGTATATCTCGATGGGATGCGCAGGGAATCGCCAACGGTATGGTGTAACAGTGAGACGTTGCAGATAGGAATCACTTGCTGGAGAGCGAATCCGATTGTCCTTCCAGTCAAATGAGAGTTCTATTGCGTCGTCGCCGTCCCATCTCCAACATGGTCAACGTATGAATCGTAATACGGTCGAGAATGTAGATCGTTAATCAACGGCAGATGCGAAAGGCGAGCGCCATTTTCACTGCTCCAATGCTTTTGAGAATCTCTGCTTCACTTCTTTCGAGACTCTCTATACATGCAGCGATGTAACGCGGTGTAAAGGTTTCCACGGCTGCGGCGATGTCTCTAAGCTGCCCAAAGGACTTGACAGGATTAGACAGCGTCGGTGAGGACTCTTCGGCGTGACCAAGGTATATGTTGATAAAACTTGCTCGCTCGGTGGAATCACTGAGCTTGGTCGATTCGAGAGCGAGGCTTACGACCGCCATTTGGCGCATCTCCAGAGCAAAAGTGTTGAGCAACGCCGATGTAATTGACCTTGACAACTGCTCTACGTCCTGCCTAGCAATTTCGCATGCTTCCAACCAGTGTAGCAGGCTGCTTGTGTTGCCTATCTTCACGGTAAGGAGGAAAAGAACATCCACATTTCGACAAACGCTTTGTAGGGCTGTCTCTTGTGCGCAGTGTAGAAGTCGAGGACTTTTCGCAGCCAGTGGAGAAGCATACTTGCTGGTGGGAACTTGCAGGCTCCTAGACCGTTCCTAAGCGCATTTGAGGGAGGACAGGTCGATCGGCTTCATCCTTGACAATGGCAACGTATAGCAGGCTGGGCATTATCTGGGGGACGTGACAGGTAGAGGAGCCGGGGAGAAGAGTGGAAAACGCCGCTACCTTCAACCTCAGAGTGGCTGGTTGCTTCTGTGTCACAAGCAGATTCTGTCATTCGTGAACAATTCCCATAAATTTCGGTGACTGGGGCCATACATCCACACAAAGAAGTCATTGAATGTACGTTTGACCACTTGAGCGGAGCGACTTGACGAAGTGTTAAGAGCTCAAATGGTGAAAGGAAGGTGGTAGAAGTCCTTGACCATTTGGGCGGAGAAAGTGTTTAGTCCCCGCATGTATATTGCCGGTGATTTTGGCTGCGGGCAGGAAAATAAGTGGTCGCCTGTCGGGAAGCAGCTCCGTCCACCAATTAGGGAAGGAGCCAAAGGATGTTTTATTGCCATTTGTAAATCACCAGGGCAGCTCCGGTGTTGTTATAGTTGTAAATGCAGAACGTTAAGTAAATGGGGTGGAGACACCGTTCTAAATTCCGACGCAGAACCCGGACGCCCGCCAACGCCGCAAGCAAGGACACACCAACTCCAACCTTTGTTGCTCTATCGGTGTCGTAACGTACCGTCCCATTCGAGAGCGTTGTCGTGGTCGCCCAGCGTAGAGATCTGCACCCGGGCGCGCAAGATCACGGCGGAGCTTTTTCCGGTCTGCTGTTGCTGCCGAATCGGAATAGCAGGCGTAAATTATATAGCTGAGGTCTACCCAGTCCTTCACTGCGGAGGTCGACGTGGCCCTGGTACTCCCACCATCATCAAAAGTTCAGCATCGTCAAGGTGTGAATCTCTGCGAAGGCGGATGTACCCTGTGTAGAGAGATGCGACCAAGGTGACAGCCGCGGAGATTCACAGTATTGCTATCTATTGGCACATACAGTTGACCCCATAGTGAATATGTCGTATGGGCCCTGTCAGTAGGTAGGAGTTGCCGTTCGACGACTGCGGCTCGGACCATCGCATTCTTGAGTGTGAAGTATGGCGGTACGTAGGATAGGCGAGAGGTGAGGTGGTGATAGTGCGGCAATCGTCGTTATCGACTCAGGGTAAAGTAGGCAAGTTTCACAAGTCCTGCTCGATATCGTCCAGACAAAGGTCGTGGCTATGACAGAGATGGTCCCACATAGCCCTATCGGACTTGAAACTTCTGTGGTCTTTATTCAATTTCCCACTGCATTTGAAACAGTACCAAAAATTTCCATGGGTGTCGGATTTGCCGAGCTCATACGGTCGTCGTATGAATGTTTGGCCGTGAATGCCTCGGAGATGGTCAATAACCGTGCCAAGATCCGCTAGATACCAATCTTTGCAAAAATTATTCGTACAGATATACGATTGAGACATCGAAATAGAGATTCAAAGGATGTGCCCTGATTAGACTCGATAAGGATCGAATAAGGGTTATTGTAGTGATTGACCAAACAATACAAGAACGCGGCGGAAGGCCGGCATACTTATGTTGGCTATTATCGACCAGACGCTAATGTCGAGGTGTGGCAGTTTTGACGGCCTGCATTAGATGCACTGACAGCGGACCGGGTGCCTCTAAATTTGGCGTCTGATTGGGGGAGCGGCTTCGCAGTCGCAGCAAGGATCCTGGCATGGTGGTGGAGCAGCAGGATCTTTCGTGGGCTGGGCTTTCGTGAGAGCCGGAGATTGGTCAGCCTCATGTTCAAAACGCAGAGCCTTTATCATGCACCTCGGGGTCGGCCCATCATGCTGCAGCTCTCCGAAGTTCCTGTTTTGGATTCAGTTATATTCAGTCGATCTGGATTAGCGCAATCGCTCCGTAAGTAGCATGATAGAGAGAAATGTTTAGGGCCGTACATAGTAATAGAGGGTTCTTGACCAATGGGATGATGCTAGAAAAGATTTTAGGCCTTCAATCCGAAGCGGATCCTTCGTCGGCTGGGAATGCACACAAGGCAGGGAGAAAAGAATAGCATGGTGATACACCATGTGAAGGGATTCCAGAAGTATTGATGATACAGATTGTCTCCCTCCCATGGAGTATTATTATACCCTATGAGCTCCCACAAAGACGTCTTCTTGGATAAATCCACGATCACACCCCCGAAACCTCTGTCTCCAGCTTCTCCCCCGTCTTCCCCTCAATTGCGGTCAATTTCGCCTCTCAACATGTTCTAACCCTACCTCATCCCCCTCAAGAAATTATTTTCCTTGATCTTTCTTCTCCGCGCCGTCCTCATCGCGCTCGTCAACCCTTCTCTTGCCTCCAACGCTTTTCGCCCCTCTGCTTCTCCCATACCAGCTGGGAGGTCAATTGACTGTTCTTCGAGCGGTACTTTGACCGTGTGCGAGGTCCCGTGGGACCCAGTCTTCAGAGCGCGAGCGGCTTTAGAGGCGAGGCGGCGTTGCTTTTTTGATTTCGCTGTAGAGACGCGTTATCAGCTTAGAAAACCCCACTGTAATAATGAATGATAATGTCGTCTACCGCCAACAAGGCTGTTGAAGCCATTGAAGCGCACACCCCGTTCCGAACATAGCGCTGCAAGTTGTCGTCGTATTAGAAAGAGATAGCTTACCAAAGGCATCCCCAACCACCCCTTCCTCAGTCATGTCGCCCTTCTTAGCCTCAAGGAGTTCCCAAAGCCAATCAGGATATTCCGAGTCCTCTTTCGCAACTGGCCCCTCTTGGCCCTTGATGTATCCCAATCCCCTCAATGGCGTGCCCGCTGCTACACTGCTGGGCGGATGCGCTGGGACTTTGGATGCTGCTTTAGGTGTCGTACTTGGTGATGAAGGTATATCAGGCGTCTTTGAGGGCGAGGGCGTAAAAGGCGTGGAAAATGGCTGCGCGGCAGAGGTGGAAGTTGCCGCGGGTGGGCTTTCGGGGCGGAGAGATCTGGAGGTCGTGGAGAGGGGCCGGAGAGTCGCGGGACGGAGGAATGATGGCGATAGAAGACGGGCACAGCGTTGACAGATCATTGTGTACAGGCTATAGATTGGAGATGGTGAGAAGATGATGTCGAGATTTGGTTGGAGAACCTTTTGCGCTGGCATGATGCCAAGATGTCCTATCTTAACGACTTCTACGTTCGCGACAGGATTTTGATATTCGAAAATAGCGGCGTTGGCTTCAAGTAACGACGGAAGTATAATAGCTATGCAGACAAAGAGCTGAGATGAGAGAAGTCAACTAACAAAGCTCATGTTCCTCATTAATAGCACATATACATGTGAGTGCTTCCGAGTTGGACACATGGTCCCGCACAAGCCGCCCCATTTCTTCTGCACTGCGTTCCCCATGGTATCCCGTCTTTCAGATGATATCTCGTCCGTCAGAACATTTTGGGCTAGCTATAATTTCAGTGCCTCTTCCGACCTCATCCACAGCCCACGCCTGCATATTATAAATTCATACATAGCCAACGACTGCAGAGGCAGACTATAAGGCTACCCGCAGGCTTCGGTCCTTCCCAAGTATGGTTTCTACAGATGTTTCTATGAACCACTTCGCTTGCTTCACCGTTAGGCTTAGCCCAATAACCCTTCCTTAGCACTGTCACAGTATTCTTTTCTATGCAGCTACTGCACCAGCCACATCTCTTGCAGAATTGCTTTTGGAGAGTCTTGCAACCACCACATTGCACCTGCAGCTCCCCATCAATGTTCATAACTTAACAGGGTAAGTGGTTGCCGGGCATGGAGCCACATTCGAAACAATACCTCTTATGGGCGCTCTGACCCAACTTTTCCAAGATAGATCTGGTCTGTCTTGTTCCGAACGTTGGTCGAGGCTTGAAACGAAGGCAAGTGTAGCAAGCATAGTCGTCCAATTTGATTGGCAAAAGCTCCTTCTCTTGGAGATAATCAAACACTGTGGGGGATGGCAGCCGGTGTAGATAGGCACAGGAGTGGAAATGACGATTTGTCTGGCTCAAGGCGATGGCTGCAGAGGGATGGAGATTGGTAATGATCAGATTTTGAAGCTCGCCGGCTAGATTGGAGAGACCAGGCCTTTCATCAGCCCCAGAACTCTCTTTGGTATTGGGCGCACCGTTCTTTCCGCTACCTGAAAAAGGATCTTCTAAGTGTGCTGCGTTCATTTAGTCCGTCAAGCTGCGGAGGCTTTGACTCTCATGATCTTCCATCTTGCTGTGTGTGCAAAACATCTGATGCTTGTGATAGGATAAAACATTGAGGTTCGTCGTGCTTGGCTGCAGCGTTATGCAACATGTGCGGGGTTAAGGAATACTTTTCAAGGAGAATAGGGCATCATCGGATGCTTTGAATGACGCTGGCATCTTAGTCAGATGAGAATGCCAGTTGCAGCCAAGCATCACGAAAAGGGAAAGAGTGCCTGCGACTTTCGATCTCTATCCAGCTTGCTATGTTCAGCTCGACTTGGAAGAAGCGATAGATACTGATTGGCTGCAGACCATCTTGGTCGATGACTCAGCTGACAGCCTTCACAAGCCTGTCAGCCCCTCCACCACAGTCTGTTCTCTTTCATGGCTAAAGAGCATTTCTAGCATATATAGGTGGGTTGATACTCCCATCTAACCTTCGTACCTTTCTTCAGAGCTTGTCTGCAGAACTGAGTAATGCACAGCAAGACCCTACTCGCGTTAGTGGTTTTTTTTTTATCTTCCAATGATTGCATGCCCAAGCTACAGACATACTGAATTCAGACTCTCGCCACGAGCCTAAATACCTGTAGTTCAAAGTTGGAGCCGGCTCCTCTCCTGCCGGTTGTACCATCGTCATGACCCTGCAAGATGTCTACGTACAAGCCCCATTGGTCACAGACCGGCGAGAGATCCGTATCCTAGCCCTAGCTTCCGGCACAGGCGATGATGTTTTGCGCGGGGACCTGGTCGTCGAGAGCTTGAACTACGATGACCTCGACTACACGGCTCTGTCCTACACTTGGTCTGGGCCAGTGAGCGAAAGCGCCATTTTCATTGGTGACGTGCCCCTACATATTACGGAGAACCTGGAATTAGCGCTTCACCGCATTCGAGGGCGCTCTCGTCTCAAAAATCTGTGGATTGACGCCATTTGCATCAATCAGAATGACTATGAAAAGAAAAGTGTACACGTGCCTCTAATGCGCGACATCTATGCCGATGCGACTCTGGCGTTGGTATGGTTGGACCAGAAGTCCGCGGATAGCGATGTGGCTATGGATTTCACTGGTTCACCTCGACAGAGGATCCCGGATCAACTAGTCAAAATCCCTTTGCCGGCTGTTACCAAATTGATGCGAAGGACATGGTGGACGCGTATTTGAGTGGTCCAAGAGGCACTCATGTCGCGACGAATTATTGTTCAGTGCGGAGAGAGACAAGTCGACACTTTATACTTTGTACAACTTATGAACGGAAAGAAGTTTGAAAGACCTTTTTTCATGGAAGACGAGCCTGAGGAGCCTCATTTAGCAGTCAAGCAAGTTCGCCCTGACGTGACTTATCGAATGTCACAGATGAAAGATAAACTTGAGGAGTCTGAAAACCCTCCGAAGCAGCCTTGTGTAGGTGCTCTCTCCAACTGGTATGCCATAAGCAGCAACTTGAGGCCAGTGGCCCGTCTCTTATGGAATTGACGTTCTTGACGCATGGCTTTCAAGCTTCCGTCCGAAGAGATAACATGTTCGCCCTGTTGGAACTCGCAACGCCAGAAGCACGTTTCTCGATTATCCCAGACTACTCCGATGCTATGTCTGATCGTCTTTTCCTCACGAGACTAACAATATACTTTCTGCAGTTTTCATTGCAGCCTTTGCGACTTGTTTATCATTGCAGAGCCAACGACTGTCCATCTTGAGTCACAGATTGGACAGCTATTGACAGCAGAGTAGTAAGATTGATAAAGCATGAGGAATCATTCCTTTACGACCCTGGTGAACAGCTGCTGAGGATGCTGAAGTACTGTAGAAAGCGGTTAGGTATGAAGTCTTGCCTGGTATCTGCAACGGTGCCAATTCAGTAACTATTAAGCATCTTCAACTGATTGCAGGCCGCTACAGCTCTGCAGATGCTATGATGATGATGATGATGATGATGATATCTGCGTTGCAAGAATCGCCACGAGCATAGGGGAGATTTATATTAGAGTGATTGAATGGGTTAAGCTTTGTACTAATGCGGCTCTGCGCTAGCGCGTAGTATATCTTGGCGCCTGAGGCGCCGGGGCGCTCTAGAGTACCTTAATTCCCCTCTTGTTTCTCTTCGACCGCACATTTGGGATTTACAATCGAAGTGCAAGTATGGGCCGTGGAAGTAACAAGAAGCGCAAGCACGCTCAGTACGCCCAAGATGGACCCAACGGCGACAGCAACATTGGTGTCGGCGCAACAATCGCACACCTGCGTGGTGAGCTCACGGCAGACCAAAGGTCCGATGAGCACAAGCCCGACTCCGAAGAGTGGACCACAGTAGGAAGAGGAGGCAAGAAACAGAAGAAGACCAACTACCCCAGCCTAGGCTACTCAGACATGCACAAATTACACACGAGCGTAAACATCAATCACCTGCAAGCTCTTGTACTCTACTGTTTGGCAGACGCTACATCGCCGCAGTTTGTGTCTGTGAGGCATCATGGCATGGTTAAGAAGGCCGTGGTCTTGCTGGTACCTGGGCTGGAAAAGGGTATGTTCGATGGCAGCATTCAGATAGATCCGCCAAAAGAGACTTCGGTCAAGTCGTCAGCGCCTTACAATGGCGCCAATGGCTCTGTGGTAAGTAGCAGAGAGTCTGAAAAAGCTGTAGCTACCGAATTAGAAGCCAATGGATACAACATCAAGCCACCTCCAAAGTCTCCAGATGAATACCTGCCCACACCTTTGTCGCCTGAAAAATTGCCAAAACCGCTAAAGCCACTCGCAGATATCTTCTCCCATCTCTGGCCCGTCAAAGCTCCAGGAGATGAGAAGTATGGGAAGGTGCACTCGCCATTACATGCTATGCTCAACTCAGCCATTACCAAGACACATGAAGAGAAACAAGAGGATAAGCAGATTAAGGGCCCGAAACCAGCAAGAGAGGGAAAGAATTGGGCGAACAAGCGCACGCTCATTACCAAGTTCCTTTCTTCTGCAGAAGAGCTCGAAGAGAACGACTACATACTGCATCCAGCATCTTTTACGACCCTAGCCGAGAAAGAAGTAGGTATACAACGAAGAACGAAGAACAAGCAAACGACCGACGACGGCTGGCTGGATACGGTAGTCGACAGGCTCGAGGATGGGGTTGCTAAGGATGAGGATATCGAGAAAGGGAGTGTGACGGACGGCCGGAGCATACTTGCCATAGACTGCGAGATGTGCATAGTGGAAGGTGGCGAGATGGCCCTGACACGGATCAGTCTAGTCGAGTGGGACGGTAACGTCCTCCTTGATGAATTCGTCAAACCAGACAAGCCTATCATCGACTACCTGACACCGTACTCCGGCATCACACCAACCAAACTCGAGAACGTCACCACCAATCTCAAAGACATACAAGATCGGCTGCTCAAAGAAATCACACCAAAACATATACTTATTGGCCACTCCCTCAACTCTGACCTTATGGCGCTCCGGCTCACCCATCCTTTCATCATCGACACCTCCATGCTCTACCCGCATCCTCGCGGCCCACCCATGAAATCCTCCTTAAAATGGCTCGCGCAGAAATACCTAGGTCGTGAGATCCAGAAAGGTCATGGTACTCAGGGTCACGACAGCGTCGAAGATGCGCGGGCTTGCCTTGACCTTGTGCAGATCAAGTGCGAACGAGGTCCGCAATGGGGCACGAGCGAGGCGACCGTAGAGTCTATCTTCAAGCGCCTGAAACGAACGCCAAGAGCCGGATCATTAAACAACGCCAGCAATGAAGGCAAGACAGGTGCAATCGTGGACCAAGGCGCTCCAGAGAGGAACTTTGGCTCCATGGCTACATACTGCATCGGCTGCCCTGATGACGCTGGAGTTGTAGCAGGTGTCAAGAGAGCTGTGCTTGGCGACGAGGATGGCAGCTATATCCCAGGTGGAGGCGTGGATTTCACATGGGCTCGCTTCCAAGAACTAGCGGCTTTCTGCGGCTGGTGGAACGATAATAGGCGAGCTGTCTCCGACCACACCCCCCAAGACTCTCACCTCATCTCCACCGATTACGTTTCCACTGCCCTCGCTGAGGCGGTTACGAAGACAGTCAACCGTATACAAGCGGTTCGCGACTTCCTGCCTCCTTGCACCTTACTAGTGGTGTACAGCGGTACAGGCGATCCGCGTGAACTGGCACGTCTGCAGGAGATGCAACGGACCTTCAAGCGGGAGTATGCGGTAAAGAAATGGGATGAGCTGAGTGTCAAGTGGACAGACACCGAGGACCAGGCGCTCAAGATGGCTTGTAGGAAGGCGAGGGAAGGGCTAGGGTTCGTGACGATTACCTGAGAACGGAGCAGTGGTACCATGGTATGAGCTACGAGCTCAGTACCGAGGAAGCTATACTGGCTATGTGTTTTTGTATGCATCTGCAGATGGCTGGCAGGGTGAAGAAATGTGGATGTGGATGTGTGATCACGGACGGGAGTAGGGATATACACTGGATAGCTGTGTATACTGCAACTGGACTGAATAGTACGGTAAACAACTTTATACCCTTCCGCACAGTCCAGGATCTACTCCGACCAGCTCAATCACTCCCGTATATTCGCGTTTCCCGTCACCTTTTGACCTCATCTCCCCGCTTTAATCAAGCAGCGGCAGGGGCGATACGCTAAGCACTTGACGCTGAGTCCCATCAGTACTTACCAGAATGTGGTTTTGCACCTGGCACTTGTCACTGATCCAAAACCTTCCGCACTGGCCATTGGTAGGGTCGCAACCAAAGCCTAGGTCGATCGCAGCATAGAGTCTACCCAAACCAATCCTTCGTTCAACAACCATCACTTCCATCATATTTCAGGATCGATAGTCCGGCTGCTCGTAATTCATTCCCAAGATCTTGTTGCTGGACGCCCCATGGAGGAACCTCGCTGCGCACTGACGGCATGCAGTATTCTGAGGTTGGAGAACATGGTGCTTTATGCGGCGCTAAGGTGCAGGGCTGCCTATACTACACGAACTCATTGCAAATGTGGTCGCTGTCGAGGGTGGGGGTCAGACAGGCGTAATTGTGGCCAACCATGCAATTGCACCATGTCATTTGGCACAGCAACGTCTTTGGTCACCTGGGTTCCCCCATCGGTCCACATTGGAACGAATTCGATTTCCGAAGAACTTGGCCTCAATCCCGTGGCATCCATAGTGGTCCACAAATTGGGGCTCTGTCGATTCCTTCTGGAGCCAGATGGTTTTTTGTGAGATCGCCTGTGGAGAGCCAAGAGGGATTGGATAGACAGGGGTTTGGATGTAGCAAAAAGCGTTTTGGCTTGCCAATGAAAAATCAGGATGATGGCTTCGCGTTCAAAAGGCTTAGTCTCACAGGAGATACTCAAGGAGGACCTTGAAATACTCACAAGAGCTCGCTGCGGAACGTCATGGAGCGCAAGGGTACACAATGCACGTATAGTAGGCTTAAAGTACGTACTGAATCTGCATATGAGACTTACAGAGTCGGCAGTGATCAGTGTGCTGGACAGTGTAATATCTGGCTGCCCGAAATACCGTGTCCGGGTTCCGCGCTTTCACAACCAAGCTGTACTGGGAGCTCTATAAGATGAGCATGACCAGAAAGGACTTTACGTGGAGGCTCATGGAAATAAAGGATTGGCTTGCTACCCTAGAAATTATGGCTCCAACTCTGACAAGCGCGCGTTGCTAAAGACTCCTTCCATCGACTTCATCCGATACGCCTCATGTTCCTTCCAACAGAACGGTACGACCAACCAACATCAACACCACCGAAGCCTTTCCCTCACAGCCATGCCCAAAAACCCCACAACCTCATACCCAAACACCGTTCGCCCTCGTCCGCAGCATTCTAGCCTCCTTACGCCCGGCTAGCCACCACATCCCTCCAATACTCCTCCTCACTCTCTCCCAATTCCATCGTCTCCATCAAGTCCCACACGCTCGACTCCTCACTCAGTTCTCGGTACTTATATCCCGAGCCGTCGTAATCCGGCGCAGAGCCGTAAAACCGACTGTGATGTTCAGCCAACCGGACCAGACCGACGACGAAGGCGGTCCAGTGCTCGACGGCGACCGGGGATAGTGTTCCCTCGTGTTGGCGGAACTCGAGGGTGCGTGCTTCTCCTGTTGTAAAGTTCGGGGTCAGTTCTCGATCCTAATGGCGATAACGCTGGGGGGGGGGGGATATTGGAAAGGAAGGATGTCAGTACCTTTTGTCCGCGCAACGTACTTCCAATTGACGATCCTCCACTTCTCGTTCCCGCCCATGAGCTCCGAGAGTTTTTCAATTGTCATGTCTTTGGCGAAGATCTTCTCCCGCGCCTTCTTGAAGGAGAACGTCGGTGGCTGTTCTGCAAAGACGACGTCTGGATCTTCGCCAGCATCGACTAAGAGAATCACGGAGTCAGCATCTTCTCTCTGAATCAAGACGTCAATGGAACGCTTACTTCGGGCATCCATGGCGGTGTATTCAGCATCGGTGAGAGGTTCTGGCTCCTCGTAGAAATTGTCGAGGTTGGATTTGAGGTCGATGTTCGTGCCATCGCCTCGGGATGTCGGGTGCAGCTCGCTGATCTTGGCTTGGTACATCACTTGTATGTACGCCAGGTGCTGCAGGGTTGGTAGGGTGAAGGTGGGAGGTGGCGTTCCTGCCAGGTGACTGAAGGAGGTTTGGGGTCAGTATGACTTCCTTCAGGTTGGAGAATCGAAATAGAGTCAGGGACTGCTTTGACGTGAACTTACTTGGTAGGCACAGGAAGCCCGATGTGAACATGCAATCCGCAGTGTTTGGTTGCGAAGGCGAAGTGCGCGAGTCCCTCTTGGAGAGCCTTGAGGTGTCGATGTACCTCGGCGATAGAGGCAGAATCGTAAGGGAGGACCCGGGACACCAGTTCAAGAGGGTGGGTGTCCCAGTCCTTGGTCATGCTCGGTTGCTTGAGCATCTTTCTAAGATCGCCCGGTGCTCCAGCCTTGGAGAGTCTCTCCAGTCGCTGCATCAAGTCCCTCTTGTCGAGCCCCACGAGGCCCCGCTCGTGCGTCACGTGCCAGTGCGAAAAGTCGGTGTATTTGTTTGCCCCGTTGAAAGAGTCGTGGACCTCGACTTCATCCGGGAGAAAAAGAGTCTGAGCAACGTGCAAGACCTCGCCGCCGTATGCTCGATAGCCGTAAGTTTCGAGATGTATGTCCATTTGGTCCTGGAAGCTGACGTTATCGCGCTCAGGGGGGTAGGCGGTGGGTGCTGTAAGACCCCAGCCCATGTACATCTGGCGTGATACATCGTGTCGGCGTGCGTCTTCATCCCGGTAATGTTGGGGTACTTGGTTGAGCTTTCGACGGACATCCTCGGGAACGGTCTTGATAATCTTGCAGTCGGTTTTGATGGTGGCAAGGTATCTACGGAGGAGGCTCTCGTGGAAGGCGAGGATGCACTCGACTTCGATGCCGAAGGTGACTTGGAAGGTGGAGTTGATCATGTTGACGGTATCTCTTGGACGTAGGGGTATAATTTCGAAGTGCGGTATTGGTCGAAGACGTACAAGATGACTGTGTTCAGACTCGGAGTGCACAGACTGAGGATATATATGTACCCAATCTGGGAAAGTGTTAACAAGCCGGCAAAATCGTCGCAAATTTCCGAGACGGGAAGGAACATAAAGGGTATTTATACGAGATCCCTGTGGGTAAGAATGGACCAATAAAATCACATACCGAAATGTGAGAATGCAACAATGTCTCTGTACCAGGGAATGTTTTCAGATAGCAAGTTTGGTAAAGATGTGTGGATGCTAGCTTTGAGAGCTTAGTCTTGCTGTACAGGTGATGGAGAATAGATGTCTAAGGATAGAAATTTGGACGTCTGGCAAGAACTATATGTGCCTGAAAATTTGACTCATTGCCAAGGTAAAAAATCGAATATAGATGGCTGGGTATTTGACTCATGCCAAGATATACACCGCAAATTCTCTTCCTTTGGCGCTCCTATACGATGAAGACTTTGAGTGATCAAGCCATGATTTCTCAAAGCCAAGCGGTACCATAATGGAGAACCCGAAATCGCTCCTTGTTTAGCTTCTATTGCTGAGCAGGTAAACAAACGATCCAAGGTATTGAAAGCACAATCACGTCCAGAATACCTTTCTCAGAACACATCGATATTTGACTTAGAGTACTTTGTAGAGGTGTTGGAGGCGTAGTCGTGCTTTCCGTTTGGCATTGGGGAGCTTGGGTGAGTCTTTGCCGTTGCTTTTGGTATCTTGAGAACCGGCTTAGTTGATACCCTGCACAAATGTATTAAGCCTGACATCTCTAGATACCGATTTAGTTTCATCCACTCCTTCATCTCCACTGTGATCTTTTTTTCGCTTTCGCCAGCGCGCAACCGCGATGACACGTCTGCGATCCTTTCATAGCGCGCCTGTGACACCTCGTACCGTCGTTGCTGGCACTTCAAGCGCTGTTTCAGTACTCTTCCAAGAGCTCCGTACGCTTTTGCTCGATAGCTTTGAATGCTTCTGCGTAAAGTCTGATGTTCCTTTGGTACAAACCTGCTCCGCCCACCAGGTCCTGAGCGATTTTGCCGAGAATCCTCCGCACTCATGCTCCCAGCATCTCTAAGTTCGCGATCGTGTGGCGGGAAAGAATCCATGAACTTGTGGGCGCCTGTGTATTCATTATGATATACATTGTGCAGGTTAATAAGAGGAGATGTTAGGCGACGGAGTCAGGTGCTAAATGCTTTGAATTCCGTATGAACACAACAGTGGCTATGAAGCTTCTTAGCATCGGGCAAACTCGCATCGCCACTGCAACGGTTTGAGGGAGTTGCGCATCAGCTGAATCGCTTTTTTTTACCACTTCAAGGTGAACGATCCTGTGACCTTAGATTGCTTTGAGTGGAACTTGTGGGCTTCAAAAGGATACCACCTGATGTGGACAAGGGAAGGCACGACGGGAGCAGCAAGGTGAAGACCAACATCTTGAGGGGGAAGGGCCCTAGGAGAAAGCGGGGAGGCGCTTTTCCTCGTTATCAAATCAGCTCTCCTGAATGAGTGGAAAGCAAACCGAGCGCTTTGCCAGTGGAGACCTTGCTTTCAGTCGTACGACTTGCTGTGGCTTTGCCATGACCAGAGACTTTGCGACGCTTAGAAGAGCTGAGCTCCGTCTCATATTCGGTGCGCGATCCTGCGATGGTTTGTATGTTTGAGTTGGCATGAGCCTTTTCCTTGCATGCGATAACAGTTGAAAGACAAGGGTTTAACTCGTTGCCCATGTCACTGCTTGCTGCTCCATGTATATCCTGGCTCCTGCTCGAATGTACCTGACACCAATGATCTTGCCTGTACTCCCATCCCAGGCCACGACAAGGAAAAGCGTGGATAGGATGCCCCCACGATCTCTGTGACGACTGGAAGACCTCCGTTCGCGACCTAGACGGCCTGACTGCAGGCTTTCTATTGGAATGTGGTCTTATTCACAGAAGAAAGTTTTCCAAGCATCCTCGAGATTAGTCTTCCGCTTAGGTGACCATCATGTAATCGGCTCTTCACATTCAACTCCTTATCTCTCCTCATCATCTCCTACGTCCTCATCGAGAGCATTATTATTGGCAGCTCGTGTAACCCATGTCAGAGTGAGTGTCGTCACCGTCATAGACGCCTCTGCTCTCAAAGGCCACAGCTCTATATGTGATTCCGGACCATCATAAGATGAGACAGAATCTTTTTGCCAAGGGATATCCGTCTGTCCCTTCGTGCAAGTCTTTCGGGTCGTAGAACTCGACTGCCTTTGCTGGATTGATTTGGGCCTTCGATGTCCCCTCGTGTTGGTTGGCCCTTCGCGCCCCTATCTGCTTGCGCCAAAACCATCGAAGGAGCGTGTATGCGCGGTACCAGTCTTCAGCATGGAAGTTGTGGACTGGCTCGACATGGTCCCACGCGCATCCAAGGATATCGTCACGATGACCCTGATTGTAGTCGACTGTCTTGCGGTAGGCTGCTAACCGGCTCACTGCCCTGGTGCCGTTGAACCCATCAGAAACTAGTAGCTATGGCAAAGAGAGACGTCTGCTACCTTTCGTGGCATCAAAGTAATTGCCAAAGTACATCGCATGCGCTTTGTCACCATTCACGCTCCGCCATGCATCGCAAGACTCCAACACTGCCCCCAAATCACGGAGATGCGTTCTTTTCCTGAAAGGTACGGTGAAGATTCTGCAGTGCATCATCAACATCCTGGATGTGGCTTAATGCGTTGATGCGATCGACGATCTTCAGCGTAGGCTAGTATCAGGTGGGATGTAGAAAATTCGTGGACTATACCTGACGGCTCAGCTGTGAGCCGGGCTTGGACTTGTTGGTCTTCGCTTGATAGGCTTTTGCAATGGCGTTGATAGCGACATCGATTTCATCGACATTATCGAGACTATCGATCAACTGGCGGATCTGAAGTGCAGATGTTGGAAGTAACGGCGGATCCGCGACATCCGATTGAACGGTCATGATGTTGGCTATGATTTGTGAATATTGCAAGCAGTGAGAAGGCAAGACGTTGCAGCCATGCTTTCCTGTTCAATGGAGAGCGATAGAATAGAATTTCCTCCCTCGACGTGGGTTGCGGTATGTGCTCATCATTACATGCGATTATGACGTTTGACTATTGGTAGAGGATAGCATGCTCACAAAGGAAACAATATTCGGCTTTCAACTTGATCTCACATTCGCGGAAACGCTGTGCGGTAAAAGAAGATATTGAGATCTCGTGATTCCAGGAAGCATGCTCACTGACGTAAACATCCCCTACCAGATCCTCAAAAGTGCCCAATTTAGGGTTTTGACAGCCTGTGCACTTGTTTCCATATGTATGCACGGTCGGGGCACGCGTATACAGCATGATGGCCAAGAGCTTGTTGGGTGTTAAGAAGTGAAAAAATGAGCACTGAACTAGACAATAGGTGCCAATGGCTCTTCCTTGCTGGGTCCGATGAGGTCCTCGGAGCGGTTCACTCTATTCGCGTATGCTGGGCTCCAGATTCTGTAACCTTTGCTTGGAGTCGAATTCCCGGTTGCTCTGCATGGCTCGGAAAATGGTGTTTTGGAAGCACAATGTTTCTGTGCGTCAACTGTCCAGAATTTCTGTGGATGCGGCACGGTCTCGGCTGCTGGGGTTTGGCACGATGAGGTGTGAACAGGACGTTTGAATAGTTGTGCAGGTCTTCGCTTGACTTTCTCCCCCTTCTCTCGCTTCCCTCTCTCCTCCTTCTCTCGCTACTCTTTTTTCACCTTCTCTCGCTTCTCTTTCTCCCTCGCTCTGCTTCCTGTATTCCCTCTCGTTGATCCAGGCCTACTTCAACAACGCAGCTTGTTCTTCACGGCAGAGCTCAATTCGGGGACAAAAGCCTCTTTTGACATATCCAAAGCTATTTTTGTAAACACTCCGCAGAAGGAAAAGAGAGAACAAGAACAGGAATTGTCTAACAAGTCTCTTGTTGATCGTAGCAAGGGGATGCTCGACGATTGTCACGCTGATAGCATGGTCGAGGCCGTGAGCGACTGATCTAGTACTCATTGGGTGTTGTAGTGATGGATCTCTGAAATGTCACTCGATCACGCCAATTCACACTCTTCTCTATCTTGGGAACTGGAGAGGCTGCGATTCTTTTGCGGCAAGAGTTTAGACTTCGATCTGATGTAGCATGCTAAATTGAGACGGACTGTGCGATAAGCTGAAAGCTGGCACATTGCGTTCGCAGACCGGTGAATCTTGGCGTATGCTAATTGTGTAGTCAAAGGCAACCTCGTTGACGCTGCCGTCTTCCCTTCATCATCGACGTCTGGAGCGCGAAAAATGCAATTGAGATCCCGAGTATGAGAGCTGGTGACACCTTGCGCAGGAGAGCCGGGGGCAACAAAGCAAACGTTCCAGCAACTTCTGACATTCTCGATGACAAGAACATGAAAGAAGGGGAGAAAAGAGGGAAAGAAATCGCCATGTCGCGGATTGGCATGTGCAAAGCTCAGTCGATAGGTTTTTGGGCTTTGCATAGGTCAAGATTCAGTAGTCGCTGAGTCCGTCTTTGTATGAGATGAGAAGTTGTTTGGTATCCGGCAATATCTGAAATCTTCATACCTCACTATACCAATCCTCGCTCCTAGAATTTGGTTTCATAATCTGCATTTTGGGAGACTCAAGGAGTCTTCGTTTGGACGGTGTCAAGTACATAACCTGAAATCACACTTTCTGCTCATAGCGCCCAAAGAAGGAAGGTCGCTCTCTCACGAAGGACCTACTCGTGATAATTGGCCTCTTGGAACGTCATCGGTAGCAGATCTGCTAGAGTCAACGGGCTCAAGATAGTCCCACGAGCTGGAAAAGTGGTAGGAGAAGCCCGCACTGAATCACTGATCGAAGTGATTGAAGCCTTCCCGTGGCTGCAGAGGAAATTCGTCGGAGATGTCAGTGTGATCTCGGACCTAGTCCTGCATTTCCTCGAAGAGCTACTCCTTCAAAGTCGTAGTAAGATCAGATACACAGCTGGAGCATTGACAAAGATGAGATCCTGGCTTGGCGTAATCAATGACTAGTTGCGGTAGCATTGTGGAAGCATTGTGGTTATTGGCTGCCTCTTGAATAAATAAGCACATGGCTCCAAGGCGCTGTTCATGTCTGAAAGCTGTCTCAACAAACTTTTCGGTGGCTACGTAGCAGAAAAGATCAGGCTGGACCTTTCTTTCCTGCACACCACCACCGAAAAGTCGTCAGGCTGAGATACTTGAGCGAAATCAATAGCACTGGTGAGGCTAGAGTGGGAATCTGGCTGTGCATCAGATTAAGCTGACACGTTCTCTGAATGGATTGGCTACTGTCCTGATGTGTCTGGCTGCGTGGTAGGACTCGTCGTAGGCTGATGATCTGATGGCAAGGAGATAATCTGTTCTGCTGTTGGAGGAAGTGATCCAAGTAAGCGGCGATGCATCTGAAATCTCAAGGGTGAGAGAAGCAACCTGTTGAGGAATGTCACTCTTCTCTTGCGTCCCATGCCCTAGTGAGCGTAATGCCTCTCTCTCCCCGCGACGTTCCTCCATCCAGATCGATACTCCATCGTTCAAAAATCAACTTGGAATATACTCTCCATGTTGTCCTCGCAGGGAAACGCATTCGATGTTCCCAAGAAGGCACGCGGAGTCTGGGACATCCCACCGATTGGGTACGTCTTCATAAGCATCGACTGTCTTCTGAGATGCCAGCTGGAGATCTGAAGTATTGACTGGACGGTGTGTGAAGATGGAAGCAGGTCACGACTTAGATGAAGGTAACACAGGCATCAAGGTATTCCAACTCCGAAACGTTGCCATCGTGGAGCTATCGCTTCCGGTTCTTTGTCTTACGGAAGAAGAGAATGAGACTATATATGTATTGAATCAAGCAAATGGCCAACACGGCCCGTCATGTGGGCGATTGCCGAGTAGTGACGTGCCGAACTCGATCGACATTGCAGGTCGAGCAGAAATTAAAGATGGCATAGCCTTTTCAGCAAAGAGAGAAGTTGAATGGAATCTGTGACTAAGCAGTGAAAGGCCAAGCCTTGAGAGTACCGCAAAGTCTGCATGCGCACCGACTCTGAGAGAGCTGGGAGCAGAGAAGAATGCAAACGCAGCTGTGAAAGGCTGATTGTGGGCTGAGAAGGTCTTGCAGATGCCAAGGGCCCATCATTTAGGGATTGGGAAACCATTCATCAAACTTGAGAGGTAGTATGCTGCGACTCGACTCTATAATTCACATGTCAAAATTCAAGGGTATCAGCCGATCACAAACGGTAAGGCACCTAACCCAAGCCAACCGCCAATCGTAACAAACGCCGATGGTAAACAATCTACGAGGGAGCATCACCTTGGTCAAATGACTCACTCCCTTGCTCAGCAGCACCCTTATGGTTTGCTTTCAAATTCGCAACGATCTCCTTCGCCCACTGTTGCGCAGCCTTCATCTTGGCTTTGACCAGAGCCCAAAATTTGTTCAGTTCTTCCTTGGTCTCTTTTGATTGTTCCTCGTCTGTGAGCTGTCAGTTTGGAAGATGATATCAACTTGCTTGATTTGGGGAGTACCTTCTGGTAGCGCTGGGTCATTGAGAACATCGGTATCGACGAGATCGACGGGCTTTGTGTTGCTCGTAGATGTTCCGTCGCTCTGGACATTTGGTTCGACTGGAGAATCGGCTAATTCGGGCTCATTGGCTTCTGTGGGCGGATCATCGATATGAGAGGTTTCCGCTGGGAGGTCTGGGTGATCATCATCTGTAGAGGTGTGCTCTTCGGAGTGAAGGCCAATTGGCTTGAGTGGCAGGCGGAATGTGCCATTATTGGGCTTAGGCTCAATTCCTATTGAGTCGCACACAATGTTGTAGACCTCAGTGTTTTCTGAGAACTTGTTAGATCCACTCTGACAAAATTGAAGGTAGACAACTGACGAAAGTTCTCGAGCTTGCTATTAGGCTTATGTGGAAATGCCGGTCCCCGAGCTACGAAGATCGCACGCATCAATGGGTGCTCATGATCATATCCATGTAGGCCTTTGGGATTGTAAGTCTCGCCTTTCGCTTTTGCTTTCTTCACATCGAAATCTTCCTTGTGGACAATGGCCCAACCGGTGTTTGGTATCACCCATAGAGGCGCAATGCGGTCGTTGTTGGAGAAGTGATACCTTTCAGGCATGTTTTCTTTCAGGTAGACCTCAAAATTGCCGCTGCTTTGCGACTCGACCAGTAAGCGATCATAAAGACCTCGGAGGTCGATAGGATTTTTGGGACGTAGGCCGTACAAGGGCCAACCATCGATATGCTCCACGAGGTCAAGGTCAATTAGGTCATCAAGCTGAATCAGACGGTCTGTCGAGGTTGTAGCCATTCCGTGGTCGCTGACCACCACCACATTGACGAGAGTTGTCAGGTTTCGCTCCTCAAGTCCCATGAAGATATCATGCAGCATCATGTCCACGTTTGAGATAGTATCCCAGACCTCAGTGCTGTTAGGTCCATATTTATGCCCCATGTGGTCAACATTGGGAACGTAAGCAGCTATAAATTGCGGTCGGAGCTCTGACACGAGCTCATTTTCAATACTGGGGAGATCCAGTAGGCTGAGAATACGCTCAGTCTTCCGAGACAGCACCTCGCTCCCATTAAACTTGTCCACGTATGTAGCGCCATACTCCACTCCAGCCTCAGATCCAGGCCACATGTGTATTGCCGCTTTGACATTTTGCTTTTCCGCTGTCACCCATAGTGGTTCACCTCCGGCCCACCACTTAGGTTGCATGCTTCTTGCTGGATCTGTGTAGTGAAACTCCGCTTTCAAATCGGGGTCCCAGAAGGTATTGCCTACCACACCGTGGGATTCGGGATAGAGACCGGTCACAAGGGTGTAGTGGTTCGGAAAAGTGACACTTGGGAAGCTAGGCTTCATGTAATTTGGGGACACACCCTCTGCTATGAATTGGTTCAAGGTCGGCGTGATGCCTCGGGTGAGGAAGTCAGCTCGGAAGCCATCGAGGGAGATGAGGATAGTTGTAGGTGCGAAGGTAGACGAGCCATTGGAGAGGAGAGATAGATGTGCTGGACGAGCGCTTCGGGTGACTTTGTAGGCTCCAAATGAGAGGGCTACGAAGAGTGCTGCTATCGATATAGCAATGATGTGCCAGAGAGCCCACTTTCGACGCTGTGAGAGGAGCATCAGCATCATTCCAACAGTGATATTCATCGGAATTACCTTCGACATCGAAGAGTGTGCCAAGTTTAGCTTCTCCAGTTCTGCGGAGCTGGACGAAGCCTGCGAACTTGTGTCATAGGTCTCGCCTCCTTCCTCCATCTCATACAGGAGCTCGCCCTCTTCATCTTTACCGCTGCCCTTCTTGTCTCTTCTAGTCTTGTGTGATCTTCGAGGTTTCCGCTCGTTCTCGTTGAGCTCAATTTCTGCTAGCTTCTTATCTTTCTGTCTCCTGCCGAAGAAGCCTTTCGATGAGGTTTTTTGTGCACCTCCAGCTATCAGCAGCTTCTCCCTCTCTTCTTCTTCATCCAGGAGGCCGCGATCATGTTCAGCTACTTCGGTGGAGTTGCGAGCTTGTTGATCGGCTAAGTCGTTCTCGAAGTCGGAATCGGCGTCGGAAGATTCGTCTTTGTAGCCTTCTTTCGGGTCCCTCTCTTGAGCTGTAGGCGTGGCCGTAAACATTACGTCCAGCTTCTCTCAGCGCAAAGGAATGAAGGAGTCACTGCTATGAGATCTCTAAGTTCGGGAAGATGCCCATGACGAATGACGACAATGATGAGACGTATATTGTTTGAGTGACGGCGGCGCAGATCCCTCGATCCCACGTCCCTGTCGGCTCAGCTGCCTCACATTCAACCCCGAGACCCTTTCCTCAACGGTAATATGTAGTCCCACCCAAGCAATCCTTGTTTCACTACTCAGAAGTCCATCGTGAGCTCAGGAGGATGGGATAAGCAGATTGAATCCATATCCCAGAGCAGGTTACATAGATACAGACTCGCAACGCCAAGTCGACTACAGCTCGAAAGACCGTCTCGATCAAGGTTTAGGGACAGTTCGCTTTTAAAAAGCTATCTATTTCCATGGTTTGAAGCTATCGCGAATTTTGCGCCGCCTGCAGCACTGTCATAGCCATACTTTCATTTGACGATCATGGGAGCCAGCGGGCTAAGCAGGCTTCCTATCATCATTCATGATCGATCATGACTTCACAAACTCGACTGTCTTCTCTTCTCGACCGACTCCCGCAAGACCTTGATGACTCCTGCTGGGTCTTTGGCACCAAAGACCGCAGACCCTGCAACTATCACGTTGGCACCAGCATCCGCAGCTTGGTCTATCGTTCCCTCACCCAGTCCACCGTCAACCTCGATGTTGAGATCTGGATACTTTTCTCGTAGCGCTTTGACCTTGGGTAGTTCTGACGCCATGAATTTCTGTCCTCCGAATCCAGGATGTACGGTCATGACAAGCACCATCTAGAACAAAGCTTGTCAGTGACGATTCCCTAGTTTGAGCGGCTACATCTCACATCAGGAACTTCTTCCTTGTTCGGACTCTCGAGAATCTCCCACAAAACATCTACCGACGTTTCCGGTTTGATTGCAATGCCCGCTAGCAAACCGCTCTTATGTATGTATTGAATCATCTCCTTTGGGCTAGTCTTGGTCTCGGTATGGTCTTCAGGGTTCTCGGCGGCTGTGGATGTGATGGCGGCTTCATAGTGGAAGCAGTATAGGTCGCAGCCCGCCTTTTGGAATTCCTTTACCCATTTCTTAGGCTAGCGAAACAGAGCGATTAGCCACACGGTCTCCCCATGGTCTTCAGGGATAGATATTGGGGTAGCATACAGCTGCCTACCTCGGCGATCATCATATGGCAATCAAAGGTGCCTTTGCCTCGCGCGCCTTTGGGGCGCTGGACGTGAGGACGTATCTTGGTCACAACAGGCGCTCCGAACGTGATGTTAGGCACCTGCATCGCTGTTAGTGGATGCAAGCCCCGCGCGTAAAGTTGCTGAAGGGTGGCTGTACGAAGTGACCGTCCATCTAAATCATCGAGATCAGTCCTCAGTGCACACTTGCTTGCGATTGAGCACTACTTACGATGTCGACATGTAGCCTACGGCATTGAGTAGAACATCAGTGTACTGAACATCCTGCTGCCCAAGAAGCCACTCACCAATCAGCGCCATTGTCGATAGTGTCTGAACAAGCAGCGCCTAAAGCAGCGAAGTCCGCAGACAGGATGGAGGGCGCTATTATGGCCGGAGGAGTCATGGCGGCCGATTCCCGGTAGACGACTTCTGAAGTGCGGTGAGTAGTGCTATGGATTGAGTTTTGGTAGCTCGTGGGTCTCCTTTTCGATTGACAAGACTCGCTATTCCAGATTCCAAAGTGCAGCTACATGTATGCGCTCGCGTTTTTAGATTATGCATGTGCTGCCACGCGGATGGATCGGAGAGGCCCTAGGATTGCAGAGGTCTTCGGTTGAACTCCGGTCTAAAAACGCTATGACATAGGAGCATAAAGTAAAGTAGCGTGAGTAGATACTTGTAGCTTCCGAGTTCCCCCCCTCCTCAACAATGATCGTCACTCCTCTTCACTTTCTTTGATGAATTCTCCCAACCCCAGCGCAAGTTTCGTTCGACATTCTAGTTCTTCTCTTCGTCGAGTCTCAGTGTCGGGCAATACTCTACAGTCAACGCCCAACAGTGCGACACAAAGTGGGGTCCTCCAATGGACTTGGCAAGGCGCCCAAGATAGCAACAGTGGGCGCTTACAGAGCTGCACCTCTCATCCAATCACCACACTCTTGAGGCTTTAGCGCACGTTAACAATAGCTTCCATTGGCTTCATCTCTCTGCATTACCTCTCATGTCTCTTACTACCTCCAACTCTCCGGCGCTTTCCGATATAGTCTCCTCCTGTTCCTGCATAGAGCCGTTGACCCCAGTCCCTGCAACCGCCCACCTCCAACTGCCATGGCTCCCCCCGCCGTTGGTCCCAAATATATATCCAAATCATGGCCGCGGCCTCCTTCCTCCATCGTCTTTGCCTCTCTCTTTGCTGCTGCGTTTGGAGTCTTCATCTCTTCCTGTGTCCACTCTCTTACTGTTAGCTTCTTGTTGCTTTTGCTCGTTGACCGAGTATCCATTCACAGTTCCGTTGATCGGACATTTACATCTTCTTTCATAATTATACCCCTCATTTTTTCCAGCTTTTGGGTCCGCGACACAGACCATAATGGATAGTTATCTTTTGCCTGCTACCACATATGAAGCTCCCCCCCGGCTGGTCCGGAAGCACATCCTTAATACAATAATAGAAGATGAGTTCAGCGGTAATGAGGAAGAGAACTATAGCGAAGGAGAGGCAGAGGTCATGGGCCGCGGCAGAAACCAACAATTATCGCCTGCACCCTCGAGAGAGTCGACCTCGCCTGTACCATCACTGACCTCCTCCATCTCCTCATACTACAGGACGAGTCGGAATTCGGGAGACTTCGATGAGTTGTACGACGTATCCGATGATGATTCTGACATCGCTCCGTCCGTACAGACTTCGATCAGCATACACTCGTTATCCTCGAATGAAGCACCCTTGTCAAAGGCAAAGCAGAACCAATACCCGTCCTTGGTGATACCGTCACCAAGCTACTGGCCCACAATACACAAGGAACACTCCGTTTCCCCACCACGACCACCAAAGATACCCATCTCACCTGCGGCGCTCTTCATGTTAGGTCACGACCTGCCGACGCCAAGCAACCCCCCATCGCTAAATGGGAGCCTCGACTCAGATCCGCTCGCCGGCACAAGCGCTCCGGTTACTCCTGATGTGCATATACATCCGAAGAGTGGGGATATATGGGGACACGTGGATGCTGTGTACAGACAAGGCGGTGATAACAAACCGAATCGGCCACAACTCAGGGTCCGAATTGACGATGGATCTGGACAGTACCACGGGTCAGGTTTCAGTCCTGAGGACTGCATCAGTGTTCATGATTTTGCCATAGATGTTGGGCGAGATTACTCGGACAGTCCGGTGCCAACCCCAGAAGAGAATTCGTCGGACGTCGGCGTCCAGCTACCACCAGCTGCTCTAGATACCTTGCAGCATCTGTCTCTCGAGGTACCAGAGTTCGCTTCGCCGACCGAATCGGAGAAGGAGATGGAAGAAGTCTTCCCAGCTCCCGTTCGCCCGTCAAGCGCGGACATTACGCCAATGTCCCAGACATCGGACTACAGCATATCAGGGCTCAGCATCCCATCTCCTGGGGGGTTTTTTTCTTCTTTGGGGCACAATGCAAGGCATACATGGTGTGTCAACGGGCCTTTGCCTGTCTCTGCAGTGCCACCGTCATCGACAACGGCCGAGCAGTTCTACAGGTGCCCATGGAACAGAGAACCCCCTGCAACGGTTGAACAAGTCGTGGAAGTGCACGACAGTGATACCGATGGACCACCTACCGCTCGCCAACTACCTCCACGCCTCGTTGAGGAGGTTCCATCCCCAGAAAGCCGCAGCAGTGGTGAAGTACATCGAATCGCGATCACTGCGCCCTCGAGCGATCACGACGGCAATTACGAGCAGGCGATCCAAGAAAGTGCCGAGAAAAGCTTAGATAGAACAAGTGTATGGCTTGCTGCTCAGACGTCGTACATGGCCTCGTTGAGAGAGACTTATCCTGCCAGTGAAGTCGGTCTTGGCACAGAAAAGGCTCTTGTGAGAAGTAGTAGCCACGCTAGGAACGACTCATTGGAAGCGCCCATGAAGAAAGCAGTGAAATTCCTGGAAAGCGAGATCGCAAAGCGAGAATATCCGATCGTCACGAGGCCTGGAGAAGGAGACTCGATCTATTACCATGCTTTCCAGCACATCAAGAGGCAGTCAAGCCGTGTCGACCCCTTTAGACATCGTCATACCAGGTCTGATTCCCTCCAAGCCGCCCGATTCAGCCTCCCCCATGAGCACATTGCTCAGCTCCAAGGCCAATTCAAGATTACAAAGGTCAATCGCCCAGCTCCGCAGCGACCGATATCCATGATGCCCGGCAAAGAAGCAACAGCCGATAACACTGCTGAAAAGGAAGTTTTCGCCCGAGTCGAAAGGGAGCGCCAAGCACTCGAGCAAGTGAGCGCAAGCATCTGGGTCATCGAAGCAGCTAAATACCTCAGCGGAGGCCGCCTCCTCAACAGTCCTGCCGTCCAATCCTTAACCAAAGCCCCGTCACTCAACGATATCAAAGGCTGTAAAATTAGAGCATTCTCACACGTCCTTGATCTCGGCGGTCAACCATCCTCTGACTGGGGTTGGCATTGCTCCCGCGAATACCCGAGCGCCAAGGTTTACACAGCAAGCACTACCGACACTCTTTTGTTCCCAACAATCCGCGGTCCTCACAACCATCGCCTGCACACGGTCCCTTCCCTTTATACACTTCCTTACCCGAACAACCATTTCTCCGCCATATCCGCCCGGACTCTCTTTTCCCACCTCAAACTTGACGTCCACCCAGGCTTCACCATGGATGAATATGACCTCTGTCTGCAAGAATGTCTGCGCTGCCTCAAACCGGGCGGCTATCTCGAATACTTTCTCATGGACTCTGAAGTCGTCAACGCCGGTTCCCGTGGCACCGCCATGAGCGTAGAATTCGGTTTCAATTTGAAGACAAGAGGCTACGATCCACTGCCAACCAAATCCTTCCTCGGGCGGCTCCGTCGCGCCGGCTACGACGACATCAAACGCGCCTGGACCTTTCTGCCTATGAGTACACCCACCAAAGAGCGACACATGCTACCCGAGACGCCGCCGCCCAACGTATCGACTTTCGAAAACGGGCTCGAGAACGGGACGCGCAAAGTAGAAGCGGTGCAAGGGCCCGTGGGCAGCACGGCTGATGCGGCTAGTATGGCTGGCTTGGTCGGCAGTTGGGCATGGGAGCAGTGGATGATTAAATTGCAGACGGAGATGGGAAAGGAGAAGTTGCTGGAGGGCGTTGCGGAGGTTCTGGAAGAGGGCAAATGGACCGGGGCTGGGTGGAGGTGTTTGAGCGGCTGGGCGAGGAAGCCGATCGAGTAAAGTGGTGATGGAACGTGGGATTGGGAAACGTGGTTTTCATTCTGTTGTCTTTGCGTTTCCAGATTTGTGCGTGCGCTAAGTGGTAGGAATGTGGTTTCCTGGTGGCTCGTATACAGTACAGAGTACAAATGAATCTCTCAAAGGCCACATAAATGGGCAGCGCGACTCTTTGCCTCTTCCTTACAGTACTTTCCCAACAGCCACATGCAGCGCACCATGCCCGCAAACTCCAGCCTACGCAATAACAAGGACGCGGTTGTGACGGTACGTTTTCCGACCCCTACTCATCATTGTTTCTCCCCCCCCCCCAACTCTATTCACCTACTTTTCCAACCCCTTCACTAGGCACCTGAAGCCGTACCCCCCTTTACGTAGCACTCTCATTCGGCCGTCGATCAATCGATCGGCACTTCTCCCCGGTTTCTCCTCTTCGAAAACACGCGCAGCAAGAAACCAGCCTCCCCACTGTTTGTTTCACAAAACGGAGGTGGGGAGATAAAATAGAGACTCGCTGGGACGGGTACCCGGCGTTGGATGATGGAATTCGTATCGCTTGTGGGTGCGTTTGGGCTGGGTTGGACTGGGCTGGGTTGTCGCGTGTGGATGGATCCGGCGACGTGGTGCGATTTGGTTGAATGAAGGATGGAAGGATGGAAGGAAGGAAGGAAGGAAGGAAGGGAGGATTATCGCCTTGTTTTGATGTGTGTGTATGTATGTATGTGTTTATATATCTATCTATGTATCTATGTATGATTCAAACCCATCAAGTCATGAGACCACAACTTATGGAGCTGACGCTGGAAAAGAAAGAGGGTGTTGGAATTGATGAGAGGTTGAAGGGTTTGATTAGCTATGGAGAGGTATGTAGGCTACTTATATACCATGTGAAGCCCATACTAATTTATCATCTGGTTACCACCATGAGGGGTAGCTACAATACAATATGGTGCTGCAGCAGATTCCAACAGAGGGCAATGAGCAAGTAATCTTGCAGCGTTTGAAGGTCAGTTGAGTATTGCGCTCCTAAGAAATGATGTCTTCACCGTAGTAGGATTTACCATCCCTCTTGCACAAATCCTCGTGGGCGAGTAAGTGTTCTCGATATGGGCCGAGCTCAGACGCTCTTTGGCAACACACGTGCGTGACAGATTTGTACAGAAAGGACTATTGAAAAATGGCATTCGCTTACTCACAGGACCATGACTCGCATAATGCCCGAGACGCGCTCATCCTGTCCAGCTCAGCATTGTCGCCTTCTAGCAACCCTTCGCCGTCTCTGTGTTCTTTCCTTTTATAGGCTTATTGATACTCGGGCGGAGAATGAAGGGGTCGGCCGGTCTTTTACAAGAAATTTTGACACGAACGAACAGCTTCTGTACGTTCCAGTGGTGACCCATTGTCTGGTTCTGTTCTCTACCCGGTCGACTAAGGAGATTCGCTCGCTATGGTAAACAGATGTGCAGTCATACTAGAAGAAATCTTGAATAAAAGCGACGAGCAAAGCAAATTGTCTATAGTGACCACAAGATTCCGCCAGAAGACAAAAATGCACCAAAATCCTGGACATCTCACCCCTCATCCCTCAACCACCCTAGCAGCATTAAAACTCCTACTCCTCCCCTCACCCACCTCATACTACACACATTAATCCACTCCTCCCAAACATCCCCTTCCCCACCCGGCACGGCACCCTCGTCAACGAACACTCATACCCCGGCCCCATCCTCTCAAGATCCCTCCCGACATCAACACTCACATACAACGCCGGCAACGCCACCTCCAACGCCCCCGCCCGCACCCAGTGCGGAACGCAAGGCGCGAACAACAACGTCGACGGCGTCATCTTGGCATACGCGCCCGGATCGGACAAGACGGTGTAGCCGAGACGTCGCTGTAAGAATTCTACCTCCACGGCGCCGAAGTCCGGATCTTGGAAGTACACCTCGCGCTTGCGGATCCGGTGTCTCTCGCCTAGAACCGTCGGCAGGAATGCCAGGAAGACGAGCTGGTGCGGGGACCGGTAGCGTCTCTGGTCGCTTTCGTCGTCGAAGGGGTATACGGCGCCTTGGGCGAAGTTCCCGATACCCAGACATAGGCACCGGGTGAGGGTGATGGTGGGGGGCGGGGGCATTTCGTGCGAGATGGTGCGGGCGAGGGCGGCGGCGAAGGGGGTCGGGGCGAATTGCTGCGTCCAGGTCGCGTACTCGGATGGGAGTTCCGAAAGGGATAGTGGCTCGAAAGTGGGGGGGATGGGATTTGCGTCGTGGTGGCGTAGGTGCTGTGGTTCTGTGTGCGTTTGGTAGGGCTTTTGGGGGGCAGAGAGGGTGCGGGGTTTGTTATGCGTGCTTCAGGGTTGTTAGGGATGGTAGGTGGGATACAAAGAGAAGATACTTGCGCGTTTGATATGGGGTTCGCTGCTTTGTCTATGTTTGGAGCATACATTGAACGAAGCATTGTGCATAGGGGAAATCGAATATAGAGAGTTTCTTCTTTCAAAGGCCGCAGTTACCTACATAGCTTGGATCCGAGAGTCAGATCAGCTTTGGATATCTTAGTTGCTCCGGCATCGCTGTATTTGCTCCTGGTCTATCAATTGCTGCGATGTATTTGCTGAAAGAAACTAATTTGACCTGTACGCGCACCTTCTGCTCCCCGTCAATTGCCCAAGCACCATAAACGAAACTGCACCGGACTTACCAGCTTATCCAGAGTCTCCAAATATCGTAGTATATGGACCCAACCCGTATCAAGCGCCATTCGCTCAACCTCCAAACGTGGTTTGCAACGCTGAAGATAGGATATAAGCAGTATGGCACTGTACTGGGCTGCATGGTTCGTAATCCTAAGCGTGTGGTTGTAGAGTGGTTCGAAAGGGTAAGATTGTCATCCAGTTCTTTGAAGGCCGGTGGACTTTGAGGGAAACTCTGCTAATTCTAGAAGATAAGCGAGTTCCTCAGCATCAGGCAAGCACCCCCCCCCCGCCAATCAACCACCCATCCCCCACTCATCCTCTCCTGCAACCTCTCCGAACTTCCTCCCCCAAGTCTCCGGAACATAATGACCCCCCTGCACCATCAGCTTCCCCTCCCTCTGCTCAATTCGATGATGCATCCGCCACGTCGCCACATACATCATGATAAAGCGCAAGCCCAGATACTTAGTCGCCCCTTTCCCATCAACCTACCGCCGCTGCACCGCTTTCAGCTGCGCCTCCTGGAACTGGTGCGGGCCGAAATCTATCGGCGGCTCAATCACGTGCCCCAGCGCCAACTCCGCCAGTTCCCCCATCACGGCCCCATCGCCGTCGACGTTCCAGATGCTCCATTCTTCGTTTTGAAGTCGGAAGACGCGCGTTTCGGTCATTCTGGCTGTTTTGCCAGTCTTTGCAACGATGTTCAAGGTGGAGGTTTGGAGGAACTCGAATTGGTACGCTGCATCCGTTGGAAGCGCGGGAGGTGATGTCGGATTTGCCGAACGAGGGAGACACGATGTCGACGTCGGTGAATGTCTCGCCCTCGATGAGTGGGTCGTGGTGCATTGTACGGTGTAGTTGATATTTGCCCGGGAGTCGGTCACAAAGCTCGCGCGTGGCGATGTTGGGGTCCGTAGCGATGAAGCGTGGGTTGGTAATCTTTGGGCAGCAGCGGGACTGTAGATCTGATCTGTCCCGTGAGTCGAAGTGTTGGGCAATGAGTGGACTGTTGGCATGTTGAAATTTACTGGAGTTGTGGTTGGTGAGGATTGCTCAAGCAAGCGCAACCGTGTTTGGGTAGAGGTATGATTGGACGCTATTGAGAAACCAAGAGGAAGAACGCTGCCGACGTAGGCGTTGAAGAAAGAGGACTTTGAGATCGACAGAAATATTGCCTAAGTAGACTCAGGTGACCAATCGCGGTCCTCCAAACATGTTTGCCAGTCATGCCTACCTTGTTTTTAATGTTATGACGCCCAATCTCTTTCGTCCTTCCCGTATGCAGACAAGGGTTCTGGCGTCTCCAAATAAAGAATCACTGACTGAGTGGTTATCAAGCTGACCTACACATCCAGCAAATCGCAATGTGATATGAAAGGCCTTGCAAGGGCCGTGTTTTGGCATGGGACTTGGCCTTGCCGAGGTGGTGTTTTGACATGGTTTCTGGCCTTGCAGACACCATGGTTGCCATCGTCCGGTTTCTTTTTCATGTGGCTTGGCATAAGATCATGTCGATCGCCAAGAAAAGCTCTTGATATGCCAACACGTAAAATTCTGCACAGAAAGTGCGTCTATGTAGAGGAAGAGGTGCGACGACAGCGATAACAGGATATGACGTGTCCCAACGCAGCATCCGCACCATAACCTAATCTCTTCACCGTCGCCGCATGCGGAAACAAGGCCATTGCGATGTGGGCTTTCGCTTGTCGTGGGACAGATGTAGATGTCTCCGATTCCCAAAGCAACATCAACCTGCCGCTGACGATGCACCCAATCACCCACAACGCTGTCAGCGTGGTGCTTGACCGGTGTTGCTACCGAAGGCGGGACTCTGTGGGATGATCTTTGGGCGATACTGCTACTGGTCAACAGCACTGCGTAGAAGAAAACATCACCCCGTTGCTGGTGTGCGTGACCTCGTTCGTCCCAGACCAAGTATCGGTGTTCCTCTCTTGATGTAAGTTCTTGTCCTCGCAGGTCCTGGCTTTCTGCTCTTGTCAAACGTTCATCTTCAGATGCTGAATATGTGACAATGTTGCACCCACTGGCGGACACTCTCCAAGAAAGGGAAAATCAAGTTTCACTGTCGAGGGAGTTTCCAGCTTCTCACCGGCTTCTGAGGTTGACATGATGGCTTGACTTCGAGATATGGCCACTTGGTAGGGCCTCTGGCCTGTTCTATTTGATGACAAACCTCGGATCCATTCCCGCCTTAGAGCTTTGAAGGCTTTCACCTAAGTGAGTAATAGTGGATGTTTTTTTAGTAGAGAATATGTGCAAAGGTGTCTGCAAAAGCATAGCTTTTCTGCCGAGTCGTCCAGAAAAATATATACAATCCTCTCACTCCACAGTCCGAATTTTTACATCCTCGACCCCTTCACCCATAGATCTCCTCGTCATCATTCCCTCCCACGTCTCCAAAGCCGTTGACTCCACTCCGCTTTCGCTCAGGGGTCCCTGCAAAGTCATTACTAGTCACATAAGCATCGTCATCATCATCGTCATCGCTATCCCATTGCGTAGCTTTGCCCTTTCCCTTGCCTTTTGGATCCGATTGCCTAATGGTACCGGTGCGGCTGATGGGCTTAGGACGCTTGCTGGGTGCTGGCGGCTGGAGGTGATCATTCGTTGTAGGAGCTGGGATTCTGGAGGCAGCAGTAAGGTTCGGAGCTTTATGAGGGTTGTTGGGACCTTCGAAAGTGTGGCGCACACGTTGATAGTGTTCGAGTTCTTTGGCGCTGTTGGAAAGAGGATCTTAGCGAAGCATCGAGACATATGTTTTGAAAGGGAGGTATCCTTACCTTACACTACCAACCAACTCCTCGTTTGCAGCAAAAAAGTCCTGTTCAGTAACCATAACAGCAATGTCCTCGTCTGTAGCCAGATGATCGAAGAAGTAAGCCGTAGTGACTGGAGCACCAGACATCACTCTGATTTTCGCATCGACAGCTGATGCTTGCCTGGTGATGGCTTTAAGCATAGCGTCCGAGCAGAGTGCGTAAAGGTCTGCACCCGTATACGTAAATGGCAATGAGTCAGCCACCCGCCGAAGAGACGCCTCTGGATGCATTGTGAATTTGCGAGTCAAGGCTTCGAGAATAGTGAGCTGCTTGTCATGGGTGTCGGAGACACCAAGGTAGAGCATCTTGTCGAATCGTCCTGGACGTAGCAGAGCTTGGTCAAGCAGATCTGGCCGATTTGTAGCACCAATGACGAAGACGCCGCCGCCACCTTCCTCACCATCGCTCATGCCGTCAAGCTCAGCGAGAAGCTGACTGACGATACGATCCATGACGCCACCGCTATCACCTTGATTGCCTCTTTTCGGTGCCACAGAGTCGAGCTCATCGAAGAAGACCACGCATGGTCTGGCATCTCTAGCTCGCCGGAAAACACGGCGTACGTTCGCCTCAGACTCACCAATATACATGTTGAGTAGCTCTGGTCCTTTGACGGAGAAGAAGTTGAGGGAGAACTCAGTTGCGATGGCCTTTGCCAGAAGAGTCTTTCCAGTACCAGGAGGACCGTAGAAGAGGATACCACTTCGCTTCTTCATGCCTTTGGCAAAGAGCTCTGGTCGCTCAAGCGGCAACTGAATGGTCTCTATGACAGCGTCTTTGACGTTTGTAAGACCCCCAACATCATCCCAGCTGACGTTGGGAATCTTGGGAGCTCCAATGGCATCAGCGAAATTCTTTCGGGCAGCCTCCACAGCAAGGTCAAAGTCCCCTTTGGTCACGCAGCGCGCATTCTCTCCGCCGGATACGAGTACATCTCGAACAAGTATGTCCGTGCCTTCTCCTACGCACGAGCTATTAGTAACGACTTTCTCCAGACGGTCTTGCCTGGCTACGACGGCTCTGTCGACGATATCAACTAAGTTGCCCGCAACGAGGGCAGCAGTCTTCACCGCGATGGAAGCCATGTCAACATCATGCCCAAGCCTGATCGCTCGGTCTTCCACGATGCTCCGTAAAGTACCTTCCCTCTCACCTTCGTCTGGCGCCATTATCTCCAATTCGTGCGTGAACAGGCTTCGTACACCATCAGGTACATTCTCGATCTCGGTGGTAGTGGCTATGAGCACTCTGACATCAGGAATTGTGTCCTTGATGGCGGTCACCATGCGATCTGCCGTCAAGGCTTCTACGTGTCGTACCAAAATGACTGTACAGTCAGCTCCGCAGCTTAGGGCCCGTTCGACTCTCGCTTTAAATAAAGCTTCTGTCTTGACATCACCACCACTTCCACCTTCCGCTACGAGGTCGTATGCAGATATGTCAAAGACGTGGAGTCCAAGGTCCGAGGCAGCATTTGAGGCCAGTGTGGCCTTGCCAATATTTCTCTGGGTAGAGTGGAGAAGTACGATCATCGGGTCCATTCCGAGATGAACAGCTCGAGGACTGGTAGCTGCAGCGAACAGCTCACGGAGGCGCCGTTGCAGAGGTGCAGTGTACGGTTTGGGTGTGGGAGCCACAGATTGCCTTATGGGGTTGTAGGGAATTAAAGCCTTCATTGGTGACCGGACGCCAAGGTAGTACTTCCATGACGGATCCAATGCTGATAGTGTCTTACTTATCTCGCTTCCAGCTTGTCTCATACGAGTAGTCATGGGCTCAATACAGGCAACTCCACCCCAGCTAAATGGTGACAGACTTTGGCAATTCTGCTCCGGCTCTGGACCAACGATTTGCCCGACCTTGAACCAGGCGACTTCCAAGCGGTGAAATGTCGATGCTTTGTCTTCCAAAGAAAGGGCAAGCAATTCCTCCACATCAGCATCAACATCCGCACCACCGGCTGGATGAGCCAACAACCGACTGGCTCCCGCATCTATGGGAAGACCAATGAGATCCCCTTGGCGAAGAATGCGTCGCTTGTTCTCAAAATGCTGCTTTAGAGAGGCGAATATTCCGCTCTGCAACGCTCGCTCAGTCGAGAGGGGTGTGGATACTCGAACTATGGTCATCTCTTTCGCAACGGGTGGTGACGTAGCATTGTTGACCTTCGATGCATTGTTTGTAGTTCTCGCACCGCTGTTCCCCGCTCGTCCCGCGAGCAGAGGGGACAACCTCACAAATAGCGGCTGGCCTAGGTTTGCTAGTAAGACGGGCGAGAGCCAAGCAACGAGGCCTGCAGTATCCGGCGTCTGGACTGTGGCCGCACTTGACCTTCTCTCAAGCGCGCCTGATTTAGTATATCGAGGTGCTGAGACCGGAGCTAGATCAGACAATCCGTAAATTTTGACGGGTCTAAAATCGTCCTGTCCACTGTCACGATCGAATGCCTGAATCCCCCATATTCCCGAGCGGCCATCACCAGGTGCGGATGCTGTTTCCATTTTCACCCAATCGCCGGAGAAACAATGCAATTTCAATAGGGTCTTGATATTAACGAATACGCGAGCCTCGTCATCCTCGTCTATAGTTGGCTTGGGGTGTAGTAAATCATCTGGTATCCTGACGGTCAGACCTTGTGCTTTGCAAAACCTACCCTTTGCCATCGAACCTTGCCTAGCTGTGGTCGCGGTGAGGTTTGAAAAGACAGATCCTGGGGTGTTAACGCCATTCGTCATCGGTCTTCCTGCCCTGGGCGTAGCCGCTATCCTCGAAGTTAGTACACCAGAATCATGACTTGCTAGTCGCGGAGCGCTCATAGATATCATATTGTCCATCGAGTCATCTGAAGAACTACCAGATTCCTTGCTAGAACTATCTGAACCTGAAGTAGACTCCACTCCTTCGACGTTCATGACGTTCTCGTTACCGCCGTCTTCTGTGGCAGAGAAGAATTGCTCATTTGACGTGTCATTCCCATTGTCTGCTGTCATGGCACGAAAAGCATTGCGCACAGCTAGATTTGGTCGACCTCGGTCTGCTGGGTCCTTGTAGTAGACGCGGTTGACGATGATCTTGGTCTCGTGCGAAAGGAGGCCTTGGGCGATAGGTTCGCAAAAGGTGATTTTCGCAGGCGGTAAAGGAACATGAGTGATTGGATGAGCTGGCAACGGCAGGGGCAGGAGATCATTCTGGCGCACGACCAGTGATGATGCCAGACCCTCGCGAACAGCCGCGGTCAGCCGGTCTTCCTGATCTTTGATCTGTGACAGACCTCCATCACCATTGACCCCAGCATGTAGTGTGGCCTTGCCCTTTCCCTTGCTCTTGCTGGCATACCCATTGGTCTGAGAACCAGGAAAGCCTCCTCCAAACTTCTTCTGCACTTCATCGTGTTTATCAAGGGCATTCCCATCAACGGTCACGTATATGGTATCCAGCTTCAGAGGTTCCACCTCCAGTATCCATACCTCGACACCTGATTTTCCCTTGGAGTTGCCTCTCTCTGCTGAGGTGGCCTGCAGTGCCTCCGCAAAAGTCTGAAGTGCCAATGAAGCTGCCGGAAATTGTAGGGACAATGGACTTAGGCCATTTGTTCTCTCCGCACCGGTCTCCTGCGCACGAACAGGCAGTATCGTCCAGCTCGTATTTTCAACGATATCTTGCGACAAAGGTGTCCATGGCGCGATGGCAATGTAGTGAAGGGGTGCAGGTGCAACGGTGGGCTCCTGCAAGGGCTCATGGCGGAACAGCTCAGTGTAGAGGTCCCGGGAGATCTTGCCCACGTTGCCTTTGATTTGTTCGCTTGGCGTTAAGCATGCCGAGATGGGAGGTCTGTCAGCTCTTCTCCGTCGCTTTCTTTTTCGGTGGTCCATATACGTCGTCCGATGTTCCATCTCACGACAGCTCAGTGGCAAGAGCCACTCGTGTGGGATAGCTGAGGGTATCGAAGTTCTCACCCGGCCCAGATGCCATTTGTCGATGATTGGGCCGAGGTTCGATTGAGTCGGGAATAGAATCAGGTACCGGCACCTATTACTATTATCATTATCATTATTCGCTTAAGCCTGAATCGCAGATGCGAATAACGGACCAATCGGGTTTCTGTGAATCTTATCTTTATTTATCGAATCTTTGGGGTGAAAGGCTGGCCTCTGGTGTCGTTCAAAGTAGATCTCTCGCAGCAGCAGCAGCAGCAGCGACCCACCATTCGTTCATTCACTTTCGGAGATAAGCTTTGCGGGGTTAGAATCCCATTCCCCTAGCGTCTGCCCTGCCCTACGAGTAAATCAGTGAATCAGTAAATCAACCTCCACCCATTGTCCCTGTTGCAAAGGGAAGGAAGGGGGGGGGGACAAAGCCTACCGAGTCAAAGCAAGTTCGTAAGAGTGGAACTAACATAAAGTAAAGTAGGCAGCATGTTCATCGCCGCCCTTACTAGCGCGCGACATCATCATACTTTGCCATAGCGAAGATCGTTGCCGTAGATTGCGCATAACCGTCCACCACACCATTGTTTTTTAAAAGCAACAATTAGCACCTTTCAAAAATGCAATTGAACAGCTAATGATGACTGCTATCATCTTCATACAAGCCCATGTTCGAAGAATACCCTGCTAAGCACCCTCTCTTGCTCCGTGCCCCTGATCGTTTCCCTCGGCCGAAATCTCGGACTTAATCTCGAGTCCCAAATGGCAAAAGAGATCGCAGAGGCAAAGACAAGCACTGCCATCAAATTCACACACCAATCCGAAAAGCTATCCCTCCAGGCACATGACGCCAAAGATGAGGACAGCAGGGGCGCCCTGGCCGTCGAGGCGCGCTTTATCACCCCACAAGATCCAGTGATTGAGACTGAGAATGGTGCAAGACTGCCGGCAGTACCACTGAAGGAGGCATTGGAGCTGAATAGATTAAGAGACCAGGTCAAAGGCCAGAGCTCCAAGTCTAACCACCAAAGGCATGACCCAGCGCGTCTAAAACACGAGGAAACCGGTGAAGAGTCAAGTCAAGCAGAGTCTACACAGTCCACCAGACCGGACGCATCTCTACGCAACGCTGTACCTCCCTCGAGAACGAATCCTCTATTTCCAGAATTACCCCTATATGGGCCCCCATCCGTACTACGAGACATACAGTGCATCGGCTTCCGAGTCTCGTCAGCTATACTTTCTCTTGCTTTTCTCGGCGTCATTGTCCTCGGATCAGCATTTACCAGTATACCGTTAATGTTTCAGCACATAGGAATACGTTTGGCCTTCCGCAATCCTGACGCGCGACGGCCGTTCTACGAAGAAGAAAGGAGGAGACAACATATCAGGGATGAGGAGGCAAGGGAGTGGAAGATAAAACGACGGCGCAAGAGGAGTTCGAATGCCGAAGACGGTAACGAGGAAGAGGAGGCCGGTCAGCGAGATGAGGAATTCGAGCCTACAGAAGGTGGCCCAGATCCCCTTGTTTGCGATCTTGGGTACTACGCGCGAAGGGTAGGCCTGGACGCGGAAAGCTACGAGGTCATGACCGAGGACGGCTTTATTATTCAGCTCGACCATGTATACAACCCGAAAGAATACAGACCCGCTTCTCCATCCCAGCGCGCCCATGGTGCCCCTGTCGTCTTCCCCAAGGCTTTCGACCACGACCGCTCCAATGACAGCCGCGCTACATCGTCATCATCGACAAACTCGTCGAGAACTTGCAAATACCCCATTCTCCTCATCCACGGTCTCCTTCAATCGTCAGGCGCGTACTGCGCTAATGATGATGACTCCCTAGCCTTCTATCTGTGCAAATCCGGATACGACGTCTGGCTCGGCAACAACCGCTGCGGGTTCAATCCACAGCACCAACTTCTTAAAACCACCGACCCCAGAATGTGGAATTGGAATATCCGACAGATGGGCGTCATGGATCTTCCCGCTCTTGTGTCACGCGTGCTTTTCGAGACTGGATTCTCAAAGTTAGGCCTGATCTGCCACTCGCAAGGGACGACTGCAACATTTGTGGCATTAGCAAAGGAGCAGCGGCCGGACCTGGGAGAGAAGCTTAGCGTCTTCTGTGCACTTGCACCGGCGGTGTATGCGGGGCCTTTGATTGGGAAAATGTATCTGAAATTCATGCGGATAATCTCACCAGGCATGTTCCGCATTATGTTCGGGATCCATTCCTTCATCCCTTTCATGATGACAATGCACTCGTTTCTGCCAGGACGCCTTTATGGCGCACTAGGCTACCGCGTCTTCTCTTTCCTCTTCAACTGGACCGACGATCGCTGGGACCAGGGGCTTCGAAACCGCATGTTCCAATTTGCGCCTGTGTACGTGAGCGCAGAGAGTATGCGCTGGTGGCTTGGTCGTGAATGCTTCGCGAGCCAGAAATGCATCCTCGCTACTCGCGAAGAAGGAGAAATCGAAGATGAAGAGGATGAAGAAGAAGACGATTATTACGCCCACAGCACCGAACACTCAACAGAACGCATGTTGGACGGTCAGAGCCACCCGGACCAACCTCATCCCGATCGCGGCCGCAAAGCCTGGTTCGACGAGCGCGTCCCACCATTTGCCCTCTGGGTCGCGGGCTCTGACGAACTGGTCGAGGGCCGACGGCTGCTCCGACGATTCGAAAGGGGTAGAGAGCCTCATGTTCGAGTCGTGCATTCGAAGATTATAGAAGAGTATGAGCATCTAGATGTCCTCTGGGCCATTGACAGCGTCGAAGAGGTTGCAAACGAGGTCAGAGAGGTACTCTGGAAAACGGTACCCGAAAACTTGAGAGTTCGATGTAGAGTGCCGAAGCAGTGCGAAGGAGTGGGCGTTTGGGAGGACCCAGGGCGGAAGGGGCCGTGAAATAAAAATCTGCTTACGCTTGGGAACTTGGCTTTTGGTTATATTCTTGGGTGGCGGAATTTTTTCTGTTTTCTAGGGGTTTTTTGACGAAAACGAGCTCTTTGGTATAGCAACGTCGGCATTCGTGGTAGGTATCGTTGGAAACATAATCCGTATGCATGCGAAGGACGATGTGTCTTGGATATATATAAGAAACGGACATATTACCGTAATGGTGCTCATGTACATAGATGAATTCACAATCGACTCGTTCTTAATCAAATACATACGCAACCCAAATTCACCAAATTCTACTCACCCCCTTGCCTTGACATACCTATCTCCGACGCGCTCTCAAAATATCAAATCCCCAATCGTCAGAACGCCCTTTCCTGGCCTCGCTACAACATGGCACACACGAAATGCCCACGTCTTCAAGACGCTGCTGCTGGAACTCGTACGCGGTCCCGATCCGAAGCCTGTACCTCCTCGCTTTCCCGCTCGGTGGGTGCTTGGAGATGCGCTCATCGTCTTGGAAATGTTCTACGCGCAGGGGGTTCGCGCATCAGTATTTGGCGTATGGTGGCATAAGAGGGAGGGAAGGAAGGAAGGAAGGAAGGAAGGAAGGAAGGAAGGAAGGAAGGAAGATGAAGCGGGCGCTAGGTACGGTTTTGTTCCGGAGGTAAGGTACGGTACGGTATCGTACTTTAGCTTTGGGTGTCCGTACGTGAAATTCATACACAATGGTATTGGGTGAGAGTTGTTGTTATTATAGAGAAGAAGAATGGCTGTGAAGCCTACCAGATAGTAGGTGGCTAGCCCTACAAGGCTGGGAGCATGTTCCAACCAATGGGCGTATTCCAGCCTCCCTCGTTCTGATCGATCGAATCTTCACAAAGCTCCAAAGGTTATAATTGCAGGGAGGCTCTATGGAGTACCGTCGAGTCAGATCTTGACATCCCTACCTATCCACGACGGCTAAGTGCCTTACGCAAGTGTTTGCAATATCACAGCGGAAAGGTTCGCTAGCTTCTAGTTCGTTGGTGGCTTCGAGAAATCATTATTGGACCCGTTCGTGTCGACCAAACACTGGTTGATGACATACTCCGAGGGCAAATTACAAATTCATACCCCAAACTATGGGATTCTTACAAATTCATACCCCATCTTACATTTTCATACCCCTCACCAAAAAAAAGGGGTATGAATTTGTAAGTTGCCAGTCTTTGGGGTATGAATTTGTAAGTTACCATTTCTTGGGGTATGAAAATGTAAGATACCATTAACATGTTAGCAGCAGCCCTCACGGGGCCCTGCGACGTCCCTACGGGGCCCTATTTAGGTCCAAATAGGAGTGTCTGGCTGTCAAGCGCAGACACCCCCGGGACCAAGCTTTTTTAGCTGAGTTGCTAACACAACATCCCTATACCTATAAATCATTAGAAGGGTATTTTAGGGTGTTTTAGGCTATCTACCCCAATTGTTAGTAACCCGAGTTACCGCTAAAGGGTTAAATAGGGGTGTTTACACTTCACGCTGCAGACACCCCTAAGGAGCCCCGCAGGGCCCCCGGAGGAATAATTCCTAACACCAACCCGCCCTATAGATGGCAACTTACAAAATCATACCCCTGTCAATGGTATCTTACAAATTCATACCCCATTGGGGTATGAAAATGTAAGATGGGGTATGAATTTGTAAGAATCCCATAGTTTGGGGTATGAAAATGTAATTCGCCCCATACTCCGAGGAAGATGACGGGAGTAGCTTGACAGATTGCAAAAGATAGATAAGTGAGAAGATAACATGCCACAAAGAAAGGAAACCGGAACTACAACACCGAAATGGCACCACAATCTTAAAATCCGTCAAGCTTGTAAATGGAAGTACTGCCCCTTGGTTTGCACTTTTCCCACTCTGCATCATTACGCCCTAAGAAAGTTTTGACTCGCTTGCCAAGCTGCATACACAGACAACTTCTCCCAACTATGGCCACCGTTCGATACCTCACTTCATTGATGAAAGTGCGCGTGATGGCTACACACAGCCTTTCGCCTCTAGCCTTCGATCCAGAAATGCAAGCGAGGGGTTCAGTCACGTCTCCTATGCTCAATTTGCAAACGGGTCAGTCGTTGCGCCTGTTGGATGCAGAGTGTCTTGGGTAAGACTCAAATCTACAGGACCGTTAGCTACCCGGGCCGTCGGACACAAGGTACGGGAAATTGGCCATTGCAGCTTTTAGAACGCGCTACAAGTTATAGCGAATGTCCCCTCACCATGACTCTGCCATCCATGTTGTTCGAAAGCTAAGGCACCCGACCAATTGTTCGTTCCATCCTTTCGCAACAGCGTCGAGGCACAACTTGAGCTCCTTGAGAAGGTGCAATACAAGATCTGGCTGACTCCGCAAGCTATTCTCCCATTTAGCCAACAAGTTGCTGTTCCGACTGGATGAATGGTCAGACAACGAGAGTCTGTCCGCATTTCCGTTCAACAAAATCTTTGAGAAGCGAGATGCGAAATATTCGTCGTCTCTCACAACTCTTGCTCAACGGGCATCCCCAAAGTGATTAAGGTCAAAAATGGAGTACTTCTTTTAACAGTCACTTCCACCCAGACGAGCCCTTCTGTCGCGTATTTCAAGCCGGAGTTCTTATAGAGCCAAAGCAGACTCTTTTTTCTAGAGTTGAATGTGCTCTATTGTAGAGCATATGGCAATATATATTTAACGAGCATGCGAGGGCTGCCCGGCCCATGGCCAAACTTCGAAGGGTATGACCCGGCTCACAAGCAAAGAGAAGCCAATGCTTCGCGCTGGAAAAAGCACTATTCAGCGCAGGATTATTAACACTTTTGAGGATGAAATCGATACCCTCTACGATCTTACGCGGGTGGAAAACGGCGATCTCTGTCAGCGTCAGTGGGCCTTAAACTTCAGATAGAATACGTTCCTCACTCGGCGGATTCCCCACCGAAGAGATTGGACTCGAAAGTATTGGGTATGATGACGATCTATTCTCGCAGGGCCTAGACTCTCTGCAAGTAACGAATAATGCGAGCCAGCTCCTGAGAGACGTGGGTACTGTGAGGTCGGAGTGGATGCGCCGATGGATGGAGGCGTGTAGATCGCAGAGAATTTTTAGGGCAATGTGCCTACGTACAACTAAAAAAATTACCTGCTCAGCTAACGTCTTTACACTCCGGGCAACGAAGATGTATGGCCCACTCGGGTACAACATATAACATATCAGACCCAAATGCTGCCAACTAGAGTGGACAGATCGGTATGACTGAATTCGCGATCCTAGAAGAGTAAGCGCGCAGGGGGTGCGGGAGGACATCGCCCGAGCCATTTGTGCTCCGATCGGCTCGCATTGGTCGGGCATGAGATCTTCTTCTTGTAGTGTGTCTTCTAGTGTCACGTGGGTTGGATTTGTCATACCTGAGAATCGATGGCGAAGGAGAGCCATTCTTTTATGACCAATGCAATCTCGCAGGTCCACATGCACACAAGTCGAAACGATCAAGTTCCTTCATACCAACATCATCAACTAGAATACGTGGAGGAACCAGACAGTCAATCAGAGCAGTAACAACTTGAACGGTCCGCTGCCTATTTGTTTTTGGATGGAAAAGGGATATCCTGGGCTTAACCTCAGCTCTGGCTACCCCTAAAATCTAAGGATTTGAAAGACAACTGAACCAAAGCCCGCAGCGACGACCGCATTTCAAAGCCTAGCCACCAGACGTGGAGAGGAGCCAGTACTACCATCATCAGCAGACGATAAACCTCCGGAGTGCGGCCTTCACAGCCTGGATTCAAGTATGGCTTCTTGCTCCATTGTCTTTCACGCGTGTTGCGAGTCGTGCTGCGTCGTTCAGCCTCGTCTCCACACTCTCTTATACCCATCCGCGCCTGGACGACATTCAATTTTGACTTTCGGCAATCAATAACTATCCACGCACCCTCCTTCCCCAAAAATAGAGGCGTCGTATACACATACAGCACCTTACGAACATTTACACTGCCAACTGTTCTCTTCTTCGTCTTTTGGATCTTCAGTCGCCTGGATTGAATCCTTCCAAGGCCTCCTCCTCATGGTCATCAGTATCCTTTCTGGTTCCCTGTATGACGCTGACTATACGCGCTTCTCCATCTTCTTCGGTTCCTCTTTCACCATCGTCGGCATGTGCATGACCAGCCTCGCGCGGACATATGCCGATGCGTTACTGGCGCAAGGCGTAACCGTTGGGCTAGTATGCGGGTTGTTGTTTCTGCCGGTGGTAGTTGTTTTGCATGAGTTCTTTGAGTGCAGATTAGCGTGTGGAACAGGGGTCGTACGTGTACGCTAACTGTGTTTTGGGCCATCGTCGTTGTTCGTCGTAACCCTCATCTCATGTGTTACCACACGAGACGAAGAACAATTGCATTGTCTTTGTCGAACATTTTGCGATCATACAATGGGAATTGTGTAGACAAAGCATTTGCTTCACAATGGACCTCCCACATCATCTCTTTGTGCGAGAGACTCGATACGTCCGACCGCTCTCACTCTTAAAATTTATGAACATATAACCCCTATATCTCCCTTCCTTCCTCCCTCCCTCCCATCCCGTCTCCACCCTCCCCACCCTCCCCAACAACCCCACAAACCACCAAACATTCAACAATGGGCAACGCCCCCTCCCACTTCACCCACCCCGCCACCTCCGCCCACCCCCGCGCCCGCCTCCCTATCACGACCAACCGCTACGACTGGGTCGCGGAAGAGGGCGGCTACATCCCGTACCGGTTCCAGGGCGCGCATCGGGAGAAGTGGCGGAACGACGACCGCGGCGCGTACGAGAAGAAGGTGAGGTTCGAGAAGGAGAGGAGCGGGAGGCGGTATCGGGATGTGGCGGAGAAGAAGAGGGAGTTTAGAAGGTTGTATGATGAGAGGGTGAGGGGGTGAGGAGGGGGTGGATGAGTGAGTGAGCTCCGTTTGCGTGTTTTGGGTTTCTGAGTGCGTGGTTCATCGATTGGGTTTTGCGTCTTTTGGGACTTTTTATATAGTAGAGGTGTAGCAAATGCAACGTTTTGCGGTGAATTTTGTGCGCATTGGGGAGTGTCTGTGATGGCGAGAGATGCAACATGGCCCTTGATTTAGTAGATCAATGAGTGAAGTAAACGGAGATTGAGTGCTTGTGCTATTGCTCATCTGGTCCAGTAAAGTAGTCGTTCAGATGTCTCCTGCTATATCATAGGTTGAAGTCGATACACTAGTCAGTCTTTGCAAAGCTGCGGTCAGCAGTGGACGTATTAGGACCCTGCTACATATCAGTCGAAGCATGAGCTGGGCTAAGTGATCATTTTGGTTCATAGTCATCATAAATAACGCTAACGACAGCCCCATCCAAAATCCTGTCCAAAGAAACAACCTTCAACAACCGGTTCTATGTAGCATATTCCTGCTGCACCACTCGCCTCCTTTGCGCGTCTCATCCCTTCGACTTCGTCAGGTTTCGAAGCCCGTATCGCCCCCTGCCCTTGCATGGATGTCTACTCTGCCACACACTGGATCCTAGATACCCAAGAGCGGAAGAGGACTTCGCTCACAGGAAACAGTCTCTTGACTCAAAGGTCGTTTGCAGCAGGAGCGGAGGCGTTTTGTTCCAGTTGGAGCATCCTTTGTAGTAGTTGCTGATCATTTTTGTGATATTCTGGACCAAGATCGTCTCTCGCGCCGATCGTGAGTCGTTTCTCAACGACGTTCCGAGCGGTTTCACCTTTTTTATTCTTGGCGGAAGCATCAGCACCCCTATCCAAGAGCAACTCAATCATAATCATATCAGGATAAAGGCTACCGGCTGCGTAATGAAGAGCGGTTTTCCCGGCGTCATCTGTGATTTCAAGGTCGCAATGAGCATCTACCAAGCATTTGACGATGTCCACACCACTACGAAGGAATGACCACGCCGCTTCGTGGCAAGCCGTTCGTCCATTGTAACCTCTGGCGTTGACATCGGCACCTTCCTTGAGTAGAAAATCGACCATGATAGAGTCATTAATAGCGACTGCGCAATGAAGAGCGGTTTGTCCGTGTGTATTTGCGATTTCAAGATCGCAATGAGCATCTACCAAGCGTTTGACGATGTCTATATCCACACTACAGCGTGACGCTGCTTTGTGGCAAGCCGTGTTTCCAAGGCAATCTCTGGCGTTGACATCGGCACCTTCCTTGAGCAGAAAATCGACTGTGATCGCGTCGCCTCGAATGGCTGCGGCATGCAATGGAGGGCGGATTCCCCAAGCTGGACTATTGATTTTCGCCCCGTGGCCTATCAAAATTTTCACCACTGATAGATGCCCCCCCTTACAGGCAGCCCCAAGAGCAGTATTCGTTCCGCCAGGTTCGAGTGTCGAACCGACTTGGGCTCCGTATTGCAGCAGTAGCTTCACGACATTCAAATGACCTTCGATTGACGCGATGACTAACGAAGTATCCATACCTGGACAGGATCCAGTACTATGATCAAGGAGGACGGTCACTAGCTCCTCGAGACCCAAGTAAGAAGCAATCTCCAGTGGGAACCTCTTCCTTGTTTCGCAATCTTTGAAGCTCGCCGAAACCTGAAATAGGGCATCGCTAGCATGCATAATAAATCAGTCGAGATTGGAATGCTAGCTGAGCTCTTGAAACGCGCTACGACCTTCGAAAACATTCGGGATGGGTCCTCCGCCAATAGAACCCTTCTTGCATGTGAGAACCAGTGGTGAGATGCATAATTGAAAAAGGGATGTGATTGGAGTGCCATTCGAAGGCTCAGAAATTCTTTGCCAAAGCTGTGAGACAGATAAGCGAGACACGCTCTCGATATATCAACTTCGGCACCTTTGAATAGATGCAGGCGTTCCTTGTCAAAGTATTCCTGGGTAGTGAAATGCACCAGACGAATAATCTGACTAGTTGAATCGATCACGACAAGACCCGCGCACACATCGACCAAGCTTCCTGGCGAGAGAAGGTTGTCCTCGTCGAAATCCTCAGGGTCACCCTCGTCATCATCGTCGTCGTTGTACTCGACGGCCAGGCCATATCGTAGTTCATCGACTGATAGTGGTCTCTTGGCATGTGTTATCCAGCTAAGGATTCTCATACCCAATACTCCATCATCACCAGCTTGCTTTTGGATTCTTTCCAGGGTCTGTCGGTATAGTTCATATAACTCTCTCGGCATCGATGTAAGAGCCAACTTAATTCCCTTGACTGTCCTGATGGCAAGGATTCGGTCGATCTGTAGAGCGGCGAGGAGAAACCTTGGCAAGGAGAATCAGTCAAGAGTATGTCTCGAACATGAGTAAGGAAACTCATACATGCCAGACGCCGCGCCGGAAACGGTGGATGTGATCTTTTCCTTCAGCTCGGGTGTTAACTTGGTAACAGAATCTCGTCTTTCTTCGATCCTCTCCATGATGTATCGGTGTAAGTCTAAAACGGGCGCTGCTATGGTAATCTGAGGTGCTTTGCGGAAACTTTGAGAGATATCCTCATTGTTCGGACGACTAGTCACGAAGAGCCTCGTGGATGTATTTGGCAGGACTTCAAGCACAGGCAGCAATAGTCTCCTCTCCCGATTTGCTTCGCACTCGTCCAGAGCGTCCACAATTATGTAGGTCCGTTCGTATAGATTGCAAAGCGATACCAAAAGCTTCTTCAACTCATCCAGACTTGGCCGTCTCTTCTGTTGTTCGAGTTTTCTGTACAATTCCTCTAATTGTTGCGGTAACGCCGTCGGGCGTCCGATAACTTGCCTGGCCAGACAGGCAACGAGATTGGAAGCTGTCTGTACAGCTTGATCCTTGTAATCACAGTACACGTACGCAACTTTAGTGTCCTCACAAGCGTAGTTGTTGAGCAAATGATCGATAACAACAGACCTATGGTTCTGTGAGCATATACTGAACAGGTAGTGCTAGGAGGAATCGATACACACGTTATGACAGTTTTACCAGTCCCCGCTGGTAAGTATTAGCAAGGAACAATTAGGCCTGGAACAGCACTTACGGTCCCCTGGGCACCATAGTGTTCGCTGCGAGTACCCACTGTCAAGCCAGCTTTGGAATACCGTGTCGATCAAAAGCCAGGAGCCTGTAATACCGTGTCGTCTTGATAGAGTATCCTGTTGCTTCTGATACATGTCCAAAGGAGACAGCCAGTCCAAAATTGCTTGAATCCGTACGTCTGCGATAATATGAGCAGTGTGCGTCCGGGGAAATTTAGGCCCCACCTGCCTGCCTGAGAGATTCTGGACTGTCTCACTTCGCTCAACGTGAGTTTTCCGATGGTTCTGCAGGCATAAGTCAACAGGAATTCATTCAATCTTGAAAGGTCAGTAACCGTACACGCTATCGATGGCCAACGCAGTGCGATAGATCTCGAGATGCCGATGCAAGGACTCAGTTAGAGCAAGGGTCTCCTTTTCTGAGAAAGGCCATGTTAGAGCCTTCATCCTGTTCCGGAATGAAGAGTCCGTATGCCGCTGCTTCATTTTGTCGCGAAGCTTCTGCAGTAAATCAATGTATTCGTTGCTTTTGTTGATCGACAGAAGGCACGAGCCGGCATCCCCAAATACTTCTTCCTGGTTGATTTCTTTGGCAGACTTCTCAACGCGGAGAAGGACTATTTGCAAGTCTTCCAACTCCTTTAGAAATCGGCGCGCAGAAGCAGAGGCATCGCGAACTCCATTGATGTACTCATAGCTGATGCCGAATACTTCAATGGTCAAGCTGACGAGTCCAGCTATCCCGGAAGCGATAGCAAGTACCTCTGCCATGTATGTTGTAGACAGTGGACAGCAGGCAGCGATGTGGGGTATGGTGAAAAGGCTGGAGACAAGGAATTGACGAGGCTGAGCGGATCAGCGTAGGATTGCTTGTCCTAGATTAGCTTGTTAGGGCTGCATGATATCGAAACACGTCCATTTGAGTGGTTTGACGGTGGATGCTACAGGCGGTCATCATGATTATAGGAATATCCGGCGAACCCTTCTATCAAAGATATTTACTGACTACGGAGGTGGCCGAATACTGACACTTCCGATGCATTTGCAAGAGACCGACTCGGAGAAGCGCTTTGAACCCATGTGCTTTAGCTTGGCCACTCTTGTCGGCCCCAATCTTTCAGTAACCCAAAGTATTAAATTATTGTGTCGGCCAGGGTCGAAGTGTGATAGGGAGGTGATACTCGCGATCTTGATTGTCTTGATTCAAGGTACTGACGGCAGAGGTTTTCAGAAACATGTCCCCAAGACGCAATAGAATATTCAACATGGAGAACTCGTAGCTAATTAACTTGGGATCATTTGAGACTAGCAACATGCTTTACATTGAAGATATGTCGTACAGGCTAAGAATACTTCAGCTTTGGCAAGATCTTGCGGTCTTTTTCAAAGGCAGACAGGGTATATCACATGTAGTATAATTTACTCGTACTTGTCTTGATGGGGGTGTAAGCTACTTGAGGGAAGCCTTCGTTCTTAGAAATCGATCAACCCTTCTACCCACAAGAACCTGGTTCCAAGCCCTTCCTGTTACCCTCAGTCGACGGCACCTTGCTATTAACACTGGTGCTAGTATCACTGGAGTTGTCGTCACAAAGGACTGCATATGTATTCGCCGTTGGAGATTGAGTGTCGTTGTGGCAGTGTGTCGTCCTGGATATTTCCTTTGCGACAGCTGGAGTGGACTTAGAGCTAAATTCAACATTAGGGAATCCGACGTCTGTGTTTCAATTAATTCCTGAGTTTGGTCTTGTTAGTACATTTTGCATCGCATTGAGTAATGACATCCAAAAGAGACTAACCGCCTCGATGCAAGAACTATCACTCGCGCACTCTCTCTCTCTCTATCCCATTCTTTCAAGAACGAAGAGACGTATGTTTTCCGCTGAAGACTTACATGGGCAGAGGTGTTGGCATACCATACTGTTGGGATTAGGTATTTATAACCTTGAGACACTGGGCTCCCTTTCTAGTTGAATCAACGTAACATTCTTAGAGAATGAAAGTTATCAAGAATGGTACATGCTAGCGAGATTATCATTCACTGGAGGGGTGTTTAAATGGCCATTGATCCCATAACAAGCCAGAAAATATCATCTTCTACCTCCATACCCCAATCTTCCTTCAACGCGCCGCCTTCGAATCCCAGCCACCATATACCTCTCGAAGACCATCTTATCAGTATCAGTCCCACTCCTCCTCTGCCTTCCCCTCACCCACGCCCAAAACTGGACCGCCACAAACGGTAGCGGCGTCAACGCCGCACCCGGCTCCTTCGTCTTCGTCCTGACAAGCGGTCAAGACTCCACGGGCGCCGACGGCCCCACCCTCTCCCTCTGGACCGAAACCACCCCTACCGTCAACAAAATGAGCATCACCATGTGCACGGATTCCAGTGAACGGCCGTGGCAGGCATTCACGGCCACCGACCTCCCCTACCCGATCGGACTGCACTATTCGGCGAAATGGTGCGGCAACAGTAATTCGGACGGCCTGTGGCTCAGCTACTACGATCGGTTCCAGCTCGATGTTTCGACGTCGGGAGTTTGCTCGTATTTTTATATCACTTCGAAGATATCTTGGATTTGCTACCTGGAAGAAAATCCGGACAACAAGAAGTATGGATGCTATTGGAAATGGTATGAAGGATTGATTGATTAGCTATGAGAGTCCTGAGAGAAGGCTACTTATATTCCCATTTGCCACCTGATTGCCATCATGTGGGGTAGCTTCAACATAGGTGCTGCAGCAAATCTCAACAGATGCTAAGGTAGGACGGTGGAGCAGTAGAGGCCTTGGTGGAGCTGTGATGGCTGAGACCTAGAATCAGGGTTACTAGTTGAAAATATGTTGCGGTGCTCGCGAAACGTGTACCATACGGGAAAGACGGGGTTAGGAAGCCGAAGTATGTGTAAATCTATGTTCGCAGTCTTGCAAAGCTGTTTACACAGGATTGGGCGTAGGTTTAGCATGCTGATGGTGATAAGCGCATCTGATAGTAGATTGCACTACTAGAAAGTACTCTCTACAGACATGATCTCTGAGAGGGTCGAAAAGGCGGATATTCCTTCAGTGAAAAGAGGCGCACGAGCCGTCGTACTGTTGACTTGCCAGCTCTTCGTTAACTTCGTCCGGCAGCATAACTCAGCGAAGACTTTAGCGTGCAAAATTCCTAGAATGAATCATCTTTTGACGAGAAAACGGCATAGGTAAAAGTATGATAATTGAGTACCAGAACAGCAGCACTCGGATTCTTACCACCAGGTGACATATTCCTCCATAGCAAGCTCCTCAAACAGAGGCGTTGTACTACCAGTGTATCATAGCCAGCACATCCAGCTCTTCCTCTCGATGCCCCCATACAGCCGAACTGGTATCGATGCCTACGAACAAACACTTCAGAAAATATCTTTTACCTCTGTGAACCCCAGTAGGGTCAAGCCCGCCCAGCGCCACTAGCAGGACTGACTGGATCATCCCTTGCAGCATCTGCCAATCCACCCCGAGCATTCCCTGTGGGCTCAGCTTGCAGCCAAGCGTTATCCGTCACCGTGTAGCTCCCGTAGCGCCTAATCTGAGCCTTTCTGTCGAACCATTGAGTTAGGTGTGGGGAAGTGCTAAGCTCGTTAGAAGTCCTTGGGGATTTTCAAGATAAACGCATCTGTCTTGACGCGCAGCAAGACGACGAATCAGCTTGCCATACCGCTTGCAGTGGTGACAAAATTGGGTTTCGGGATGTGGGGTTTTCAAGAGGGTGCCGGATAGTATTCTAGTATTGACAGACGACTAATGGAGTAACACATTGCATCTTTTCCTTCATAATGATTTTAGCCAAGATATCGAGAGACTCTGCTCTCATCCGCCAACGCCGACATGCTCAGCTCCGAACTCAGTCCCGGTGAAAGTTTTGGTGTGCCTGCAGTTCCACTGGCACTACTGGGTGCTCCAACTCCTGAACGCTCTGCTCCTGCAGCTCGAACGCCCGTCCAGGTCCGTTCATCTCGTGCAACTCATGGTTCTCGAAATTGACGGACGCCATCTCTTTGTACTCGTTCTTCGATGTTGTTTCCGGCGTTTCAGATTTTTGCGAAGCCCTACGCCTTCTGAGTAGGTAGCCGATGCCAGCGGCAATTGCAAAGAAGGCTGCGGAGGCACCGACAGCAATCCCTGCTATAGCGCCGGATTTGAGACCATTAGATTCAGACTGTTTGGAGGTTGCAGGACTTGAAGGTGTGCTGGAAGAGCCGGACGAGGAAGAGGAATTATTGGTGGACGCTGAATACCAGTCAGCAAGCCCCTTGGCAATGAATCTAGAGGTAGAGAGAGAAACGGACTGCTATTAAAAAAATGGGTGACATTTAAAAGCTCCGAAACTTGAGGTGTGAGATTGTTTTTATATGCTCTGTGTTTCATTTAGTAAACTGCTTCGCGGAGAAAGTACGAGTGGTCCTACTCATTTGATTGTGAGTAGAATTGCTTCACCACCTCGGACTGCTCGTATGGTAGAGCCCCAGCAGTATATTGATTGGAGAAGGCCATAGTCGTCATATCGAATATTGCTAAGCCCTGCGCAAATGGGTCTGGAGAGCTATTGAAGGTACTTGCAATAATGTCTTCAACCAAACCCGTGGCTACCTGCGAGTTCGAGTCAACTCCTCCGATCGTGAGTATCTGGCTTCCACCAACAGCGTTGCAAGAGAGTGCGTGCCGAGGGTTCTCAGGATTGTAGGGAACACTTATCCAGTGGAACGCCGGTAGGGTGAGGATATTGATTGTGTCATATTGAACAGCTGCTGGACCAAGATGGGTGCCCCAACCCGCGTAAACAAATCTACCAAATCGTCAGCGGTGAACAGATGGAAGCTCACAGGGAACTGCCATCTAACATTTCGTATGTGCCATTGGTCGAGTTAATACCAGCAGTACAGAATTCCACCCTGGGACTGGGTACGCTCCCAGTGGTTGTTTGGTTCCACCATTCTTGCTTTGCAGGGTCGAAGACCGAGACCGTCCCGAAGTCGATCAGCCCAGCAGTTACGCCATTGTTTCCTATTCCGTTTTGTCCTCCCATCGCGATGTGTATACCTTCCGGTCCAAAAGATGGGACATATTGCAGAGCACCTTTGTAGATACCGCCAGTAGCATTGCAGCATTGGACACTGGAGTTGGAGAATAACCTGGATGCCATATCAAATTGAAGCATCCCAGGAATGAGATTTTCAGGCGACGCGTACTGATCCCAGTCTGCGGTGATACCTCCGAGGACCCAGGCGCTGTCGGAGCCAAAAGCCATGAGCGGCTGGGCAGGACGTGTCAACTGAGACCATACAGATGAATTGGCATCAATGATCTCATTCCAGGCTCCACTTCCGCTCCCATCAGGCTGGAAGGTCCAGAGCGACATTGCAGGGAGGTTTGGCTCGTTGCCGAAAGAGGAATTCCAGCCTGCGAAACCAGAATAGATGAGATTTTCCGATTCATGGTACCAGAGTGACGGACTGTTTAGGTTGGGTGCGCCGTTGGGTTTGGTAGTAGACTGTAATGCGACTGTAGCATTCGTCCAGTTCTGAGAGAGGTCGATAGATAGCAGTGTTGATGCTAGGCCGTCGGGTATTAGTCTGGGTAGACCCATCCTCTAAGACACATACCGTATTCATATTGCGGCGTTCCATCGCTCATGAAAGAGAATTCGCCTCCGTCGATATAAACCCAATTCCCTACGACGACCGCTGCACAGTGACTGTTAATATTGCGCAGTAGCTTTACATCCAGCACTTACAAGCTTGGTAGCCACGGCGAAGGAATTCAGAGGCTGCGATTACACCGGGAGCTTGGCGGGGCTCTAGAGCTTTTGTTGGAGGAGGACCGCTGATGGAAAGTCTTGCTAGAAAAGAGGTATGCGCCATTAAAAAGTATTGACTAAAAAGCACCCTATGGAAAGAGAGAAATGCCGTAGCCCAAGGAAAAGTTACGAAAGGTGTTCGTTGAGTAACGGCAGAGAGAGAATGAACATTCAGGAAAGCCTTGGCCATACAGGACAGCAGTGCTCGGCCTGGGCGCTTGTTTCTGCTTCCTTCTCACAGGCAAAGATAGCTCAGAAAGAGAAGGCTAGCTCAGGGTACCCTACCAAATCTACGACGTAGCAATGCGGACGAAGCACTTGAAGCAGACGAGAGGCACCTGCTCGCAGCCTTCGAGCCAGTCACTGCCGCGAAAAGGCAATCGAGCGTTTCCCGGGACAGTAAGATATAATTAAAAGCCCATGCCATTGGACTGAGTGGGAGCTGAGAGTCCTTCCGGGTTTGAGCTAGCCGAAACGAAGACCCCCCTCCTCGTCAACGTCGCATTTTGTAAGAGGCAATTGTTTCATATCTTTGTGGCACAATTTCTCTTTGCTTTCATTCGATCAGCAGGAATCTGACGCTTCGACCGAACACGTCCGTTGCGGCTGGCCAGTGATACGCTGACTCAGCCCCCTTGACAACGCGTCATTGCATACCGCTGCTTCGCAAATCTAAGTACCACAACGATTGCTGTTATCTTTGAGAAGCGATAGCTGGAATAAATGTCTGGGGAAGTGAATAGTACGTGCTTGGAGGGCAAGATGGTGTTGACAAGAAATGCTTCCGTGTCGGCTTCGACACAAGAGCGGTTTATTGGCTCGCTCGGTTAAAGATTAGGGTTACGCTTGGCTTCCCCAAGCCTACCTTAGCCCTAAAACACCGTCTGTTACGTAACAACTTTTTTACCAACTTTATGGAGTAGTGTTTGCCTACTTTACTTAGATGACAGATGACCTCGGATCACGTGCAGCCTTACCAGATTAGGCAAGCGCACCCGGGCCAAAATACCAGCCGAGCGACAGAAACCAATTCCCTATGACAGAAGCCGCCAACTATCCTTCACTGATACGCAACAACTCGCGAGATCGCCGCCGCATCACCTGGATGATGAAGTACGATGAGCTACTTGACGCTACATGACGCCGTCTCGCAGGAAGGAGGTCAGGCTCAATTCTCTGCCAATCGAAAGCGCTCAGAGACGAGAAAGAGGGGAAAGAGATAAGATGGGCTCGGGCTACCGTAAGCCTCAAATCCCAAGTTTCGAGCTGGGCCCCACGCGAGAACCGGGCGTTATCAGTTGATGCACGCCTGAACCTTCCAATCCAGTGAGAGCCGTTGGCGGTTTCTCGGAGACACTCAAACGTCCGACGACTACTTCTACCTCGGCGATCCCCTACTGTCAACCAAACTTCTCCCTCCTTCACCTACTCCCTGACCTAATTACCTCGAACGGCGTGGGACGACACGCCGAATTACCTTCGAGATGGCTGAGAATCTCGCTGTCCGAAGCCAGAGCATGTCAGGCCGCAAAAAGAGTGTCGCAGAGGAGCCGGTGACCTCCGTCCTCAGCGCTGGCGGTATTCCCGTCTACAGCGAGCGCGAATTGACTGCCGATGAAGAAGTCCTGGCAGCACTAGGCTACAAACCCGAGTTTAAGAGAGAGTTCAGCTTGTGGACCACATTCTGTGTCAGCTTTGCTGTGCTAGGCTTGCTGCCCAGTTTCGCCAGCACGCTATACTATGTGAGAGAAAAGACCCATGATACGGCAATGCGACATTGGGCTGATCAAGGTGACAGGGCATGGGATACGCGGGTACACCCGGTATGGTCTGGGGATGGCTTATCGCCATGACCTTCATTCAATGCGTCGCCATGAGCATGGCTGAACTGTGCTCTTCGATGCCTACAAGTGGGGGGTTATACTACGCTTCGGCGGTTCTGGCGCCACCGGGGTACGGGCCGCTCGCAGCCTGTATGTATCCCAAGACAAAGTGTACCTGCACGAGGGCTGATGGTGAAACATAGGGTTGACCGGCTGGTCGAATTGGCTGGGACAAGTCACTGGTGCCCCCTCTGTCGACTATCCTATGGCCGAAATGATCCTTGCTTGCGCTTCCATCTCCAATCCCAGTTACGTTCCTCAAAATTGGCAGGTCTGGCTGCTCACGACATTGATTTTGCTCATACATGGGTGTATCAGCAGCATGCCTACAAAGTGGATCGCCAATTTCAATTCTGTTGGATCGACATTCAATATCATTGCGCTCTGTATTGTTCTTATCCTCATCCCGTCTGCGACCAATAGAGAGTCACAAGGCCTCCCTCGCTTTACCCCTGCAAGCGTTGTTTGGAATGACTTTTATGATGGAACAGACTTTCCCAAGGGTGTCTCGATCCTGATGACATTCGTTGCCGTGATCTGGACCATGAGGTAATCCTCAATTGCAAAAATTTGTCAAATCGAACGACCGCTGACTTGCTTGGCAGCGGCTACGATGCACCATTTCATTTGAGCGAGGAGTGCGCCAATGCGAACGTTGCAGCACCCAGAGCGATCGTTTTGACGAGCGGTATCGGAGGGCTGTTTGGCTGGTTCTTGCAATTGGTGGTTGCCTATACGGTCATAGACATTGATGGTGTCCTCACCTCATCATTAGGTCAGCCATGGGTGTCGTACCTTCTTCAAGTCTTGCCTCAGAAAGTGGCTCTCGCCGCGGCGTCCCTGACCATCATTGCTGCCTTTTCCATGGGCCAAGGCTGCATGGTATGTGAATAAAGTCATCGTACTCTGCACGGACAACCATCGACTGATGCTTGATTTAGGTTGCTGCTTCCAGAGTTACTTTCGCCTACGCCCGCGATGACTGCTTTCCCTGTTCCTGGTGGATAAAACGCGTCAACAAACACACCCACACTCCTGTCAATGCAGTCTGGTTCAACACTACGCTCGGCATCCTCATGACCCTCCTTGTCTTCGGTGGACCACTCGCAGCTGGCGCACTGTTCTCTATTGCTGCCGTCGCAGCTTTCGTCGCGTTCACGATACCTATTTTCATCCGCGTTTTCTTCGTCGGCAATCGATTTAGGGCTGGTCCTTGGAATTTGGGCCCCTTCAGTATGTACATTGGCAGCGCGGCTTGTGCGTTCGTGGCTCTCATGGTGCCGATCCTAATGCTTCCGAGCTTGACTGGCTCCGATCTGACGTGAGTGTTCGCGACTTCATTACGTAGGCGCTCAGCGGCTGACCACATTCTAGTGCGTCGGGCATGAACTGGACGGTTCTTGTATATGGAGGTCCGATGACGATGATCACCATCTGGTGGTTTGTGAGTGCGCACAAATGGTTCAAAGGACCGAAGGTATACATATCCTGGCTTCTCCAACCCTGCAATAAGTCCGAAGAGATTGCTGACATATTCTTACCAGGTTAACATCGAGCATCAAATGCTTGGCCGTGACGGCAACGTTGTTGAGGGCAAGGATCAGGACAGCGGTGACTCAAGCGCTGGAAGCATTACGAAAGAGGATAGGGATTTGGATGATAAGAGGGCAGCTGATCTTGCCTGAATGCGGGCCTTACTGGTGGTACCTGTTTTGATATAAAGTATTGGATACAGGTTCCTTGGTTATACCCTCGCTGATTATGTTACTGATATATAGCGCCCTTCGCAATTTGAAAATGTATATATACGCCTAGACATTCAACGTTGTGCCGGCTATGCAATCTCGATACCTTTGGACACTATTTGGGGTCAAGACAACGGGCCTCAAGCCCAACCTTGCTCAACTCTAAATATTACGTGGAGAGATTAGGAATCATTCACACCTCATTTCGAAACATCACTCGAACCGAGTGACCGACTAAGCGGGACGAATAGCTCGTGCTCGCTGGCCTCAAATTGTGTGAAAGACTCAGACCGCTTTCCTGGCGCTTAGGCTCCATATAAGGTATGTTGTACCCCTACGGAGGTCGGCACCAAAAGTCCCGCACACGCCAAGGAAAGGGTCCAGCTGTCGGATGATGCCCCTAAAGTTCAATTCATGCGCCCTGGATATAAGGTAGCTCTAAGGTAGGGTCCCCCGCTACAGGGCCGCCTCCCGAGCGGACGAGGTCGGCACCAACGGTCCTAGACAGCGGGAGAGCGCTAGCACCAACCCTAAACCTAAGGTACCGAATCTCGTGCAGCCTCGTATTGGGGCGGCATCCGAGATCTGGGCGCAGGAGTCTTGACGTCCCAGGACTCCTGGCGTCGAGTATCAACCTCCGCATGGACCAAGTATGCAGCTACGGTCAGCTAACTACTCGAGTGTGGTAACTGCTCTAATATGTCTCGAAACCATTGCAGGATGCTTCCCTCATCCATAGTCCTGGACACATGGGGCAAAGCCTTTGACACATCAATGTCCTTTCTTTGACCTACATACATATTCATTCACACCGGACGCAACCAAGGGCCTATGACGGTAAATGACTGGCATTATGCAGAGCATCCATTATATTCAAATCCGTATGTCAGAGTCAGAGTTCTATGTACTACTAAGATCTGCGACTGTTTCCACTACGTCCGCCTTATTCTTCGCCTGTATTCTACTAAGTCGTGGTGCGGAAGTATCTTGAATACCTGGTATGCAGGAGATCAGATGTGGCATCGGATAATTTTGATAGTAGACAAGCCGATGTTGCGCTCGGCTCGATATACGGATGTTCACCTCCACCACAACTTCCAAATCAATGGCCCTTGGGCATCGACCTAGAAGCTGTGCTGTCAACAATATGTCTCAATACAGTCCATCCTGACTTGGCAATCATGTAGATTATGGCTTCGGGGATCGCCACAGTGTCTTCTCCCCTCTTCTAGGTAATGGCATCTTCACTCAAGGGGGCCGGCTTGGAAGCACCTCGGGAAACTACTGCGCAAACAATTCATTCGAATGCTGGACGTGTTTCGCGAACATGTTGACAATCGGCTTGATTGCTTAGATACCTCTCAGGGAGCGATTGACTTGCAGCCACTTTTCTTCAAATTCATTCTGGACACCACAACAGCTTTACTCCTCGGACG